CGCCATCACCTCAGTAATGTATGCACGCGCATCTCTTCCTTTTTGGTCTCGAAACAGCTCAGCATCAAGCAACCGATCACTAGAGCTTTCTTTTTCCCACCCAATGTCAAAGGAGCAAATTTCAAGTGCACAGATGACGATCTTCCTTCGTGTTATGTGCTTGTAACGATATTCTCTAATAGTAGTGTAGATTATAGTGATGCCTACGCCCTTTCACTGTTTTTTTTGTCCGTCCCAACAACAGCAACTTGAGGGAGGTTGCTCCTTACAAGGGCATAATATGATCTAACTTTTTTTATAACAATTCATTGCTGCCCAATGCAATGAAAACAAGCCGTAACGAACTTTATGGCTGGGGAATAAAGAAAACCACAGTTAAAGAGCTAAACTCATGAAATTCATACAGAGAGTTGCGCTTAAAGAAAAGAGATAGAGGATTCACTGCTTGATTTGGCTTCAAACTCTTTACATAATGTGTTCTTTTACATCATACATATAAAGCTTCCTTTGCAACACAACTTCTTTAATGTAAGCTAAATGGCAATGTCAAGTCGTGATATGCTACTCGCTTTCCTACTATGTACGAAAGATTCTACTTCTGTTGTTCGTCCCGAAGCATAAACACAACCTTTGTTGTGTATAGGAAGCTGTGAGTTTATTCTCCGAATTATTGCTCTAGCAATGTGTATCCTTCTTTGGCATATTTGTCAAGGCCTTAATAAGTTGAGAAGCTCTAGTAGTGTTCTGTTTCTGCGAATTCAATATTACATACAGATCAATGCACTAATAAATACTACATCTATCGTTCATGATTACCAAAAGAGACTTCAAAATAGTACTGAGCCAAAATGAAAAGGAACAAATCCTTTTTATTGTATACGGAACAAAATGACGTGGTCGATAGTAACGCCTCAATTTGTAACCAGTTTTCTAGGTTGACATTAAAGCACGCTTCTTTCAGTTAAACTTAAACGCGAGACGTATAAACGCTGCAAGACGCGTATGCTCTGATCTACGAACGTTTAAAGTAGTGCTCAAGCATTACAGTATCCCCAGCAATCACCTTTTTAAGCCCATTTTTACTATAAACGAAGTTCACACTACACTTCCATTGATATCAATCAAGTACTATTGTAAATATATTGCTTTTTTCATAGCAACCGCTGAATTCTTTGCGTAACTACAGCTTAAGTAATAAAAAGGTGGACATAGACATAAAAAGCATCACAAATTCGTGCTACCGACATGCAACAATCGAGTCATTCAAAACGGTATATGTATTTGCCCAGAATAATACGTATCATTACATGGTACTGCTGTATACATGGAAGCCAAGTTACTATGCATGAATTCTGTAGTATAGATGTCAGATAGGAATTGGAATACATAGTCAGTTATTGTTACAGATTTGTCTCAGTCCACATTTGAATAAGTGTCCAAGAGCAGAAAGAGATCATATACTGCAAAATGTTAGCATAGCTACAATAGCTTACATTTGCTACCGCAAGTAAGCGGAAAAGCCGTGAATTAACAATAGCGTGTCCAGAAGCAAACCATCAGATAAAACAGCGGAATCTGCTTCCTTGAATGATATCATGCCGCTTTGCACACACGGTTGCACGAAGAAGGCCAACTTCAATTCCCGACGCCTTACCACAAGCCCTGGATGCGGGTGAGGCAGTGAGTGGGTGAGGCCTCCCCCACTGAAACAGAACCGGCCTTCCTATTCTCATATTTTAATTTTCTTTTGAGTTCTTTGTTCATTTTAATTTTATTACCGAAGAAGAAATGGAACTATCAGAAACCGATTCACCTAGCGATTGCGAAAATGTTTGCCCACCGATATCTACGTTTTCACGGCTAGAAGGCGGCTTCGCCAATTTGGACATCCACTCCAACAGTTCGCGTGGAATCCGTAATCGAACCAGAGCTGTGCAACCCATTCATCGACCTAGTAGTCTAAGTGCTTTCAAATTACGAGAGATTATTGGATGCAGTGAAGATTCAGATCCGGAACGTCATCCCAACTTGGACATGGTTTTGGATCAAGACAATAAGATTTCTTTTGACAACACTATAACAGTAGGCTTTAGTTTTTTTTCTTTCTTTCACTAAAAGGAAACACACTTCGAAAACAACGATAATGTGAAAGTTCGATATGAAAAACCAACTCATCTATCGTTATATAGCCATTACCGTCCATCTATTCACAACAGTCTGAAGATTCAACGGATCTAGACGATGATCTCCTACTATGTACACCGCCACCGTTGATCGGAAAACTATTTGAAGACGATATCGATGAGTTTCGAGACGATACGGTGGATTGGATTGCACAGATTTACCAGGACGAAGATGCCGATGTGAGTGAAAGTGAGCTGTTACCACCGACCATGGAACCAGGTTTCGATAAGGAAAACCATCCAGACGATAACAACAGCAGCAGCAGCAATGCGGATGATTATCGACGAAAGAACACCAAGCGTTCTTATAACAGTACGGATCAAAATGAAGAACAACAACAGCAATTACCTACCCAACGCCGACCGCTGGGACAGATGCGTTTGGATGATTGGCCATCGGCTGTCATTGTTGAACACGAAAAGAAACGGCAGCCGCTTGAAGTTGTCGCTTCCACTAGTACGGGCAGTAACAGTAGCACTAGTACCATTGGAAGCAGCCGTCGGTTTGTTCGGTCACTGTCACCATCAAGGAAAGGAAAAGAACGTGCATGGTCTCCCGATACCTCGTTCAACTAAAAAAGAAGGCAAAAGAAGATGTACTTTTTTGCCCCTCCCGCCACCATCTCATTTGTCCCCTCTCTCGCATTGTGCTCTCTTTCCATCATCCTTGTCTGTGCGATTCTCTCCCCAAGCACTAATCTTACATCGTTCCAACACTTTCTCTGTTCCGTCTATCATACATCTTTTCATATACATTAAACATCTTTATCTTTTCGTTCCCGTCATATCTGTAATTGATCCAAACTATTCTTATTAATTATATGTTTATAGCTTTTTTCCCCATCTTATTATTATTATTGTTAATATTTATATGGCAGTGATGTTTCTTCATGTATGGATGGTGGAGGTGTGATGCCAAGTTCACGACGAAGTTCGTCAAGATCTCTGCAAAAATGTTTCTCGAAATAAACTGAAATAAGTGGGACCGAGGATCTAGACAATGTTACGGCAATGCCAACAAGTAATTTAGTATGGTTTTTCACTTGAAAAAATTGAAAAGTAACGGTAAAAGAAATGGGGACGTACTTTCCAGTGTATACGGCCCAAGGCACATACACATCAAACAGACGTCTGCGACTTTCTCGTGACCGCATCATTGGGCCAAAGATAGATGACATGGCTGTCATGGGTAGTCCTGTCTGTGCCCACTCAAACCATTTCAATGCCAACTCTTCTTCCACAGAGACTCCCAACCCCGTCAATGCATGATAAAAGTCGTGGCATTGTCTGTATCGTAGCATCACATAGGCCAGTTCTTCGTCGTCAACAAAATGTACCTATCGAATAACCTAAACATGAGCAACTTTATTCCCCCCCCCTTTTGCTTTTTTTCTTTGGATGTGGACGTACCGGTTCACGCGTATCTGGAGTAACTCCTTCAGCATCCAACCATGATACGTAAAGATGTCCAAATGTACCCGGTTTGCATGTCTCGCGTAGTTTTGCGAAATCGATCGACGACGTGTGGATAACGGGTCGTTCGCGTAAGATTTGTCGTCCACTTTCTGTTTGTAGCATTTGGTCCCGCATTCGCTTGAGCGCAGTTGTTCCTGTTGTTTCTCCCAGTGCAGCGACCATGTCTATAATGTTTATGTATTTCTTGCGTAAATAACAACGGGAGTGGCAGTTGTTATAAAGCTTTCTTTTTTACCTCCACGTAAAGGATCAAGGAGGGCTGTTAAAGCTGAGCCAGCGGCTAACAGCGCACGTTGTTGAATTGGAATAGGAATGTGCGTCTCGTACAGCTTCTTTTGCGGATCTAGTTTTGTTTACAACAAAGCAATAGTTTAATCGCGATTCCCTGTGGCAAAAGGTAAAGGCCACCGGGTTTATTGGTTTCAGTCGAGAAACGTACTGTTGTTCATGTTTGTAGCGCTGCTGTAACATTGTAACTGTACTGTTGAGCGTAGAGCAGTGGCTCGTGCCAACATGCGTAGTGATGACATGGTTCGTAATGTGGCGTCTCTTATGTGTGTCAATAAGTCGGGGAGATAAAAGAGGTATTCAGTCCGTCAAGCCAACCATAACAATTAAAGAAGCTGTCAAAATTATCAATGCACAACAAGAATCTATCTTATATTTAATCTTCCTCCCTAATAAATTATCACTTGTCGTCCTCGCTACTACTACTGCTATCAAGAAGCGAGTCGTCATCCTCGTCATCACTTGAGGTGAGGTCGACAAAGTTTTCCTCTGCAAATTCTCCAACGTCTTCTGTGTTTGCCGGATAAACCAGACATCCAAACTCTGTACTTTCGGTCATGACTTGCATCGCTTTAGCCATATCAACAATGTCATCGTTCGCGGGAGAGGGGTCACCGCCGCCTTCCTTCTGTCGCTCAAAGAGCGATTTGATGTCCTGGTCTCCTTTTTGCGTTTGTCGTTTTTGTTGCTTTTGCTTTTCTTTTTGTTTTGTCTGGAGGTCTTTTAGGATTAGCCGAAGACCTGCTTCGGGTACCAGAACTTGTTGTACGTATTCGAGTGGGAGCTGTGGTTGCGTTTGTTTTACAGTCAGTTCGCCCGAGTGGAGGAACATTGCGTTCAGCACTTCAAGAATAATTGCCGCACCCTTTGAGCCGTAGTATCCGGGCTAACCGATTCGATTAATGGGACAAGGTTAGATTTTGTTTGCCTCCGGCAACCTTTCTTTTTCTTTACCCTACTTTAACCCGATGGAATATGTTCTCACTACCAGCCAAGACTTACCAAAGTTTTATCGAATCGTGACATGACAGCCATGGTGCTTCTGGCTTTATTAACACCATCCTCTTCATAGGATTTAAGCGCTAACTCGCGGAATTGACTCTCAACCTTCCCATTCACCACTAATGCAAGCTCTTTCTTCATTTCGTGTATCCGGCCCTCGAGGCTGTCAAAGTCGATATCCAAAGGGTATTCTTTTCGCGCACCGTCGGGTTTGATCACGAGTTCGACGCGATGCAATCGGCAGAACGAGTATTGCTCCATGTTGGATGCTTTGCGTTGTACATGTAGTCGCTTTTCAAGAAACTGTTGATGCTTGGCGCTGGCGCGTTGCTTTATCCGTTCCGTCTCTTCCTTTACGTATTTCTTGTCCTTCCGTTTGACAATCTTGAGTGCTAAGCGTATACTTTCGGGAAGTTTTTTACGCGTACACAGTTTGGTATGACAGAAGGGACATTCTACTTTGCCTATGATGATAACGACACAGTCTGTGAGATGCTTTGTTTCTTTCGTTCGATGAATAATCGAGATATACATACTTTCTTCCTCTTCGTCGTTGCTATCCTCTTCATCGATTTGACTCGAAAACGATAGCTCTGCAATCTCTTGCTGCTTTTTGCGCTGATCTTCTTCTCGTTGCTTTTTATCCGCCGTTGTACTAGGTGCACCGTTCACTTTACGTTTCGATGTAAAAAGCATAAGTTTTGGAACTACAGCCACCTCTTCTTCCGGTTGCTCTTCTTTGTTTTCTAATCTGCCTTTTCCTTTGGCATTCGTTCGATGCCGTTTCTGTTGCATCTTATTATTGCCTTGTGGCACTCTAGGCTGCTCCTGGAAATCGTCGTCTTCATGGGCTGTTCGAGTCGTAGCTACTTTACTTTTGGCAGTCTTGTAGTTGTTGTTGGCACGTCCTCTTTTCCGTGGCACGTCAATGTGTTGAGACGACGATTTGTTTGACGTGTCTGCCTTTTCTAAGCTTTCTCGTCGTTGTTGTATTCGACTCGATGAGCGAGTACTAGTACTAGTTGGTGTGTTCCGGTCAAACATTTGACTTAAACTGTCTTTCGCGTCTTTGGGAACAGAGTCACTCTTTAGTGAGAACGGTTGTCCCTGGCCTTTAGGACGGTTTCTGGAATTAAACATTTCTGCTGATTGGATTAGGAACACACAGGGAACGAGAGAGAGAGAGAGACACGAGATATGTTAAAATTATAGGCAGGAGCACATGAAAGTTAAAGAAACGCGTTTTTCGAGCTTGCAGTCACCGACAAAAATAGAAGGCGGTAGGGTGTGGAATTTTATTCACTTTGGAACTGTACTCAAACTGTAGCAATGGCATGAACAGTTGCTGACAGGGCATGTTGTATGGCTTCTAAACCAATCAAATATATGTACAGCATGTCCACCGTGGCGACACGTCTGGCACCATGTAAACCAGAGTTCAAAGCTAGCAGGATCAGCTGGATATATAGTAGCAAAAGGGACAGTGAGTTGTTGGTTATCGAGCATCTAGCCTATTACTCTCTTTCTGTGTGTCTCTCACCTTTTCGTGAATCGTTCGCAGCAATCGTTCGCCGTACAGGATCAATAGGTGTTCCTAAATGTAATAAACACAAGGCACATCGAGGAAGTGGTTTGCGACAACTTGGGCATACGGTAGGCTGTCCAAAAATTGGTGAATTTGGTTGTAGCGATAAAATTACTATTTTAAATGAGCTTGTAATTCCAACCTTGTGTTTTCCAGAGGCTCGACCGCCCGATGAAGCTGGCGAAATATTGGTTTGTACGTTCATCCGTTTTCCATCTCGGCTGCGTACATTTTGAACCAACAAACTGTGACCCAAAGATTGAGAGCAATATGTACAGCGAACATATACCTGGGGTGGTGCTACTTCACTCGAATTGTTCATACGCTTTCCGCGCTCAATGTCAAATTTGGCGCGTTGGTGCCACAATTGCCATCGATCTAAAAGACCTCGATAGCTGGGCAACATATCGATGTAAAAAATTAGCAAGTAAAAATAGAATACCTTTTGTATACTTTAGAAGAATATAATACCTTTCCACCCAGTCTTCGACACGCTTGTCTTTGAATCGTTGAGGCACAACGTAGCTCAAGACAAGGCTTGCAGTTTGTACATCGCCGTACCGGTTGACTGTTTGTTCGAAAAGATCTACTGCCCGGAGGGTAAGACCGGTAAGCAGCACACCCTCTACATCACCTTCTTCAATGACCCGTTCGGTAGATCTTTCTAGGTATTGACTCAACTACATATGATACTGTTTAGATAGAATGTACAAAAACAATGATTCTATTGTAATTGTTGCATCGAGGAATCACCTGTTCATCATCAAGTACTCGTAGCGCAACAGCTATTCGTTCTTTCAAAGAAAGTCTTGGCTCATCAAGAACTCGGTACCAATCATTCGAAGATATATATGCAAATATCACTCTTAAGTAAGGACGATTCACCATATCCTGGCTAAGAGATTCACAAAGTTCTCGCCACGTAGGGTTGACAGCAGCTGCTCCCGGTTGGAAACCTGCCATCACTGCCGACATTAACTTGCGCTGTTGTTCTGGGAGGGGGGAAAGCCCGATTTAAATAAGTCAGTATACAGTATTTTAAGAAAACAGGTAGAATATATGGATTTCGTTGTACCATCATGTCCTGAGCCACGTCCACTTCCAAGAGCTTCAATAGCACGATTCGTCAGACCACAAAAGAATGCCCAGCCTGTTGCCTGATCATAATCACCGCGTGATTCGAGACTAATGTTTCCAACGAGTAATCAATAATACAGAGCGTATATTTAGGAAAAGAGAAACAAGACTTACCGAACAAGCTCTTGTTCAAGCTCGCTTTGAGTGTAATCAAAACCGCATACTTTCAAAGCAAGTTCCCGTTGTGCACGTTTTTGTGTTGATACCATGAAAAGCGCACCCCCTTCTCGTTCTGATGCTGTCGTTGCTGTTGCTGTAGCATTTGAATTTTTTAATTTGTTACCCGTGTTCCTTCGAGCACTTTCTTGATCGTATGGTGGTGGTCCTCGCATAGTATTGAAATTTTTACTCATTGACGATGACTTGCGATTCTGTGACATTCCAGTGTCTTTTAAGGCAAAAGAAAAAGAATGTTAAAAACTTCTGCAAACCCATCTTTCGACGATGGTGGTGGGCGGGGGTACTAATGAACCTTTCCTATTTTTTGCTTTACTATTACTTACCTAGACCGTTCCATATAGAGTATACACCTTGATAGGAATAATCGACATTTCCAGTCCGAGCAAGCTCATCCGCCCCTTTGTTTATGTGAAATCGTGCATTAACATTTGATTGACATTCAACGCAAACAAAAGAAAAAAAATACTTACCTCGTATCCAGGACCATAATTCGCTCAATTTATGGTCACCTTTTACGACACTAATGTTCTTTTGATACTGGGTAATGTGTTACACCCATTGAAAAAGTTAAGCACATTATGTTTGGTTACAAAGAAGAAGAAGACCATGTAGTTTTTACCTCCATGGAATAACCCATCTTGACCCGTTTATGCATTATAACAGAAATGTCGTTCGCTAAGCTCTCGGCCACGGCACCTGTTACCTCGACAGGAAGGCAACGTAGTTCATGCACATCATATGTTGGTACATACGTTTCATTGCTTTGCGACCTATAAATGACCCATACGGTAATATCAGACAAACTGAAGGAGCGAAATAAGAATGTCAGATAAAATATTATTACCGCGCTCGTTCGTCAGTGATATTTAGTTTTGCCAGCTCTCCATGCATGTTGTTGTGGCGTTCAAAAATGTTTGCTTGACGACACGTGCTGTTGTTGTTGTTATTACTATTGATACCACCGCAACTTAGCAACTCGCTTCCATTGGTAACCATCATGCCTCCTGTCGGTCGCCAAGTCATCTTGGACGCTTCTTCGAGGTCGATCCCTTCAAACTGTCCATCCCGATGCATGGCTAGAATACTCGGCACCGTGCTGCGCTGTCCATGCGGATCGTCCAAGGAATGCATATTGGGTATAAAGTTAAATGTTGTGATAGGTTTGGAGCTTGCAGCAGCTGTAGCGTATATTCAAAAAATCGTTAGTGTGATTATTGGGTTTACAGGCCACTTTAATGCTTACATTCTCTACTTCGCCATAATACCGGAACGCCAACTGAGGCAAACCCTGCATCATCTGCCTTTGCGTGCTGCTGCTGCTGTTGGTGATGGTGGTGATAATGAAGTGCACTATTATCATGTGTATCTGGGTAATTTGAACCTGCCAAGGCTGTGATGGTTTTGAAACCGGAGACGTTAGAAGCAGTATTATTATTATATGTTGCAGAATCTGTCGTTGATGCGTTCGTTGTGGTAAAGGTCGTGGGTGCTAATGCCGAGTGGAGGGTGCATGTTTCTTGAATATCCCATAAATTAACGCTAGTCGAATCCCGTGATAGTGATGCTAATAATCCAGGCCTGGTTGGTGAAAATGCAATTTTGGATAGACTGTGCTTTGAGGAGTTACTGCCGCTGCTGTTAGTTTCTGAATTTAAGGTTAGGACGTATAAGATTTCCCAATTATTGGTTAAGCGATAAGATATGTATAAATGAGAGAATGTCGTTATGTGCGAGTAAGCTAAAGATGTATAAAGAAAAAGGATATTGAATCATTGGTTTGTCGAAGATCCCACAACCTAATAACACCTTCTTCATTATAGGTTGCTAATCGGTAAGGATTGAACGGGTCAACGGTCGCACCGTATACAGCTTTGGTTGAGAATTGCAGTGGTATAGAGTTGGAGTCGACTATAATCATAAGGGCAAAAAAAAAGAAACGCTTGATGAGCTCCTGTATCATCATGCAACATGTTTGTGTCCTCAGCTTACCTCTAATATCATATGCACGCAGATACTTGTATCCCATGCCAGCAATTAATAATGGAGAGCCTCCATTGGTTGACCAAGCGCAAGATGCAATTGCTTCTGAAGATCCGTATTGTTGAATTGGACGTTGTTCACGATATCTACAAAGATCACATACATTTGTTTAGCATTGTTACGCTCACTAAATACGCTTTACATTATACCCTAAAGACGCAATATATATATATATATATATATATATATATACGTACGTTGATGATGGATAAGGCGTTGATGTATCCATGCCAAAACTATTCATCCTAGACCGTTCTAATGATGCGTGGCATGTATTTGAATAAGAGAGAGCTTTTTAAAAAAGTCGTCGCAAAGCTAAGGATGAGTGTATATATTTTTTCTTCCAAAAGCCAACCTGTCAAGTTCGGTGTGCCTGGCATTCCTGTCGGTGTATCTGCGGCAGAATAGCCGTCCAATGCTTGTGACACATCCCAGACTAAGAGACATGGGTCATTACGCACTTTATCCAATCCACAAGCAAGCAAATGTGGATGTGATTGAGAAAACGACACGACGTTGCAAGGACGCGACATTTTTACGCCTAAAACTGGGTATTGCTTTGATGCAATGGTAGCATTGTTGTTGTTGTTGGCGGCCGCAGAAGTGATATTATTCCTTGCAGTATTTCGATAGCCAGCATTGGATGAAATGGGACCGTCCGCGGATGATGGATAAGGCGAATCCAAATTGATATCATTTTGCATGCGTACAAGCACAGTTCTACCTGTTGTAAGACCAACGGCGATCAAATCACGTTGATATGGGTCTGGAGACCAGTCCGCACACTAAATTGATATGTACCCGTTATTTAGCTCTTTGTTGTTAATTCGCATATTATGCGCCGCGTTTTGGTAGTCTTGTAAATAATTTTTTCTTCGGGAATAGATGCTGTACATAGTATATGATTATTAAAACCGAAACGGACTCTGTGTGCTTACCATAACCAGAGCAATTTTTGGTATGTTGGATATAAAGTGTGCACTGCCGGGCGTGTCGGAAGTCTAGGTTTGGTGTATGACACGTAGAGTATAGTTCAAGACAAGTCAAGCAAAAAGATATATGCGTATGTAGCGTGTCAATATCATTGAAGCAGGTAACAAAAAAAAGTGTGTTGGCGTTTATTTTCTCAAATGACAAATACAAATGGCGAACGTGCTTACAGCTGGAATCCATTCGTATAGTTTGAGCTCTGTTCCGCTCACTAGAAACCTGTTGGAGTCGGGATGGGGTGACCATATAATTGATCGCGAGGACGCCATTGAGGAGAAAATAATAATAAAAAAAGCGAACGGGCTTCTCTGTAACTCACCAAAGGAAGATTATGTGGGGGGAGAGATATGCGCACGGAATTCCAAGCCGATGGCCAATGAGATGATAGGTTTAGTCTATCACTCAAATTAAATTGACAACATCCCAAAACGTTATAATTTGTTTCTAAGCTAGAACATACAGGTAGTACGATAACCTGTATAAAATGGATCATCTTAGGAAACTTACCCTCTCTTCTCCTAGTACATGTAGCGATCTCGATCAAGACTCTGTAGTAAATCCACTTATTCAGCTCGATCCCCATTATTAACCTTCAAGCTAGCATTGATGATTCTTTTGTGACGAAAAGACCTAAAGCTATTACAATGGCTAGGTATAGAATGTCACAAAATCAAAGTGTACACAGTAGATCCCCGTAAGCAAATTTATAGAGATTTACAACATTTTCCCAGTACATTCGTGTATAATATATAATGTGTGAGGAACGAAAAAAAACCAGGACAGAGTTTATTGAGTGCATGCATACATGTCATATAAAAGACGGTATGTTTTTGTGAGAAACAGAGGGAAGGAGGTGGGGGGGGGGAGGATTTGCCACTACTGAGGACCACCAGCTCCTCGTTGAGCATTCAATAGCTCTTGCATACGTTGCTGAACCTTGGCGGTAAGATAGTGGAACACGGCTTCCTTGACCCATGGTTGCTTGTAAAAGTCAGTTTGTCTCATTTCTTCCAAATTGATCTTACTCTCGCCGAGGATGACTTCGAGATCTCTTGCTTGGCTTGCAATCCATTTGTTAATAAACTCGACAGGGTTCTGTGCAAATTGCATTAAAAAGTCGCGCTTGATCTTGGAGTTGTTGATGCTTTGTACACATTGAACAATCTTATCATCCAGACCCATGATTTCCTTTTGTAATTGTGTTGATGAAACCAAGTTCATCATTTTTTGACGAACAACGCTGTCAAGCTCAACATCGACATCAAAAGCCTGTGAAGATTGATGGAATTCCTTATCGACCCTGTTTAAAAAAATGTCCCCCCCAGTTAGCTTTCATAGTAGCAACAGTGTACATCTGCTTTAGAATTTACCGAATGGTGTAGTTGATGACAATAGGATCCGGCCGTGCCAAATGACTGTTGATAAGTTCTGGTATGTGTGAAAAGTGTAATTGTGGTGCGTTGAAGAGCTAATAGAGTGGATGGAGGAGGAGAATTTTAGAGAGATTTGCTACCTCTTGCTCCGTCAAACCATCACCGGAATAAAAATAGGCATCTCTTTCTTTACCTCTTGCATACGAGCATCACAATGGATCACTCGTTTATCCTCGGCATCTTGTAATTTGTGGTGTTTGATATAGTTCCAAATACCCATTACAATTTGAGGCTTTGTTTCCAATTTCATGTCGAGGAGCTCTGATAATGGTGCGTCCAACTTGAACTTTTGCGGCATATACTCGGGATCCAAAATGATCCGTGCTTTTACATTTACATCTCCTCGTCGGCTCACTTCGACACCATCGTGTTCAGGGCTGTTGGGTTGTTTGTGCCACTTATAAATTGTAACATATGTAAGCACATTGTACTGTTTTAATCATCATAGTTCCATTTCCAAATCATTTTTTTTCCATCCTTGGCAAATTTGCTGCTGACCACATAATAACTACCTCGACTGTGTTGCCTTCTGGATAAAGCTTAGGATCCCGATCAAGCTCAATGCAAATCGACCGGAAAAACGACGTGAATTTTTGAACTGGTTGTGCTTTTTTGGTAGGAATTGGAGGCTGGTAATAAGTGTTGTCAGCCAACATTGCATTGTGAAGATTTATTTTAAAAAGTAGTAGTAGTAGTAGTAGTAAGTTTGAACTTACATCCAAAAGTCTGCCCTCGATCTTGAGTGTCCACGACGGTGGATTACCACTATTGAAATCATAGTTTTCATCTTCGGTATTTTGTTGTGTTGGTGCTTGATCAGAGGATGTGTTGGATACAAAAATACGTAACGTTCGTTTGACCTTTACAATTTAGATTTTTGCGTGTGAGCAACAATTATACAGGTATATCGGTGGAAACGAATCACATTCAATCTTCATTTAATACCTTGGTGGGCTTGCCCAAAGCTTCTTGAACGTCCAAACGTTTTCTCATGATTGTAGCGTCTAGCTTTTTCTCAAATTCGTTCAATTCTGTATATAATTTCGATTCCGGTACAAAGGCTTCAATCTTTTTAATAGAAATAGGAACGCAAAATTCACAGAAATATTTAGTATATAAAAGTTGCACTTTAGTTATCGTGTCAGTGAATAAAAAAGAAAAAAGCCTACTTTGGGTGGCATGTTGCGATCTGTAGGACGCTTTTTTCTAAGTACCGTGTGATGGTCTTAATTAATTTCCAAGTAATTATATGATTGACGAACGCAATGAACGCGTCCTTATACAAAAAGTCAAAGGATCGTATTTTTTGTTCAGATTGACTCACTTGATGTGCTTTGCCAACGAATCTGTTTCATTAGAGCGCTTTCTGTATTGAACAGACTGCCCTGCCATTGCTTGTTGAGGCATCATGTTGGGTGGTGGCTGGCCCATGGGTGGCCCCTGAGGGTAATGTTGCATTTATGTAAAGGTGGTTTTGGTGGAGGGTTGGAAGGAGCCAAAAAAAAAAAAGTGGAAAGGAAAGAACGAACATGTCCTGGTTTTAGCACCAGCAGATAATCAAAACGCTATTGGCCCAAAATCTACACGCTCAAAGCTGGGGGTGCCCCTCAAGTCACAGACTATCGAAGGTAAAGTCTTCTTTTGGACATCAAACTTTCCTTCCGCCTTCTTGCTTTTTTTAACCTTTTCAACTTTTTAAATTAAAAAAATGGCGTACGATCCAAAAGCCGATGAAAAACTAAGCTTTGAAACATCCGAGAATGTAAGAACCTTGTTTTGAATACACGTATATTTTTAACGATTGAATAAGACATTTAACCTTTTTTTTCATGTTTTTCATTTTAGGTCAAGGTCGTCCCTACCTTCGATTCGATCGGCCTGAAGGAAGATCTACTTCGTGGTGTCTACGCTTACAACTTTGAAAAGCCATCCGCCATTCAGCAAAGAGGTAATACACTCATTGATCAACACGTTGAAAGAGAACATCTTGCTTTTTTTTCTTTCGACAATAAAATGCTGAAAAAAAAAAATTATTTTTAGCCATTGTCCCCATTATTCGTGGACGCGATGTCATTGCTCAGGCCCAATCCGGTACTGGTAAAACAGCCACGTTGGCCATTTCAGCACTTCAGACGATCGACACGTCACTTCGCGAAACACAAGCATTGGTCCTTTCGCCAACACGTGAACTGGCCACACAGATTCAAAGCGTTATCTTGGCCTTGGGCGATTACATGAATGTGCAGTGCCATGCCTGCATTGGTGGCACGAGCGTGGGTGAAGATATTCGACGATTGGATAACGGTGTACATGCGGTTTCCGGCACCCCTGGCCGTGTATTTGACATGATTCGACGACGCAACTTGCGTACGCGTAATATCAAAATGTTGATTCTTGATGAAGCAGACGAGTTGCTCAACCGTGGTTTCAAAGACCAAATTTACGACGTGTATCGATACCTGCCCCCGGCCACGCAGGTCGTTCTTTTGTCGGCTACTTTACCCCACGATGTTCTCGAAATGACCCGCAATTTCATGACCGAACCCATCCGGATATTGGTCAAGCGTGATGAATTGACCCTCGAAGGCATTAAGCAGTTTTTCGTCGCTGTCGAGCGGGAAGAGTGGAAGTTTGATACATTGTGTGACCTTTATGATACATTGACCATTACTCAAGCCGTTATTTTCTGTAACACTCGACGCAAGGTATGATGAACATGAAAGGAGAAATTTTAAGAATGGTTTTTACTTTTGGGAAATCAGGGTTAGTGAAAATATAATGGGTACTGCGTAATACTAATGCAATGTGTTGTATGTGATTTTTTTTAGGTCGATTGGCTTACTGAAAGAATGCGAGAGTCCAACTTTACTGTTTCGGCTATGCACGGTGAAATGCCTCAAAAGGAGAGAGATGCTATTATGCAGGAATTCAGACAGGGCGCAAGGTAAAGTATCGATGGGTGGTGAAATTGTTGAGGTTTTTCCGTGATAATGATCTCATCTCTTTTCTTTTCTTTTACCCCTGTGTGTTTTAGTCGAGTGCTGATTACTACGGACGTTTGGGCTCGTGGTATTGACGTACAGCAGGTCTCTTTGGTCATCAAGTAAGTATCATGGATATATATATATATATATTACCTGAGGAGCTAGAAAGACTATAAAGGCGTACTCATCTATATTTTCTAATTCAGCTACGATCTTCCCTCTAACCGTGAATTATACATTCATCGTATTGGTCGTTCCGGCCGTTTCGGCCGTAAGGGTGTTGCCATTAACTTTGTAAAGAACGACGATCTCAAGATCTTGCGTGATATTGAACAATACTACAGTACCCAGATTGATGAAATGCCAATGAATGGTAAGCACAATTGTCTTGTATATATGTTTTGTAGACAGAATTATATCTAAACCTACTCGTTTCTATTACTTTCTAGTCACCGACTTGGTTTAAAAAAGAGTGTTCTGTCCCCTCCCCCCCCTTGGAACGAGAGTTTGGAAGAAGAAAAAAAGTATAAAAATTAAGAATGATGCCACTCGTGTGTGTGTGTGTGTGTGTGTTTTGTTTTTCCGTTCCTTTCGCATTTTCGCGTTAAATTCCTTTTCTTTAAAAAAGCTTAGCAGAATCCCGTTATTCCACATGTATAATGCTATTGTCATCAAACATATTTCTTTGCTATGGCTACAACAACCCAACCAACTTTATTTATTTTGTCACATGTTACGCAATATTTTTCAGTCTGGCTAGCGTTCCATAAACAATGGTTGTGATACTGTCATCCAGATCGTGATGGCTCTTTGCTACTTGAACCAGGTCTTCTATCTGACAATCCTGACTTGTTACCTAGTAGCAAAACATCAAGAAAAAAACCGACAGTGAGTTATTACTATCAATATATATGATATCAATAGAAGATGGGTTCAACTCACCGATGCGTTCTCAAACTTGTGATTTTTTATTTCGATAAGCAACTCGTCTTTGTGATCGTTGGCAAAATGGACAATCAATCCATTGGGCGTTGTCACAAAATCATCAATGCCAACCATATCATGTTGCTCCTGTAACACGGTCTGATACCTACTTATCACAATCAGACATAACGGGCTTAATATAAAGTCACATTTCTTCTTTTTGAACGATTGTTCTTTTTCACATACCAATGTGTTGTTTCCTCAATTTTCCGGTTGTGTTCCTCGTCATACAGTTGACGTCCAGAGGCTTCTTGTTTTAAATCCTCGAGCCGTTTCTCCAATTCATCCACCGCACGCTGCTTCTCTGCTGCTTCTCTGTTCATTTGGGCCATGCGATCTCGTCGATCATCAATATCCGTGTTGATTTCAATAATATCATTGGTCAGCTGCTCTTCAACTTGCATTGCTTCTTCGAGAGGAACACCTGTTTGTTGAGCCAACTGTGCTTCGACTTGTTGTAGAGCTTCACTCTAATCATTAGGAATCAGTTAGGTGTCTCTCCAACTTCTTTCTCAGTCTTATCTTACAAACACTCCCGTACATTCTCTTTGATCTCCTCAATGACTCGACTCAGTGCATCTGCCTTTAATGATATTGACACATGTACTGGGGGTTTTCATCGTTAAAAGAAATAGAGAGAGAACCATCGCTTAGAGCAAAATGATTTTGTTTTGGATATATAGTGTAAACATTTGCTTTTCTTACATTCTTCTACTCGAGTAGCTCTTTGCTGCAGGGTGCTTTTGAGTCCATCGATTTCATTTTGACTACTCTGGATTCGATGCTCCAGTTCAGATGCCCGTTTGTCTATTGAGTGAAAACCAAGTTACTCTTTCAACTTTTTGTTTGTAATTATTCAAAAGATAATAATGATGTGTATATATCTGAACCTGCAACTTCGAATTCACTTTGTGTCACTTGGTGTGGTGCATCTTGATTCAATACCAGTCTTAGAAACTTTTCTTTTGTTTCTCGCTCTAGCAATACTCCTTCAAGCTTTTCGGCATAGTCCTAGCATAATATGCACGCCACCATCAGTACACTTTGACGAAATTCGTAATCAGTTGACAACATTCTCTAACATTGACTTACTTTGTAATCGTCGAGTTCCTTTTGTAATGAAGTAGGGTGAAGTGGAAGATTGATCGTGTGTCGTTGGGTATTGGATGATGCTCCACCTATTGACAGACCCATTTGGTCATTGTATTTCTTTTGTAATTTGTATAGGTATAATTCCTTTTCTTTGAATTCTCGAATACTCCTATTTTTTGTTTAGATTCACATTTAGAAGCCCTGCTATTTGTTAAAAGATTGATGCAAGCGTGTACCTTGCTAATTCAGTATTATCCATGTTGCTTTGAGCGTGTAAAAAGAAACAGGTTCGGGTTTCACAGGATTCAGCATGATCCACAAAAATTATTTAATTATTTTTTTTCGCGACGCGTCGAACGCGACACCTTTTATTTTATCGGGTTGCAGACCAACCCTCAGAGTTCATCCGCTGCCATCTATCATATACTGACAACAGGACATTTTCTCACAAAAAAAAATTGAGGTTCTTTTAAACCCAGTAATAACCAGCGAGTTTTCATGTTTATTTCTTTTCTATCAAGCATTCATCGTCGTAAGGTTTATGATATATGCAACATGATTTGATTATAAAAGCTTCAAGTGACCCGTGACACTGTTGATAAGTTCTACTGGACCTATTTGAGCAATACGTACTTTAGTAACACATGCGGGTATTTTCCATATTATTGCCATGCTATTATCTTATCTTGGCGTTGGAAAAACTTACCAGGTCCAATGCCAAGGACTGTCCGTGATCCCGCAGCAATCTGTGTTCGACCTGCATCGCATATACTTTGTGCTGTTAAGTTCAAGCTAAGTGCAATTGCTTGAAGTTCGAGTCTACAGAATGTGATATTAGTTTCGCTTTAAACACCCAGTTCCCACCCGATATTTCTTGGATACACGGAAAAATTCAAAAGGTATGTCACTAACAGTTTTTCTTCACTATCAATCTTTAATGCAACCTTGGCTTGACCTGTACGTTCCCAAGTTTGAAGCACCTATTATTATTATTTTTATTCGTTTCAGCACAGATCGTCTCGTTGAGTTTCTAACAGCTTAATAGCGATATTTTACCTCTGGATTGCTTTTGGAAGCAGCCTTGTAGCAAGCCAATGTGGCGTGACCGCACTGAAAATTACACATAATATCAAGTATAACTTGATGAGTATAACAGTAATGGAAAGGTTTTTCTTTTCTTTTTTGCTGCTAACCTGTGCGGCAACTTTGCCCTTCGTCATACCAAGGTCTGTGCGCACTACAAGTACCTACATATATACATATATACAATTTGTTAAATAAGCAAAAGGAAGAAAGAACGTTGTAGTTTCTTGGCCGCTAAAGGTGTTGTTGACTTGAAGGCATTACCATTTTGTAATCGTTATACTTTGCTGCATCTATTTTGCCTTCAGGTAATTCGTCCAATTCCTCTTCGTCTTCAATGTCGCTGTCATTCTGTTTTGGGTCGGATCGCGATGTTCCCGGGTTCTAAATCACAGAGAAAGGGTAGGGGAAAACGTGTCAGTCCCTCGCTGGGCTGGGGTGGTTGCGTTAAGAGTAAATGGGTGTTATTTTCTGGTGGAGAGAAAAGTTTACGTTTGCAAAGAGTGAATGGCCCAAGTAAATGCCGGATAAAAAGCTAACAACAGCAATGGCGGCGCCCTGAGCCAATAGTTGGTTATTCATATCTTTAACAGAAAATGTACAATTCAAAAAGAGAGGCAAATGTTTTTGGGCTTTTTTGAGCAGGCGCTTCAAAGCGTCCTCGCGCGTCAGCTGGCATTTTTCGTGTCATCCTATCGCTTTTTTCGCACACTCAGATCAAAGCTGTCAACTCTGTTTTTAGCTTCGATCATGGTTACGGGTATTAGGACATGTTATAGCATCTAGCAACAGAGCTTTACTTTTATAAGCACATGACACTGAACAGCACTGCCTGATACCATAAATAGTTGAACGGAATACCACAGCTCGTTTGTTTTTACTTTAATCGTTCTGATAGCGTAGTAGTCCAAGCTTTGATCTCGCATAAATCAGCCGGCTCTTTCCATGTTTTGAAAAAGACCATGGTGTGGTGGTCATATTCGTCTGCTGCATTGTGCTGCTATACTATATACGTCCTGCAACTGAAAAAGAAAGATTGCAATCATAACGATATGGCAGGATCAAGGCATCATATCTCTTTAGAAATGCCGAATACTGTATCTGTATATGTGATATGTATATACCATTATTGTTCGTCGAAACTGACAATGTCCCCCCTGCTTCTTTTCTTATAGCATTTCCGTACTTGTATAAAGGAGAAATCCTATAGTGAGACCGGACCGAGCAAGCCTTCCATCATCATCATCTTTTGGTTAGAATTCCAATACCATTGGTCCGATAGGGTGATGGTGACAACAACAGGTGGCGATAAAAGCTATGTTGGATAACACGATATGTTCTTTTAGCAGGAACTGTTCTTTTTTTCTTGTTGATGCACAAGGAAAGAAAAGATAATGTCTGTGGGAGCTTTATCAGTGCCAAGAAAAGGGCAAAAAAGTGCATTAAATAAATTTGCCACCCAAAAGTTTTTGACACTCCTCCCAGAACGCTTTTTTTTTGGGTTTTTTTAAAACCTCTCTTTCTTTCTCTTAATGGCCCCATTGCACTCTAGTGCCGTTGTATTTTGCCATGGAAGAGGTCTACAGCCATCACGACCATGGTAAGCGAACCCCGTCGCCTTCCAGCAACTCGGACGAATTTGTCTTACACATGGACGGCGCTACTACTACTACTACCACACACACTAGAAACAATGGTCGCTCGTCGTCTGCATCATCATCGTCACCACCTTCACCTCCACGCCGATCCACGGTAGACGAAGACGTACTTTATGCAACCCATCCTCATCCTCATCCTTTGGATAACGATGCTGTGCAAGCCGATGTATTACGTTCATTGATACAAAGCAACAACACGACGTCCGAAGACGACCATGAATATGCCTTGCAACGGCAATATACTGCTCGATTGGATGATTTGCTGGAGAATTCAGAAAAGCGACCGCAAAGACGGTACAGTCTGTATGGTGAAAATGTCAAAGTAAGCTTTGCTTTTAGAAAGGGACTCTTATCCCCGTTGGATAAATGTGTGTGTATATGATATGGGAGGATGATTTCCACACTGACTCTCTCCGGGTTCGCAACTAGGATCCAACCAGGGTGGAACGCGGTGCAGATCGCTATGTGTTTTACTCGGCTGATTTAGGATCGGTCAAGAGCCAATCGTTGAAGCAGCTCATGATGAAGCACGTGCATCAGGATGAAAAGCAACAGAAGAGTGTTGCAGAAGTTTTGTTGAAAACAACAGGATGGTGGATCGATGCTTTTGCTGCTACGAACGAAGAGATGCGCATGATGAGCCAGGTAGTTCATTTTTATTTCTTTGATATCTTCAATTCGAACATACACTGCCAAGGTGTCGTTTTTGAAAGGGCTAGATCTATACTCTCTCTTGTAAATTATGAAATTTACTAAACTGTTTTATTAACCCCTCTTTTTGCTAGGTGTTTCGAATCCATCCTTTGACCACCGAAGATATCCAGGCCCAAGAATCGCGTGAAAAGTGCGAAATATTCCAACATTACATGTTTATCAGTTTCCGAAGCTTCAACCACGATTCACACAGTGCAAACTATCTCGAAGCTGTCAACTTTTATATCATTGTATTTAAAACAGGCGTCTTGACGGTTCGTAATTCGGCAAATCGGGGCAATTTATATAAGAGAGGGAAGGAAGAAGTAATGGGAGAAATCATGCTAAAACGGAAAAATAAAATAAAATTGGGGGCCAACCCACCCTCTCTTTTTGTTAATTTATATGATACAGTTTCATTTCCAGCCGCTTCCACATCCACACAACGTGAGACGACGTATCCATCAGCTAAAAGATTTCATCCACGTCACACCCGAATGGATCAACTATGCGTTGATTGACGATATCACAGACAGTTTTGCTCCACTTATCCAACATACCGAACTGGAAGTGGATTCCATCGATGATTTGGTGTTGGTGTTGAGCGGATCGGAGCAAGCGGATATGCTCCGCCGAATTGGCGCTTGTCGTAAAACCGTGATGCAGTTGCTGAGACTCCTTGGGCCGAAAGCAGATGTCGTACGAAGCTTGATCAAACGCTATGACGATAAGTCCAAAGAAGCGGCGAATACGACCAAGACGACGACGCAAGGCGTTAGCAACCAATCAAAAGAGATCCGCAAAATCCAACATGAAGTCACCTTGTATCTTGGTGATATCCAAGGTAACGTTTTTGATATGCCCATATAACAGGGACCCCCCGGAACAATGATTTACTAAATTTACAATCTACGTTAGACCATATCCTTACTATGCTCCAAAACGTGAATCATTACGATCTCATTCTTGGTCGAGCCCATCGTAATTATCTCGGTCAGATATCAATAGAAATGTCCCAGGCAGGCAATACCACCAACGAAATGATTAACCGTTTGACTTTTTTGGCAACGATTGTGGTCCCCTTGAACTTGGTTGCCAGTTTATGGGGTATGAACGTGTATGTACCTGGCCAAGATGAGAAAGACTTGACGTGGTTTTTCTGGATTGTATTGGGCATGTGTATGTATATAGTAGCAATGGTAGCATTTGGCAAGCGGTTTGGGCTTGTTTAAAAAATGTTTCCATGTTGTCATATTATCACTCTTCCTTTTCCTTATTTCTCGTCATCATTTCCTTCCATCTATTGTCTCATACATCATACATACCTACTACATTACATACATTACATATTACCAATAATAAACTAAAAGCCATCTTTCATCATGATCATGGATAAAGTTAAAAGCATATATTATTAGTGACGGACAATAACTATAGTTGCCCCATCCAGATTGACTAGTTGAAAAGTAGGTAACTTATTGTGGAAGACTTATTGACCTTCGCCTAGTAGAGCTTACATAATGAGCGGTATACATACATAGCATCAAAGTCTTGGATATAAGCAAACTGTGTCTGATGTTACATGTCTTGGAAAGTGGTGTCGAAAAGACTTGTCGTCAACCATACCATCTCGACAGCAAGCAGTAGTTGAAAAATGGTACAGGCGCATAGCCCTTTAAATTGTATGGTCATAGCCCACTATTGAGATAGACCCATTTTCTAACAATACCATGAAAGTGGATAATTACATACAGTATTTGTATATATGCACAAAAAGAATTGGACATGAGTGCGTGATAGTAAAGATGAACCTGAGTAATAATAGATCACTTGATTTTTATTATTATTTTTTTGTTTTTCCTTTTTGTAAATATAGAAAAAAAAGAAAAAGAGATATAAAGAAATATGTGTTATGTGTGAGTGAGTGGTGTCGAGAACAGATTGATAGAGACAGAGAGAGAGAGAGAGAGTTAGGAGGGAAAAAAAGAATAAAATGATTTTTTAGTTTTTTGAAAACGTGCCATGTTGTGTATTTATGTGAGATTGTGCGTGTGTGAGTGTGTGTGTGTGTGTGTGTGTCTGTGTACGTGCGTGTGTAAGTGTATAGAGCTCCCTCTTCCGGTTTTTTAAACGGCTTCATCCTCATCCATCGTTGCCGGCAACTCTGATGGTTTGACCATACCAGGGATAGCTAATGCCTTTTCACGCTCGGCCTTTCGCTTGGCCTCCATTTCAGCCTCCTTCTCTTCCAAATACAGTTCGGCGTTTTCACCTGCAAACTCCTTGAGTTGGATTAAGAAATCACGCACTTCGAGCTTGAACTTTGAAGAGTTGTTGTTGTACTCGAACATGGCCATCACAAACACCTTGATTTGACCGCTAGTATCAAGAAGAAAGAAAGAAACTTTTTAGTTTTCTCTCTCTAAGTTGGAAGACAGTGTGTTGGATATACCTTTGTAAATGTGGGAATGCGTTCTGAAGCAGTGCAGTGACATACTGCTCCAAGAACTGTGCATTCGTCGTATTGGGGTCCGAGACTTGTGAAGCATCATACAATGGTACTTGGATTCGGTTACTTGTAACCAAGTTGAACAGTTGTGCCAGTACTTCGGTTTGTCCCTTGAAACCTACACACATATACACGAGAAAATACTCGATCAATGCCATCCGGGATTACCTGGGCTATACGATTGAACCCCCCCTTTTCACACTTACCGCTCTTGTGATCTCGATCTGTCAGAACGAAAAAGATGTCTTGTAATATACTGCGATAGTACGAACGATAGAATGCTCCAGCAATAGCTGGATCCGTATTGCTGATATTGATAATCAACTCGGAGCAGATTTGAAGACTGACATCTGCAATATCACGCATGGTGTGCTTGAAGCCCCATACAACGCTGTCAATGAACAATTTAAACTGGGCGGGTGCAAGCTCCAGTAATGCTGGGAAACAGTGTTGATTGATGGCCAGCAGCATGTTGTAGAAGCCCGTTCGATGGTCTGGGAATTCGGCAAAGTCCTTGGTGATCATATTCAGCGTTGGTTCGAACGTTGCTTCGAGTATAATGGGAATTCTGGGTGTCGCCATGCTCTAAATGATTAAACACAAAAAAAGTTGCAAGTTAAAGCACACACACTCTATCTCCTTTTTTTAAGCGCTCAACCCAAACAACAAACACAGAAATAAACTTACTCGCAGTTTGTTGACCAAAGTGGCCAAGACATTTAATACTTCGTGGTCTCTGGCAATGTCTACGTTGTTTTGATAATCCGACAACACAGCTTCAAAGAATGGACCGACCATACTTTGTTCGACCTGAGCAAGATCCTCGGCGCATTCCAGATAAGCATCGATGAGCTTGAGGATTTCCTTTTTGATTGTTCGAAGACCTCGAATCTTGGGTGTTTTGATGGCGATAACACCTACATAAGGACATTTGTATAAACATCATTTCCCACCCTTTCTCCTTTCAAAAGTCCTCGGGAGCGTTATGTCTAAAAAAGGCATCTTACCTTGCTCGGCTACTGCTTGGGATACCAGTTTGCCGACGATACCATACAAAGACAACAGATCCATGTAGATCTTGCTCAATTGAATGATATAACCAGGACCCACGGATATGCATGCAGCGACATTGGTCTTGAGAACATTGCCCAAGACCTTGATATCGCTGGCATTGTTCAACACGTTGACGTCTTGCTTGGCTTGTGCCATGATGCTGTTCCACTATATGTACGCAAAAAATAATATTAAAGTCAACGATACTGGGACATTCTCCCAAAAGACCATCCTGCGCGAAAAGAGGGTGAAAAAAATATAGACTTACAGCAGCATTTGGCAGTTCCATAAAATTGATCATTAACCGCTCTTGGGCAGGCTTGTTGTGATTCTGGGCAGAGATCATGTAGCCAACAGCTTCATAGAAAGTGTGGATCTAGATAACATGTGTAAAGAAAAACACTACTTTGCAAAAAAAAAAAAATAGACAAATGCATCTTTTTCTTTCTTACCTGTTGTGGCTGGAGATCAGAGGTAATGCCATCGATAGATTCCAAAATCTCATCAATAAACGGCCGCAATTCACCCGCCTTTTGCGAGACAAAGTGACTCTTGCACTTTTGGGAAATCTTGATAAAAGTATCACAAGCCATGTCCTGGACACCTTCATGGGACTCGTGCATGAATTCGAACAATTTGTTGACAACCGTCTTGAGGAACTTCCAGTGTGCCTTTAAGAACCGTGGGTATTGACCGACCGTGTACATAATGTTGGATGCTACAACGGCCTTGTTGTCCTTGCCGCTCTTCTTTTCACACAAGCTCAAAAGTTCCTTGATGACTGTCACCAGGAATCGCTTTTCAGTTTCTTCGTTCATTGCACCGGAAATCGAACCAATAGCCCAGCATAATTTGTTCAAGTTTTGCCATGACCATTCCGAACCATCCATCTATATTTTGAAGTATGTTAAATCCCACACCATTAAAGTGCTATCCTCTTTTTTTCTTTTTCAAGGTGTATTTTCCAGAGAGAAACTGTATTTTTGCACCAACCCTCTATTCCTTACCTGTCTTGCCAGCTTATTCGTCATGATCTCCTCAGTATCAGCAACATCCAAGTTGGTCAAGTAGACGAGCACCTCCTTCATGCTCTTGTACAAGACGATCGTGTCGCTTTCCTTGACGAATTCGCGCACAATTTCACCTTCGTCGTTCTCGACAACCAACACTTCTTCTGGCTTGACCATGCGCTCGATCATGACCACTCGCAAACTCGAAAGCACATCTACATAGAGCATCTTGCGAGGTCTGTAACCGTGAAGACCGCCGCTCATGGGACCGGCGTTCAGTTCTAACAGATGTTCGGGTTGTGGCATGGAACGTACTTCTTCGAAAAGCTCTTGCACCTAATGTCATCAAAAACCATAATAATCGCGCACGCATACATGGATCATTTAAATATACAGAAACATATAGCAAAGCTTATCCAACAACCCCCCCCCCATCCCACAATCCAATCTTACCAATTGTGCCCAGTACTCCAAACAAATCTTGAAAATTTCACGGTCCTCCACACTGGAAATCTTGATAAGGTAGTAATGAGCGTTGATCAAAAGGTCTTGGGTACCAGGTGCTTGTTCGATGATCTAAGTTTCGAACATGATGATTAGCATTCACTATTACTTTATTAGACCCTACACTTTCCTCCACCTGGTATATTGGTTGTTTACCTTGAGATGTGCGGTCAAGAAACTGGTCAAGAACAATGCCAAATTCTGGACAAATTCTTGATCATCGTCACTGCTGTTTTCGTATACATCATGGATGTCTATTTTTTTAAACACACACTGTCTTAGTACACACGAATACCGCTTTTACAAAAATAAAAAAAAAAGTGAGGGGTGGTGGATACGTTACTGGTATTGGGAGGAATCATGACGTTAACGGCGCTCATGACACTGGTAAAGAGGATGGCGAGCTTTTCGTGGTATTGAGCTTCAACCTTGAGACCACCAATTTCTGTCAAGCATTTGAGCGTAACGTTGCGAAACTGTGGCACTTCAAAGAACTATAAAAAAAATGTTTTTAGTAATCAATCCTCCTTATCGGTAAAGGAAAAAAAAAGGACTCTTAATGACACATTACTCTTGATCGAAGGGTTTCAATAAGATCTGTCTCGAAAATGTAACCCAAAGGAATCCAGTTGAGGAAACGCAACAAGGTTTCCAAAGTGGCCTTGATCAAACTGGGCTTCTGGGCACGGTCCAGCACCTCCTTACACAATTGGAAGATTTCGGAAAACTCGCCGCACATTTGATTTCGAAGGTTGGATGTCTTGATTTGGGTCATCTGTTCCGCTGAATAATCAAAAATTTCCTCACTGTAAACCGAGGAGGGGGGCCCCCATTGTATATCAAGTCAAGTCAGTTCCATTGCATCATTCGGAAGGAAAAAAAAAAAAAAAAGACATCCTATCCCCACTCCAAGAAACGGGATTTGACAACTACTTACCTAAGCAGTTTCAGGATGGCCATGTTGTTTTCACAAAGTGAAAGGTTGGATTTGCTTGAAGCAACAATTTCGGGAATGAATGATGGCCAGTTGCGGGGCCATTCTTGCTTGAGAATCTAAAGAGAGTGGGATTTGATGATGATTAGAGCAAGCGAATTGTATCTGAGAGTCACATTGAGTCCCTTCTCTCGCTTGCTTGGATAACGTGGAAAAACAGCTGGTAGTACTAGCTATCAACAACATGTAAAGAGCCGATAAGAATACCTGGACCAACACCATGTTGAGCTTGTTGACATAAGTCTTTTCCTTCACCAAGGTGTTTTCATCCGAAGACACCTTTACGATAACGTTCACGATAAAGTAGCGAATGGCTATTCAAGTAAAAAGTTGTAAAATTCATAAACTTCATTAGCATTTGAGATTACCCACACCCCCCCTCCCACCCTTCTCCCTCTAAAGTTAAAAGTATTGTTTCTTTCTCGCGTTTTTTTTTGTCTCTTACCATTGCGACTGTCGGGAAGGAGCGTGTTCCATCTCGTTTGCACGAATTTCTCAAGGATCTGAAGCGCGATAAACTATTATACAGAAATCGCGCGGTTTTTTTTAAAGGTATATAAAAGTTAGGACATTACGAATGAGGAAAAAAAGACGCACACAGAGAGAGAGAGAATCCTTCCGGTTTCCACTGCTTTTTTTCCAGGTACACACACGCAACCAAGGGCATAAGCTCTCAAGTTGTTTGTTGTGCTTTAAGCGTTTGGCGCGAGTTGAGGGAATAAAAAAAGGGGGGGGAAGAGGGGGTGATTGATACAAGAAAAAAAAAAAAAGAGTCGAATGTAAAAAAAATACGAACCTTGGTTTGTGGTACACTGGATCGTTCGAGAATGCCATCTACTCTGGTCCATGCTTCTTCATGGTCTTGGAATTGGGTCAATAATTGTTGTGCCGCTTGTTGCTACATCAATAGAGCGTGGTAAAAAAAAAAATGTTTTTTTTTCAAATTAGAATGCTGCGTTACGTGTGTACCAGTATTATTATCAGGAAAAAAAAAAGGGTGGAAAGTATTAAAAAAAAAGTAGCAGTGATTGGGAAAAGTAAAATCTTACGTCGTTGCCAAAACCTCCAAAGAAGGTCATGACGACTTGATCAAGGACAGCGACATCCAATTCTTTACTAAAATCAAGAATGCTTTCGGGAGCAGCCATTGTTCGAAATGTGAATGTCGTGTAAAGAGCGCGCCTATGCGGGTCCCCCAGTCGGTCAGCCGTCTTAAGAAATTTATTAACGCTGCCCGCGCGCGGGGTGGGGACGTTCGGCACTGGAAAATCCGAGACTTAGTGTGTGTGTGTCTTTTTCATGTTTAGGGAAAATGCCAACACTGCTACTGACTCTGTTTGTTCTGTTACAAGCCTGTTTTTTTCAGTGATCGTATTCTGTATCCCCTCCCCACCGTTATTCGTAGATTGGACAGTGGCGCTTTATTCACCCCCCCGGTTTGTTCAAGAAAGACGGGTGGTTCGTTTGAGATAGGCGTTGATGAACAACTAGAAGGCCAATCATCAAGGCAGACCTTTTCATGCATGCAGCACCCTTATGCTTATTAAGCAACCAATATTGCATACAAAAAGAGACAAATAACGCTTACTAGTGCTATAGAGAGTTTCTTTATCTTTGAGCAGTATGATGTATCTCTATCTTGTGGCTGAACGACCCGGGCATATATTAAATGTGCATGACCAGCGAGTGGAGAAGATGACTCGAGTCTCATATCCTTTGGTTATATTTTAGTTTCATGGAGATTCTACATTACTCTATATCTGTCGCCATATTGTTTAGTACTCAAGCTTTAAGATTGGATCTATTTCAGTGTAGCTGTCATCACCTGTCGCTGGTTGATGTATTCCTTATGAGCGTTTGCTAAAAAAAAAAATTCAGATAGCAACAACACTCTATGTAGAATCTTCTGTACCAAGACTCCCACTACTACAGTTATCGCGAATGCGGAAAGTACCTGTCATACTATGCGATACCAGTAAAGATGTGAGAGAGAGCACGTCTGTGTATATGCCACCGGCATCATCCAAGATCGTTAACAAACACTTTGTGCTTTAGAAAAAAGCTGCAATTGAGTACATACATGCATCCAGAAGCGACACCGTTGCGAATTGCTCATGCTATTAGGCATCTGTAACATGATGATTTGAACGTACGTACTCTGCATAAAACAAGGCACTGCTGTGTTCCTAGTAAGTTTAATAGTTTTTTTGCTTGAAATTGATATCTTGCCAACTGGCCAGCAGTGGCTAAACGCAAGAGTATATACAGCTAGTAGTTTAAATATTTCGTCAGCAACAACATTGATTAAATGTACATGGTCGGAATTCTCCCCGTTTTTTGGTTCCAAAGATTCGCGCTGCTGCACCAGAAAAAGGAAAAAAAGAGATTTACAGTTTATCTTCTATAAATAACGACAAATGAAGAATAGCGACTGACCATTGGACCGAATTGAAATCATGACAGCTATCATAAATGACGTAGTATTAGTAGATATCTTTTTGGCTGGTACTCGCTGCTCCTGATACACTATATGAAACTTATTTCTATTCAACGGAGGATGATTTATGCAATGACGTTGTGCATATATAAACAGGAACGAGCGTATCACTTTTTTTTTATTTCCAAGAGCGACGCTACTACTTATACCACCACCATGGCATTTGCCCTCGAAATACAGAAGCATTTTTCATATGAAAAATGTCAATGCGTTGTAACCCCATCTTGGAGAATGAATGTATTACCCCGCTTCCATAAAGCATGCCAAGCAGATAGCCACGATTGACAATACATATTCTTCGCCCATTCTCACCGTTCTGCTTCATCAGCTGGTCAGCCACATAATAATAATAATACAAGATTGATTCTCATCCCTTTTTTTAAATACCAACTTTTTGCATCTACATATTACTACAAACATTCAGAGCACGTGTATAAATAAGAGTGTACCCACACTGTCTCTCGCGCGCAGATCATTTTGATAAACGCTGGTCGCACCAATTGTCTAAAAGTATTTGCCTTCAAACAAGTCGAGTTTTGGGGGAGTTTTATTTTCTCTTACATCACACGTTATCATTGATGTCCTTTGATATCGTCCAAATCCCGGGCAACCCCAGGCAATCTAACACCACCCCTTATTTGCAGCTTGTGTTACCCAGTCCGTTATAGTGCTCTCTCTTGGTTTTTTTTTTTTAGAACAATCCGTAATTCATTATCTCGATATGAATGGGATGAAAAAGTAAAGTCAGTGAATAAGAGGTTGACGTGCATGCTTTCTCGGAAAAAGTGCAAGTAAGAGCAAGTAAGATTATGTATGTATGTAAATGAGTGCATTAAACAACATATATAATGCTGCTGCTGCTGCTGCTGCTGCTGCTTGTGTGCTGTCGCTCAGTCAAACCCAAAGTCGCAGAAACACAACCTGGTCCACAAGCCCACATTACAGTAATATCTAACCGGTAGTAAGTCTTGATTATCAAATCTGTACTCTAACATAGAACCACTGAGTAGGTGGGCGCACAGCAACATTACACCGTTTATATTTCTTGGGGGTGGGAGGGATTGACAGAGTAACCGAGAGGGAAAAATAAGGAGTGAGGTGCCACACATGGCAGCACGGATCAAGAGTTGGATCGCAATAAGGTTTGTAGCAGCAATGCTCATTGTCGTTGCTGAAAAGCGTAAATAGACTGGTTGGTGTTGAAGCTGCTGATGCTGCTGCTGCTGCTGCGAAAAAGAAGAAGAAACGCCCCAAACGTCGTACGTAATAAGTGCAATTGTGGGGCTTTGCTGTAAAGTCTTGAGTGTGCTGCGAAAATAAGGAGAAGAGGGTATGATACTGCGCTATTTATACACGGGATTCCTTGCAATTCAAAGCTATAACTTCTATTCTGCTGTTGAGCAGTATATGTATGTATGCATGGAAGAGAAGAGAACGATAGAATGACGATCCTTGTTTTGACAGAGAAGAAGAAAGACTATGTACAGCTGTAGTATGGCATCAAAATGGCCACGGACGTCACCAGCGCCTTGTACTGTGGTAACAGAGTCCCCTTTTGAATCTACTTGGCACCACACAATAAAATAACCGACTGTTACTCATCGGCGGTCATCCATAAAGAGTAAAAAAGAGCGTGCCACGTGTCCTGCAATAGTAGCAGCAGCAGCAGCAATGATCTGTGTGTGATGATGATGCCCTTCCCTCTCCATTTGTTAATAAGCACTTTCTCAGCACACCCAAACAATAATAGAACATTAGCGTGTGCTGCTTCTGCTGCTGCTGCTGCTGCTGCTTGTGTGCTTGCTGTGTGCCAGCTCAATTAAAAATAGCAACATGACGCTGCTAATGCGAGAGAGGTGAACTCATTTCCTGAGTCCAGTATAGTACTGGGAATGCAGGGGGGTGTGGAAGAGGAGGAGTGTTTGCTGTTCCAAACGGATTGGTGCTCTGTATAAGAGAGAGAGAGAGAGACACACACACACACACACACATCAAAAAGCATTGATCTTCCTACGCATTTTGCCTTTTTTTCTCTTTTGAAAAAAATGACACGTCCGCCCGCAAACCCAAATAACTTGCACCTATTTCCTAAACAAGAACAACTCCGCAGCTGCAGGTTTTTTCTGATATGCTGCAGAAGCTGCTGGTCTGCTGTGTACTATTTGCATGCTAGATGCTACTGCAGAAGCTGATGTTGGTATAGTATTAGTCATAGTAGTCGTAGTAGTAGTAGTAGTCGTAGTGTTGACTGTTGTCTGTCTGTATGTCTGGGCTCACCCCAAGCTATCATCTCATTTGACTGTATGCGTTGCCAAGCACGTTCTCCTTGAGTAACACAAGGGCACACAAAAAAATTAATTGGTTTACCGCGAATATATAAAAGACTAGCCATTCCACTCTCGCCCTGGTTTTTTTTTCTTTTTTTTTTTTTTTTCTTGCGCTTTTGCCAAATCCAACAAACTTTTTTTTTCTACTTCTTTCGCTCTTGCCTTTCATATCAGAATTTGAATACAAAAGAAATAAGAAAAAGCAAAGTAAATTAAAATGACAACAACAACAACAACGGCCTCGGCAATCGGATCGCTTCCCGAGGATATCATGTCTCAACAGCTTCAACACCACCTCACCAGCTCGGAGGGTGCTCAGCAAAAGGACAGTGACGAACCACTACACAGTCCTGACCCTGAGACGATACGAAAACGTTACGAAAGCATGTCCTTTGACGAAATGCAACAACAAATGGCCGAAAGCTACAGACAGCTATCCGAGGTCCTCGGCAACCGTGTCAGCACTCCGTCGGCCGCTTCGTCTTCGTCTTCGTCCTCATCGTCATCGTCCGACAATAACACCACTGCAGACACAATCTACAATGTCCCTGACAGTGATGACGAGTACACCGTCATGGAGCGCACCGATTTAGACGATGCCACGAAACGAACCAAGATGAACAAGGTGTTCTCACGCGCAGCATCGGGTGGCGACGTAGCCAAAGTTACACAGCTATTAAAAGACGAGCGCTTTAGTCCATACATCGATATCGACGCCAAGGACGAGGATGGAGCTACCCCCTTGATTTATGCAGCCTGCTTTGGCAAAGTCGAAATTGCTCAGATGCTCTTGGAAGCCGGTGCAAAGACTGACATCCAAGATTCATGTAAGCACCAGCCCAAAAAAAAAAAAAAAAAAAGAGTTTAGTGCAGCATGCTGCTGGTATCATTGCTCTGCAGTCATGCAAAAGAGAGAGAGAGAGAGAGAGAGAGAGAGAGAGAGAGTTAGATGAGATTATTCGGAGGACTTACGAGCCATGTACTAAACATAAGAGAAAACACAAAAAAATATTAGCTGGATGGTCCGCACTCATGTGGGCAACGACCAACAACCACAACAATCTGGTAAAGGTTTTGCTCGAGCACGGCGCTTCGTCACACACCCGGTCAGCCAAGGGACGTACAGTCTACGATTTCGTCAACACCGAAAACCAGAAAATCGTAGAGATCTTAGCAACCAACCCGCGGGACAGCATGTCTTCTACCTCGAGCGTCTTTGGTCGCGTCACTGCCGCCGCCTCGAGCAGTATGTCCTCGGCGTCGTCCAATGCCGGCGACCTCGATTTCTACTACCAATCCACCGTTGAGGGCTACGACACCTTTATGGCCGAAGAAGCAGAGCGTCGTCAAGAGCTCTTGAAAACCGCCATGGCTCTCGTTGGCAACGACAGTGATCTTGGCAGCAGTGACGATGAGCAGGACGACGATAACGATAGCAACACTGACTATGACAACGGCCAGGACGACGATCTCGACGACGATATGGAAAACGAGTTCTACTGGGACAAGTGTCTGCCAGATCAAATGTTTGTTTTCAGCGGAGATAACCTATCGCATATTCTCGATACCATGATCACACACGTCAAGCTGCCGATGGAGACCCGTCAGGAGATCTGCGTCCCTGCCAACGTTGTCTTTTTGAGCGCACGCTTCGCTCATTACTTTTCCAGCTCCGAGCTGCTGCAAGAGGTACTTGAGGGCGCATTGTCTCGCATGAGCAAAGTGACAAAGGTAAGCTACCGACGACCTTCCTTCTCATCTTTTAAAAGTAAAACTTTTCGGATCAACTCAACAAAGTAAACCATTTATATATATATATATATGTGTGTGTGTGTGTGTGTGTGTATAGGAAAACGCAAACAATGTCCATGCCTTGTCGTTCTGGATGTCGAACCTTGCCCAGCTGCTGTATTATCTTAAAAAAGACACGGGTCTCGTGGTCGCCACAGCCGAGTACCAGCTCCGTCTGTCCGAAATGATTTCGGAAACCTACACGATGCTTATTCTCGACACAGAGCGCCGCATCCTCAAGGTATTGGGGCCTGCCATGCTCGAGTCGGAACAAATCCCAGGGATGGAAGATGTTGACTTTGTCGATGACTGGCAGCGTTTCTTCCGTCGCAGTGCCAGCCGCCGGTCGGTGATCCTATCGCAAGAGTCAGTCCAGATGCGTCGCCACACAAGCACGCCTGCCCATGGCGGCATTGTTTCGCCACAGTCCGTCACGAGCCTGCTGTCCACTACCTTTTATGTCTTACAAACCTATGAAGTCCATCCAACCATCATCATCCAGGCTCTGGCGCAGCTCTTCCATTTCATGTCCTGTGAGCTGTTTAACCGCATCCTCACCAACAAGAAACTCTTGTCGCGCTCCAAGGCCTTGCAAATCCGTATGAACCTGTCCTATGTGGAGGACTGGATCCGCCACAACCACCTTCCATCCAGCTTATTGAGCTACTTGAGCCCGTCCGTGCAGCTCCTCCAGCTCCTCCAGTGCTTGTCCCAGCTCACTGATTTCGAAAGCTTTGTTCACACTGTTAAAAAGTTCGACACGCTCAACAACCTGCAGATCAAGCGATGTATAGTCAACTACCGCTACGAGGTCAACGAGAAGCGCTTGCCCGACGAGATCAAGGAATATGTCATCCAGCTCGCTGACGATACAGTACGATATAGACAAAAGCGATCGTCGCTTAGAAGAAGCAGAACCTGCTATAGCTCGCGACCTTTGTCGCGCGTCAACTCGATGCAACGCTCATTGTCACGGCCAGAAAGCATGTCCAGTCTCGTTGGATCGCTTATCTCCAGCGTCGGTATCTCGTCCTCAAACTCATTGCCACCATCCATGCCTTCAACGCCCACCACCGAAGAATTGCCTGTGGCTATCCCAGCAGCAGCAGCAGCAAAGCCAGCTGCCGCTATTGAATCGGATACGGATGAGGATGATGACGATAACGACGAAATCCGCGAGATCAGAGATACAAAGTTCATGTTACCATTCTCGGTGCCTTCGACTACGCGTATGGTTAGTACCAACGGCTGGGCTCCTGACAACTCCAAGGAACGTCTGAGCGTGCCTGTTATTCCCGAAAAATGGATGGAAAAGTTAGACACGGACAACTATGCCCCTATGTAGTCTTTCTTTTTTATACCCGCCTCTACTTCTTTTCTTTTCCTTTTGTGTATCACCTCTTTTTGTTTGTCTCTCTATAAACTCCTCCCCTCTTTCACACACACAATCCACACACGAGCTCTCTTTCTATTTCTCCTTTCTCTTTTCTAACACAAACGAAAACCAAAAATTTCACTTGCTGTGCTAGTGTATTCCAACATCACAACCTAACCTAACCTAACCTTAACCACCATCCAATTCCCATCTATGTACATTTCATCCCTTTCCTTTTATGCCCTTGTTCTCCCCTTATAGTTCACCCACCATTAACATTCCGAAATTAGCACTGCATGTAAATTTTAAAATATGTTGAAAAAAAATCTTGAATATAATATCCCTTGTGGATGCTAAAAAAGATATATATATACAGTCATTTCAAAAAGTAAAGTCGCTGATTTTGAGTTTGATGTCGTGCAAAAAAATCTTCGTGTGCAACAACAAAGTCGCTTGATCCAGCAAGGAAGTCGTAATGAGCTTCGTTTATTTTTGACTGTCGCTTAGTAATTGCCTTTGGTATAAAAACGAGTGACATCCCCTTATTCTTTTAGTTCTCTCTATTTTTTCTTTTACAGTTTATTTTACACACATTCGAAATGAGTATGCAATTTTTTTGTACCAAGATGGGCAGGGACGTGTTGTTGATGAACTTGGAGTTGAGCCCATGGATCTTGTTGTTGACGAGGAGTTGTTCGCTATCGAGACACTTAGTTCTCGTACACAATTCCTTAAGAATAAACCTCCAGAAAGACCTTCTAATCCTGCAATGCTAACAACTGCAGTTGAAAAGAATAGTGAAGATGTTGATATGGAGTTATGCAGTAAGCGACGCTATACATTTTACTCTGATGACGAGAAACTAGCTTTTTTCATCTACTTTTCAGCAAAAGCTTGAGTGCTTCTGCCGCTGCGAGACAGTTAGGTATTCATGTTCGTGCGGCCCAGAGACGGGCCAAACGTTATTATGAAGACCCTGAAAGCATCTTTGAAAGGAAGAAAAAGTCAGGTCGACATCGTATTCTCGGGGAGGAGCATAAGCAATGTCTGTTAAATTACATTGATGAGAATCCATCTGCTGTTTTGATTGAAGTGGTAGAACATTTAATGCAGAGCTTTGTAGAGCTCAACGTTTCTCGTAGTACCATTTATAACTTCATGACGACTCAATGTAATCTATCCATTAAGCAGGCACTATTCCAACCTGTAGAAAAGAAACAGTGAGGAAAAGATTCAACAAAGGTATGATTGGGTGTAAAAGCGGCAGCAAACTGACTTGGACTTCACAACAAACTGCGTCTCTTTCTTGATGAATCAGCTTTTCATATCAATTTGAAACGAGGCATGGCTTGGTCAAAGAAGGGAACTCCTGCAATAGTCACAGTGCCAACAACTAAAGCAAATTCAACATCGATTTTAGGGGCAATATCTGCCACCGGCTTAATTAATCTTAGCTTGAGAGTTCCAAAGCGTATCAAAAAGAGAAAGCTTGGTCATGAAACTAACGGTTATAGTATAGGAACGAGGGCATTATCTGCGCTTTTTAAAGGCAACTCTTGATGAAATGGACAAGTACCCAGAAATGAAGGGTCATTATCTCGTCATGGATAATGCTCCTATCCATAGTCCAACTGATATAGGTAAGTATATTCGTTCTCGAGAATATCGGTATGTTTATCTTCCTCCGTATTCTCCTGAACTGAATCCAATTGAGCAGTTTTGGTCTGTTGTCAAGAGTAAAGTGAAGCGAAATAAGTTCCTCGAGAAAGAGACGCTAATGACTAGAATTAGTGAAGCATGCGATAGTTTGTAATTAAGTGACTTCAAAGGCTTTGTCTCCCATTCTGCCAAATGTTTTGTTAAGTGTCTCAGCAAAGAGAAGTTGTAAAAAAAGTGAAAACCAAAAACCAAAAAAAAAAAAATCATTAGTCTTTGATTGTTGGAACTTGTGACAGGATTGCTGTATCAAAAAGATGGGGGGATTATTAGGATAGGATGGGATTGTAGGATGGATGTCTGGCCAATCAGCAATCGTATCCTATTTGATCGTTTGCAAAAATAAACTTCTCCAAGTGATTGAAGAAGATTTGGCGAATTTCATAATTGGTGTACCTCCTTGTTCCTCATTCTAACATCGGCAGAATCCTCAGGCTCGGCACTTGTGAAAACACGGGTTTTCAAAAACGAATACCATAGTGGGCAACAGTCACTCACACTTTTACAGATCATACTGTAGCAAGCATTACTGCATCCTTCAAACCAAAGAAAAAGACAATGCCGTAGATTTTTTTTCTTTTATAACACTTTAATATACATGGTATCATACCACCACTTGAAACACTGTTGTACATATATATAAAGCATAGGAAGCTACAAAAAAAGTAAAAAGGTACCACAATGATTAAATGGATATGTATTTAATAAGCAGAAGGGTTGGTGGTACTATTGTTCCACTGTAACTGCACTTGTTGCATCCATTCACCCCATTCCGTCATATCTAATGAAACAGGTACGGTCGAGAAGGGGTTGTTTGGATCGTTGCGGAACGCATTCTGTATATCGTGATGTTGCTGATGGGGTGGCGGTTGTGATGATGAAGAAGGTGGTGGGATGGCCTGTTGATGATGATGATGCGGAGGAGGAGGAGGAACATGTGTCATAGTCGGTAACGGCGGCGGCTGTAATTGTGGGTAGGATGGCGTTATTGTAGTAGTAGTAGTAGTAGTAGAAGATAGCGGTTGTTGTGATGCGGCCAAACCAACAAAACGTAATGCAGAAGATGTAGTAGAAGATGCAGAAGATGCTAAAGTAGTGCTAGGAGGATGATGAGAGGGATCTAGTGATGCGTCTGGTAATGAAACTGAAGAGGAAGAGGACATGTTTTGTAAAATGGTTTCCAGTTCTCCAGGGCCACATGTTCGGGTATCGTATCCGAATTGTCTGATGGTGTAGGCTTCAGAGCCATTCGGTGGCGGTTGGTACGTGCCAGTGGCATCTAGTGTCAGTATTGGTTCACTGCATGATGGCAAGTAGGAGTTGTCGTCCAACACAGTATCCCATGACTGAAGGTCGTCCATAGGCTGCTGCTGCTGCTGCTGTTGTTGTTGATGTTGCTGTTGTACATTGTTCGGCACGGTCGTAGGAACTCTTGTTGACACAGGTACTGGTGACGGTGATGATATGTGTGGTTGTAATGGAGATACGCCACGACCCACGTTTGACATTTTTCTCGACACACCTGATTCAGTGACCCAGGCCGTCTCTCCCGCGAGATCCCCTTTTTCTTTTGCTACTCCCGTCGCTCTATTGGGCGCTTCACCAAGCACATTTTCCTCTTCTTCTTCTTCTCTTGCAGTAGTGGAGCTACTAGCTTCCGAGTCCATATGAATGTTCATTTGATCAATGATAAACTCCAGGACTGTATACAGCTGATTAGCACGTTTCGACATGGGTCGTATCTTGGAAACCAATTCGAAAGTCTTGCGAAAGTAAATTTTGCTAGGCGCTGATATCCTCCCATCAGGATTGCGTGAGTTGTATATATGAATCAGGGCGAGTTGCAAAACGGGCGTAATGTTGAAGCAGTATGGAAGCATTAGAAAGTCGCGTATCGACATGCGTTCAGCAATGCGAGTTCCACGCGTAGCTGCACTCGTACTGATACGGAACGATGAGTAGGAGGGTCGATCGTTGTTATTGGTATTGCGCTCAATAAAGGGTCGATGCAAAAGGATCAAACTTCCAAAATAGCATAATAAAATGGATGCTATTCACGTATATACTCGTCAGCATCATTAAAGACATGTATACACACACACAAAGATTGTATACAAATGTTTGTATGTATGAAAAAAGGTAAAAGACTACTTTACCTATTGTTGGTGCAAAATAACCATGGATTTCATCGAAATCCTTATGCTTGACCCGCTCCAATTCTGTTGGAAAACCAAACCGCCATTCCGTCAGCTCGTGATCCAGCCGTGTCACGATCTGGTTCCAGCCATATTTATGCGAAATCATGCGTGCACGTGGCGTATAGAGTGCTTGTAAGATATGTCCCAGAATCTCGGAAAGTTTGATAAGTTGACGGAAAAGTATGTATATCTCAACACGTCCGTCGATTGATTCTGGTCGAAAGGTCGCTGAGGGAAACCGTGGTAGCACGTCGTCCTCTTCGTCTGTTGGTTCATCAAGCACTTCAGCCCAGCTTTCAAATGTATCCGGATAACCCACGTCATTATCCTTTTGACATGATCGAAAGTTTCTTTTTAGTAAAGATCAGAACCTCTATTTAGAATGAGAAATTAGTTTTTTTTTTTTTTTACCTCGTCATAGATACCAATAGGTCGTCCCATGTTCGCCGCTTGGAATCGATCGCTAATATAGAGAGACCACCATATACGTTTCCGCGTTTCTTTTTCTTGTTCAGGAATGTCCCAACTATCACAATCTCTATTAAGGGCAAAGTACTGTGCCTTTTTAAGAAAACAGTGAATAAAAAAAAAGGCTTCATTTCAATTTCGTATACCTTATCCTAAGCAATATTTACCATGCGAATAGCTGACCCACTCATCAGCCAACCTTCAGACCCGCTAGCAGAAACATTCCCACTCGTATTATGTATGATGACAGTCGTCTGAACAATTGACACGCTAGACTTTGGAGGATTGATGGTAACGATCGCATGAGCCTGCTCAAAAAATCGAATATGCCAGTTTTCGGGCGCCTCGCACTGCAAGTCCGGATATGCATTCATGCTTTTTTGCCTTCGGGATTCGACTTCAACGAACCGTGCAGCAGCACCAAACATGGCATTCAATAACTCTGCACTGGGATAGGTATCTGCTTGATCTCGGTACTGTTGTAAAAACACCCTTTTGTTGATGACAGGCAATAACGGATGCACGTTCATAAAATAGCTAGAAACATGATCAAAGAAAAACAATCATTAATATCCATCCTGAAAAAAAAAACCCTCCCAACTCACTTTGGCGCTATACTAAATTCATTTACATGCGCATCAAGCGATCACTCGTATATCGATCCACACCAGCCATGGAATAGATCCAATGATTGATTCCAGTAACAGTTCTCGGAATCGGAGGTCCTCGAAAGCGTCGTTTTTCAAGCGGATCGTCTGTAGGAGACACCATCTCGACATAATGATTGCCGACTTTGCGATACTTGAGTCCATCTATTTCATAGTACTCCCTGTCTGAAATGACGTCCCGAAAGATCTCGAGTTCGTTCATGTCACCCATAAATCGGACGCTGTCCAATGTGTCGCCTTTTTCTTGCTTGTTCTTGGGATAGGGTATAAAGCGACGGTTCTTTTCTTTGGATACTGTCGGTACCGTGTAGTGTCCACAGTTCATCAACGTTGATTCGATCTTCCGTATTCGTTTTTCGAGCGTGTCGACGTATCTACTCCTGTGTTTCCAAATCTTGTATTAGTATAACCCAATGATTGCTGCTGCTGCTGTTGTTGTTGTTGTTGTTGTTTAGTTTTTACCCTTTTGGTGGCCCGCGCTTTTTTGATCTTTTTTTTTTTTTGTTGGCAGAAAAAAATAAAGTTCAAGAGTCAGCTTTCTTTCCCCCCCCCCATTTTTTACTCTCCTTTCCTTTCCATTCTTCTTTTACCCGTCAGTGAATTCGCAAGTGACGCCATAGCTTATGCAGCTAGAACAAGGTTGACCTGGTGCGCCATAACATTTGGATTTTTTGCGTCGACAGAAATCACTATATAACAGAAAAAGGTTTTGAAATCTGTCTCCCCGCTTTAAAAAAGAAAAAATAGAGAGAAAGAGAGAGGTTTGCTTACCATGCACGTGCAATACGCGATCTTTTGCTTGATTTAGAGTTGGCACTTTTACTGTTAGACGTTGGTGGAGAGTCATGCGTCGCGCCAGTTTCTAAAGATGCATTCATTGAAGCAGTGTGAAGGGGGAGGAAAAAAAAAGAATAGAGAGAGTGAGTGAGTGTGAGCGAATGAAGAGAGTGGGAAGTTCAGAATTCCAAATCGGGACAACGGTTATTTGGTTTAGCCATCTCTGTGGTTTCATCAAGTCAGCGAATAGAAGCTTGGCAAATTCCCTTCTTTCTGTATTATGTTATGCGATTACTTGACCTTCCGCTCTTATTCATTCGAATTGACGGGGCTATTTTAGTTAAAACATGTACACCGTATTGGTTGTGAGTAAACGGCCGTGTACCAAGAGGAGTTTAGGCAAGTTCAAAAGCCCCATGTGATTGTCTCCAAGGCAACCCCCCACCCACAAGAAGACTTACTTTGGACTTGTGGAACAATTTGAACAATGTGTATTTTTTCTTTTTTTTTATATGAAAAAAGATGGGATGCCGTATAGTGTATACTGTGCTTTTTCTATTTGCAGATGTAAAAGAGAGAGCGGGAGAAAGGTAGAGAGAGAGAGAGCGGGTGTATGGGAGTGGATAAAGAAAAGAGTGTTTTTTTTTGTGGTTGAGGTGCAATCGTCGTCTGGAAAGAACAAGTCCCTTAAGATCATTAAGGGAACAGGGACATTGTTCAATGCTTTTTAGTCAATGTCCATGTCGTCCTTCTTCTCCTCGGTCTCTTCAGCGGGCTTTTCCTCCTTCTTCTCACCCTCCTGGCCATCGGCCATGGGTGTATCCTCAGCAGGCTTGGGTGCAGGCTTAGGCTTGTTCAGGATGGGGGTAGCAAAGGCAACGACGGCGCTCTCTTCCTGAGCAATGTCGCGGGACAAGACAATGGGAGTATCGTGCTTGGGCACCTTTTCTTGCTTGCCCAACTGCTCGTCCAACCAGCGGCGGGCACGGTCGCAACGGTCGACAATGTCCTGCTTCTCCTGGGGAGGAATGTGCGAGTACTTGTCGTCCGAGCTCATGGCCTCTTGGGTGAGACGCTGCAACGTGGCGCGCAAGATACGGTCGGCACGGGGACGCTCCTCGGCCTCACGGTAGCGCTCGACAACGGGGTTGCCAATCTTCTTCAAAGCCTCAAGCTTCTCGACATAGACCGACTTTGGTTGGTCGTCACCCTCATCGTAGATCCAGTCAACCACAGCGTTCAAGTCGGCACAGAACTTGTCCTTGACGGCGGGATCAATGTATGCGCCATAGGGACCTTCGACCTTGTCACGCATCTCATAGCCATACTCTTCGAGCGAGTTCTTGGCAGCCTCGGTGGCAAAGATCAAGCGGTCGTTGGAGGCCATCTGGCTTTCCTTTTCGGCATACTGGTCCATCAAGGCCTTGCTCAAGGCAGTGGTCTGGGAAACAACGGACAGATCGGCCTTCTTGACGAGCTTCTTGGTCTTCTTGGTCTCCTTTTCGCCATCCTTGTTGGTGACTTCCTCCTCGACTTCCTTTTCTTCGACAGTGTAGGCAGACTCGACGGACAGGATGCCGTGGATGTTGAGTCTGACCTTGACCTTGACTTCGGAAGGCTGGTCGATGCCCTTGATGGTGTACTGGCCGATCCAGGGGTTGATGCCGCGGACGAGCTCCTCGGGCTTGACGTACGAGGCTTCCAAGGTGAAGGGTTCCTTGCGGTGGAAGGTCAAGATCTTGGTCGAGGGGATCGAGTTGTTGGTGTCAAAGACGGTGATCTCGGTATCCTCGTCCTCGGGCGTGGCGGGCCAGGTGAGCTTGATGGGGTAGCTGCAGACATCGTTGACACGGAAGTCACGGACCTTGAAGACAGGCGACAACATGGCGCACTGGAGAGCAGCACCACGCGAGATGGCCTCGTCCTGGTTCAAGGTGGTAGAAATTTCCTTGTTCAAGACCTTGGAGATGGTGGTCTTGATGGCAGGGATACGGGTGGTACCACCGACCAACTCGACGGCATCCACATCCTCGACCTTGAGACCGGCGTTCTCCAACGCCTTGTGGATCGTGTCGGCGGTGCGGCCAAAGAGACCCTCGGCCCACTCTTCAAAGTCGGCGCGGTTGACAATGGTCGAGACGTCACGGTCGTCCATGATCGACTCAATGTTGACAGGAGCCTGGGGGTTAGCCGACAAGACACGCTTGCAGCGCTCGGCAGCGACACGGAGACGCAATTGAGCCTTCTTGTTGCTGTAGACATCAATCTTGTACTTTTCCTTGAACTCTGCAGCCAACTTGTCCATGATGACCTTGTCGAATTCACGGCCACCAAAGGCGGTGTCGTAAGCAGCGCCACGGACGGTCAATTGGCCCTTCAAGAAGGAGACGACGTTGACAGAGTAGTCAGAGTGGCCAATGTCGACAAACACCACGTTCTTGGGCTTGTCCTCGGGCAGGTCGAGCTTGGTGATACCGTAACCCAAGGCAGCGGCAGTCAAATCGTTGACAAGACGCAAGCAGTTCAAGCCGGCAATCTCAGCGGCGGACAAGACGGCACGGCGCTGGATCTCGGTGAACCAACCGGGGACAGTGATGACACAGTCAGAGACGGGGATGTTGAGCTCAGCGGCAGTGGTTTCCTTGAGCTTGCCAAGGTACATGGCAATCAGCTGGACGTTCGAGAAGGTTTGTTGCTCGCCCAAGTATTGGACCTAAATTTATCTAGCGTTAGTTTGATTTGCTCAACCACGTACACGCAAATACATAGTCCTCTCGCGTCCTCCCTCTTTATTTTCATTGTCTTGTTCCATGCAATTATTTACCTTAGCACCGACCATACCGTCGACATCAGCAAGTTCCACGGGAGTCAAGTTCTTTTCGACTTCCTGGATCTCGGGATCGCTGAAAGATCGACCGGCAAGACGCTTCAGATTGCCAACGGTGTTCTTAAAGTTGCTGACTTCCTGGGTCTTTGCAGATTCACCAAGGAAGCGCTGCTTGAGGCCGAACGAAACGAGCGAACTAAGAAAAAAATGGGAATTTATGAGTTTAATAGGTCTCCTTTTTAAATAAAAAGGAAAAAAAGTTAGCAAGGATAGCTTACGGAGTAGCGCGATTCGACACTTCGTTGCAGATAACGTCAATACCACGGTTTCTAGCGACCGAGATGACTGCTTGGAGATTTCCCAAATCAAAACCCTACACAGCCGAAAGACAGCCATTGTATGTCGCTTAGCAATACTAGACAAAGACAAACAGCAGTTTGCGATAAGACATCAAGTGAGTCATCTTACCACGACCGACATTTTTGTGTGATTTGCAAAGTATTGAACTAAAGAAGGAATAAAGGGTGTCACTTATTCAAAATTTTTTTGCGCTACTGTAGCTTCTCCGCTCAGCGTCTTGGGGGGCTTCTGCAACTTTCTCAAACATTCTTTTTGGCACCCAAATGCATAAAAAAAAAACTCACTGAGTTACCATTTTGGTTTCGCATAGGCTATTATTGCTATACCTAATCATCAGTGTTCCGTACACAGGCAGCCCATATGCTCAATCAAATATTTCAAAAGATAAAAAGTTTACTTTTACAAAAGATAGAGAGACGACCAACGACCTAAGGTATACATATAATCATAGAACAGTACAGGCATGTCCCGTCGATATTGCCGTGCACTCCAATAGCAAACACGGCTTGAATAAGCATGACAATGATGAGTACAATCAATTCTCAGTATGCAGCGGAAACTGGCAACCCAATCGAAGCACCATTTCTACAGTATACATGTATGCAATAATAAAGACGAGGCTATGAACGTATATACGAGAGTAGTTATCAATATACCAACCTTGATGTCTTTCAAATGTTTAACGCTTTTTCATCCAATCTGTGTTTTGCCCAAGCACCCAAACATGTCACCACCACCAGCACTTTTAGCTACACCAGTTTACAAAGTAAATGACACAGATTTGTGTCGACACAGCAGGATGGTATTACTAAAATATACCAATAGTAGGAACATACGCACAAGCTTGGCTCATGAATACTCCTGCGTTCGGTTCGAGCTTTTTCTTGTTGAGCTACTTTTGTTGTCAAGTCTTAGGATTGATATAGCCATGAGCAACCACGCCATGTTTTTTTCTGACAACATTGTTTTAAACATGAGAATTATTCAACAGTAGCCACTAGTGCTTCTCCTTGTAGCATGTTGCGCTCGGTTCAAACCCACGATCAAAGTACATCTTCTCTACAAGTAAAAGAAAAGTAGTATGCTGTGTGTGTGTGTGTGCACTATAAGGTATCTAAGACGACCCTCTCTGACTGCGTGGACTCTATATAATACTTTGCCAGGGTTTTTTTTTCTATAAGCCGCAGTAGCCCACACATAGCCTCAGAATTTGTTAAGAAACCAGCCTTTAATTCACAGTGTATGGTTGCTTTCTCTTTTATTTCCTTTCTCCTCATTCCTCATTCCTCTGCCTACCTACCTACCTACCTACCTGCCTGCCCGCTTGACTCTTCCCCTCTTGCTTTTTCCTGTTCCGTCATTGGCCATTCAGAAAACAATGGCAGCCGTGGCAAACAACGGATTCCAATAAAGCACAGATTACAGAAATATGCAGAACCCAGTTATATTATATGCATTATTTTCCTCCGAAACAAAAAAAAAAAAAGACGAGCCGAACTACGACTCTCTACATATATAAACGCTACGTCTCTATCGTTTGCGCGGTCTCTCTATTTCTGATGGCTTGTCTCTTGTGTTTTCACTACGTCAACAACAACAACAACAACAACGTTGACGACGACGACGACGACGACGACGACGATGATAGCAACAAGGTACTCAACAAGGGTGTAGCACCCAGCGAATATAATATGTAACTCCTTAACGGATCAATAATTAGGGGGGGGGATCGTAGCTTAGAGCTGGAGCAAATTAGCTGTGTCATGCATCGTTGGCATAGAATACGGCTTTTCCGACGGGTTACCAAGTGGAACCGAATTGTTGACTTGTAATACATTGGGGGTTTCTTTCTTTCTTCACAAAACACAACACACACACACACGTCCTCATTACTTTTATACCCACGCACGTACACTTTTTTTTTCAAGGTAGCTAGCAAGCAAGGAAAGCGACGCAGTAATGACGTTTATAACCCATAATCCGTCAGCCCAAAATAAGTTTTTTGGGGGGGGGAGAGAGAGAGCGACATCACCCACCCACAGGAAGCGAATAGGACCCAGAACGTTTTCATTTTCCGCCGGGTTGTTCCCGCAAAATTTGCAGCGCGGCTTTCCTGTCTACCTTTTTTTCTGCACAAACACAGCTTTTTCTCTCTCTTCTCTCTCTCTCTCTCTTTTTTTTTCTTTTTTCCCAAAACGCCCTCCCAACTTTACGCAAAAAAAAAAAGGCCGTTTCCATTTTGACCTTGGGGTTACTGTCAAATGAAGCAAGAAGATTATCCACCTGGCACCATTGTCTTTGCGAAATTAAAAGGTTATCCTTGGTGGCCTGCTAGAGTAAGTTCAAAAAGTGGTGGGAATCTTTTCTTTTTGTTATTTCTCATGGGCGAAAGAAAAAGGGAGAAGAAGGGGGGCTGTATATGTGTGGCAGAAGGAGTTGCCAGCCCAATCGGAAGGAAAGGAAACGGATGCCAATGGACTAGGACACGCGCTTTTTTCTTTTCTCTTTTTCTCTCTCTCTCTCTCTCTTCTTTCTTTCTTTATCGTTCTTTATGTGGCTGTGGGTTTGAAAAGGGGGAGGGAAGAGGATTCATCTCAATGGTGCCAAGTTAATGCTCACTACAAACCTTGACAAACAATACAGGTTGAAGATGACAAGAGCATTCCTAGCAAGGTGTTGAAGCAAAGAAGCAGCAAAACAAAAGGACCACTTTGGACAGTGTTTTTCTTTGGGTCAAGAGACTAGTAAGTATATGAACAACTACAACTCTTTTTCTTTTTTAAAAAACGGAAGGGAACAATGGGTGGCAAAGAGAAGAAGAAAAGTTGTCTGTTGGAATCGGCCCTCTTCTTTGGAATGGCAAAACCTACAACAACGACTAGAAAGTGGTTTGCGGGGGCTTTTTCTTTCTTTTCTTTCTTTCTTTCTTTCTTTATTCGTTGACAAGGTGACCAAGGACGATAAGGAAGTGAGGGCACAAAAAGAAAATGGAATTGGGGGGCGATAATGAGAGAAAAAAGGACAAGGGGAACGTTTTTGTATGTGTATGGTGACCAAACCCTTCCATCGTACCATTTTATTTTTTCTGATTCCTATGTATTCGCAACCCACATATGACTAACAACCATCCAAAAAAATTCGTTCTTTTTAGTGGATTCTTTGGTCCAGACGCGATCCGACCGTTCAACACAGACACGGTGGAACGCGATCTCAAGGCAAAAAAGTTCAAAACAAAGGATTTGGAGAACGCGGTGCGTCAGGCTTTAGATCCGTCATTGTTGGAGAAACTGGAGCAGGAAGAAGAAGACGAAGAGGACGAGGATGAGTCTGAGGATGAAAAGCAGCAAAAGAAACCAAGAAGGACAAGAGCACCACGGAAAAACGCGTCAGAAACCAATACCAAAAAGACAAAGGCAGCAACAACAACAGCAGCAGCGGCAGCAGGTGGAAGGCGATCCAAGAAAGCATCCGCCAACAGCAACAACAACAACAACACCCCAGCAGCAGCAAAGGCGGCAGAAGAGGAAGAGGAGGATGATTCTGAATCGTCAAACAACAACAATAACAACACTAATAACAACAACAAGAAGGTCAAGAGACGATCACGCAAGCTGGACGATGCAGATAAGGAAGTGCATGACAAGACGGACAGGAAAAAGCGGGTAAGCTATTTATTTATCTGTACTTGCGTGTGTGATATATTACGGTGCGTGCATAGCATATATGCACTGGGGGCTAGGGGGACACGAGGGTCGGAATTGTACTCATCATCCTGTCGGTTGTGCAGCGCAAGTCGGTATCTACGGAAAAGGAGGAACAGCGACGCGCTAGTCCTGTTGCCAATCGTGACAGCACCGCGTCGTCAGACGATAAGCCATCGACGCCAGAAGAGCAGGCCTATGAACAGGAGAGGGAAAGAATGTATATGATACGACATCGACTGCAAAAGCTGGTGTACCAGAAAAAACCGGTATGTGGTTTATTTGTTTTTTTTTTCTTCTTGTGAGCTTTTGTGGGTATACATGTGGAGGAAACTGACCGGGAGTCTCTCTGTATCTATTTTTTTCTACGCTACAGGGAGAAATTCCAAAGGAAAACTATGCAACTATATCCAAAATTCTCAAACAAGTAGAAGAATCTCACGTGACACACCGATTATTTAAGGTAAAAAAAAAAAAAGAAAGATGGGGTGGTGCTTGGGCGTGTGTGTGTTTTGAAGCGAACAGTAAAGAAGGGGAACTTGTTGCTGATATACAGTAAAATTTTGACGATGGGGAAAAAAAGGATACCAAAATTGGCCAAGTGATCAGGGCGGCAGTAGGGTACCAGTATGAGAACGACAGTGAGTTCAATATCCAGAAGCGTTGTCGGAAGTTGATAGGACACTGGAAGGAGAAATTCCGCATCGAGCTTGAAAATGGAAAGGCAGAGAGACCCAAGAGTAGTACGACGACGACGACGACTGCTGCCAGTACAGACAACAACAACAACAACAATAGCAACTCTGCTGCTGCTGCTACTACTACTACTAGTACAAGTGTCAATGATGGAGCAGCAGCAGCAGTAGCTTCATCAGTATCACCAAAGCTGGAACAAGACGATACCATCCCCTCTACCACCTCTACCACCATGGATACAACGACGGGCTCAGTAGCAACGGCACCAACAACAGCGGCAGCACCGGTTGAAGATAGCAAGGTTGAACCCATGGAAATTGATGAAGAACCGGCCCGATCCATGACAACAACAAACGCCATTGCATCCTCTCCAACTACTACTCCCACTCCTACTACCACCACCACTACCACTACCACCACGTCCAATAACACAACCGCACCTGCTTCTACTGCACAAGTGGATACGGTCATGCAAGAAGCATCTTGAGCGGGCGACATATACTCTCTCTCTCTCTCTTTCTCTCTTCTTCCCACTACCCTCATTGCACTCCTCATACTGTTTGTTGCTTTTCTTTTCTATCTTTAAAGTTACATTGGGTTATTCTCTTTTTTTCTTTTCTAGGTGGTGAGGCCCTCCCCCCCCCTTCTTTTTTCTTCCTATTTTCTATCTTTGCTTTTTTTTCTTTTTCTTCGTATAAAGGTTTTTTTTTTACCTCTCATCCCCCAAAGGTTTTTGGTTTGCTAACAATGGTGGATGGGATGGAGGGATGGGTCAAGTCTTCTTGGGGGGGGGCAGCGTACTTGAGCTATCGCATAGAAGAGGAATATGCTGGCAGTTGTCAATAAACATCATGAGGTGGCTACTATTGTGATTTATTCAAGGGGAATAACATCATTGGGTGGGTAGCAAATGCTACTGTGTAGTATTCTTTCATTGGGTTTTGACTTTGCGCCTCGATACCCTTTGCCCAGTGGTATACCCACTCTTGGACTCTGGATCATCTTCTCCCTTCGACTGGTATTTATGTACAGTATATTCAGGCAGGCTTTGCTTCGCTGGTGCTGTATAATATGTCTCGCAGTTTCACACAGTACAGCCATTCGCTCGACTTTATTTACTTGCAGGTCGTGGTTACATCCTATAAAGGTAGTAGCTTTCGCTGCAAATTCGCTGTTGTCGGTAATGGGGTGTGACAGATGCCTGAGGTTAGTTTTCTGGTTTCTATCTCATCCACTTCTGCGTCATTACTGTACGTGACATCAGATGCATGAATCGTCGGAGTTGTCACAAAGGCAAACTAGCACTGCCTAATCTGGCCATTGTAAAAACATCAAATTGCTTTGCAAGTATCGTGCACCAACATCCTTGAGTCATATCTTTTGTAAAGGCTCATTCTTTTACACCAACTGGAGATTTACCTTCACCAACTACCCGGTTAAAACTAGTTGGAGCCCCCTTTGCGGCTGTGAACCTATCGATTCATGCGAATGCTTACTGAACTAAATGTCGAGGATGACTTTGGCAATAAGTTTCTTGTGATGCCATCGAAATCCTTTTCCGTAGTAAAAATAGAAAAAGTCGCAAGAAGTTTACGACGCTTGAGTGATAAACCATGGTCCTTTAAGAAATCTACTGTATGTACGTACTGGGAACAAAATGGAGCGAAACGGTGAATAATTACCACGAGTACTCGGCTGCATTGAACGAACGCATAGAAATATCCCACTGCATTGCTCCCTTACTGCTACATGACACTAGGGCTGGACTAGAGTGCCACATTTGCTTTACGATACATAACACACGCACACACACACGGGTGTCACGCCTGCTCTTTGTTTATATCATCTGCAAGAGGCTTGGCGCGGCGTGGAGCGAGTAGTACAATGCTGCCTAATTTTGCCCTGGCAAGACAAACAAACAAACAAGAGGAAGAATGGTGGCTATAACGGCTTGTTTCTTTGGCTTTTTTCTTTTTTTTCTGTTTTACCTTTGACGATACAACAAACTGTTTCTCAATGAACCAGATAATAAATATAATATCAGTGCTGACAATGACAGTCATATGGAGTCCTGTATTATTGGAAGCAGCACCATTACCACGTACCGAACCTGGTGTTCTCTATCTTCCAAACAATGCTATTGTCATCGGTATCCATGTTTCTTTGTTTTTTCTTTTTTTTTGGCAACCACTACTATACGTTACAAAAAAGCATTGTTTCAACAATCTAAAGTCAATCATGTTGTTCAAGAGGACGGCTATGAACTGTCCATCCAAGGGGTACTAGGAGCCATCCTTATTCTGATCTGCGCACTCCTTCTCTGGTTTCGAGGCCTGTACGACTTTCGACTGACACCTCTACTGGTTGGATTCATCACACTCGGATTTGTTGCCTGGGTACTGCTGGCCAACTTTGAACCCGAATCCACGTATGGCCAGAACCGATGGACCATCTATTTGATTGTTCCCATTGCGTGTGGCTTCGTGGGCGCATTACTCATGACATGCGGCACATTACACGCGTATCTCATCTTGTTGGGTGGATTAGGCGGTCTTGCTGCTGGATTGTGGGTCTTGGGATGGCGTGACAATCTCAGTATCCAATCTGATTATGGTCGAGCCATTCTTTTGGTCATTTTGGTGGTCGTGGGTTGTACGCTGGCGGCATTGGATCAGTTTTTTCATATGGTAGGAACGGCATTGACGGGCGCATACATGTTGTTTTTGGGCTTGGATGTGTTTTTCCATACGGGTTTCACTTATTGTTTCACGACGACTTTGGACTCGAATCCTGCGCATGGTAATTGTGGCTCAAATTTATGCTGGTTTTTTTGTTCGTGTGGGATCAGAAGAGGTCGAGTGATGATGTGGAACTGAGCCATGAGAAATAAGAAAGAGACTTAGTGTATGGCGGGTGTGCCTTCTTTCTTTTTTACTACTATCAGGGAATGAATATCACACGACACGAGAAACTTTTATCATTCAGGCCATGTTGATTATAGCGACACTCATGGGACTTATTGCCCAATTGTGTTTTGGAGTGATGGTAAAGCATAAACTGAACCCAGCGTCCGCGCACACCCACCCAACCCCCCCCCCCCTCTGCCCCTGCCCCTACGAAAAGCGGAACATTTTATTATTGCAGATAGAGAAAACCTTACATAATTCAATTGCTAATATAGGGCATCCACGAGCAACATGTACGCTATTTCCCCACCGAGAAAGTAATCGTTCCAGCCTACATGAGACCATCACACTACTACAATCCAACGCAACCTTGGATTCCGTGGCGCAGAAGCCCTGTCTAACCGAAAACTGTAGCATCAAAAGTATCCAACTCAATGTAGAGTTTAATGAATAACTCCCCAATTATGCGCATATACTTTCTACATGTAATTTTTTTTGTTTTGGATTTTCCCTCCTCTATTGTAATGATTATCCCCCCCCCACCCCCAACCCCAGGCAGTGATTAAAGTTTGTAAATAATATAATAGCTCACATTACAGCACATCTTGTTTTTTTTCTGTTATGGTGTCAGTGCAGTATTTCGAAACCACTCTATGAGTACACTAGAAAACCCTGCTCTATTAGCATGCAAAGCAGCCAGTTTGATTCGTGGTAAAATGAAGTAAGATGACATTGACGAGGTATACCGATGAAAGGATCTAGATAAACACATCATCATCTTTCATGTAGATTGTTTTCTGGAGCAGAAACAGAAGAGATATTGAAATTATCAATGATCAAAGGCGGGACCTTTGATAAATTCGTTGAATGTATGTATGTACCCGCATGTGTATTTTACCGCTGTTTCTTGAACAGGTTCCCCCCATCTAAGTGTAAACAGTGTTCTAGTTCATGGAAGGGACGAGACCATCGTTGGGAAGAGTTGAACATGTCTGGACCTTTGATAAATTCGTTGAATGTATGTATGTACCCGCATGTGTATTTTATCGCTGTTTCTTGACAGGTTCCCCCATCTAAGTGTAAACAGTGTTCTAGTTCATGGAAGGGACGAGACCATCGTTGGAAAGAGTTGAACATGTCTATAAAAACAAAGTTTTCATCACGTCTTTTTCTTTCAGTATACAACCTCTTTTTCTTGTACCATACAATAAGAACGCGCTTTTAAAACATGTGCATGGCTAGCCGATACTTCATCAGTAACACGTTTGACAATCCATATGCCTGGGTGCAAGGTCATTATGGTTATACGTGGTCGACAAATGCATTATGCTACGGTGACGGTGGTATGAATGATTACTACTACCCAGAAGGTATGTAATCAAGTGGATCAAATATTTACTATGTCGAACCCAGGTCGACTATCCAAAGTGAAAGAAGGGGCCGGGGGGGTTGAGCGTTGAAAGGTGGACGACTCTGTGGCACTAAATATTCCTTCACAACATGCTTATTATGCAACGACGTAGAGGATCGCAACAATATCGCTCCTAGCCGGATTTTGTCGCTCTATGATTGTAATGAAGCAATCAATAATGTAAGCCTTTTAACTCTGAACATATCATATTATTTTAAGACAATAGTAGAGAAATATGAATAGCTTCTATCATTATCATTGACACGTCATCATAATGTGTATGTTATCTAGCCCATTCTCTTTGACCCGGAATCGGTTACTCCAAGCAGCGAACGATCATTTGAATCAACCGGTACAGCTTTTACCAGTGATTTGACTGCCACTAGTGCCGCATCTGGCACTGTTACTGGTCCGGTCGACGCTACGGACGAAAAACATTGCGTGAACTGCGAGTGCAAAGTGACATCCGTGTGGCGAAGATCGCAAGGCGAGTCTATCTGCAATGCCTGCCATATATAGTAGGTTTATACATTTGTTTCTATACATATGCATGCTCTTTTGCCTTATAAAACGTGCTCACTTCAAACTTCACATACTTAGTAACGGACACCGCCGCTTCACCATCGGAGTAAAAAACGGCTCGCCATTTCGACGTGTAATTAGAAAAGATCGCAAAGTTGTCTGTTCGATTTGCCAAAATGACGACGCGACCTTCAACTACGAAGTGGGCGAAACCCACGGTGTGAAAAAATACCAATGTAAGTTTATTCGTGTGTTATATGTGCCACATTCGAAGAAAAGACAGGCGAAAGCTAATATAGCAAGTCAAAAACAGGTCGTGTTTGTTACAACCACTGATTCAAATATCTGGTTTTACCCCATTATGCTATGTAGCACACTCTCGCTTCAGTTTTGACCTTTTTTCTTTCTTTCTGTTGTACATACTCTTTTGATTCTTTGCTGTATCACATCACCATTTGTGTCACATGCATAAAACGCACGTAATAAAGTGCCAGTGACCCACTATCTTTCTTTCGCAGTGCTGCATTCTGTTTATTGTCCCTAGACTAGATAGAGCGGCGAGAGTAAATTTACAAACTCTTCTGTGTGTTGGAACATACGCATCTATGAATGGCAATTATCAGCAGGAAGCTGTAATTTGTAGTTGGGCAGGCTGAGCAAATGAAACAATAATCTTGTTGATGTTGTTTGTAATTCATCCAACTGAAGCACAAGATGCATCATTCCACAGAAAGACAAGTACAGAATATATGAGCTGTCAACTAAACAGCATATCTTTTCCTTATGTTTGGATCTTTGTTATGTGTATGAGCGTAAAAGGAGTCTTATCGCGATGTTGCCAGATATATACATATATACGATGGCACATGACTGAACATTAATATTCTTGCACAAAATGGAAGAGGAGATTGCATTATTGTGTCGATAGTGTAATACTGTGATTCATAGTGGGGGCCAAGCAGGGTTGCAGAGTGAGTTGAGTACAAAAAGAAATCTTTTGTTTGTTTGTAGATGGATTACGCGTTCAAAAAGTGTGTGTATGTGCGTGAGTTGTGTTTCAGTGTGTATGCGAGCAAGATCTAAATAAATATTTTAGGGTAGTAAGGCTGAAGTTGATCTTTCGTCGTCATCCTGATGCTGCTTATATCATAATAGGAGTATAAGAGTGCTTCTAAGGAAGAGAACAAAAAGTTACCATTTGGAGCGATCCAAGACCGAGTTTCCGATTCGGTCAACTTTTATTACCATTATTATTACCATTATTATTATTCTTATTATAATTATTCTGCAGTGCGCCAAGAAAGTTTGCGCCACAACAGCAATCAGCAGCACAGCAACTGATATGCGAAGCCAGCAGCACTTTTCCATGCAAAGCCCAATCCGAAATTAAAGAGAGAGAAAGAGAGAGAAATCAAGAAACCCACCACCTTGCCAATCTTTTCTCTTCTTTTTCTTCTTTTCCTTTCCCTCTTTCCCTTAATAAGCGTTTCTTTCTTTTCTCTCCCCCCCTTCTTTCGTAATACTTGTTACTCTATCAACCCTCTTTTTTTTTATAGTACCGTATATAATCAATCATCATCTCTATAATCAGTAAAAAGCATCTAATTAAATATGGGAATTTGTGGTCGCAACACTCATACAGCACCCAAGCAACGTAAGATCGTCCTCGTTGGCGACGGTGGCTGCGGTTCGTATATCCTATTCATTAGAGCAAGCTAAAGCTGTTTGTTGCGCTGGAAGGGGGGGGGGTGCTCAGCTAACTGTTTTTGTGTTGTCATGTAGGAAAAACATCCTTGTTGAACGTATTTACTCGAGGCTACTTTCCGCAGGTAATACGACACTTTGTTGTGTGTGTGTGTGTGTGTGTGTGTGTGCATATGCATATTGACGACTCGCTGTTTACCAAAGGCATATGAACCGACCGTCTTTGAAAACTATGTCCATGATATCGTAGTCGATGAACAGCCTGTAGAATTGTCATTGTGGGACACTGCAGGTACAATCTCGCTTCTTCTTCTTGTTGTTGTTGGATGGATCGTGGGGTACCTATTGATGTGTCGTTGCTGCTTGTTATAAATAGGTCAAGAAGGATTTGACCGATTACGAGCATTGTCCTATGTTGACACGCATGCATTCATGATGTGTTTCTCTGTGGACGATCGAGATTCGCTGGACAATATTCCCAACCGATGGCTTGAGGAGGTGTTGGAGCATAGTCCCAACGCCAAAATCATATTGGTAGCCCTCAAGTGTGATCTCAGAGACGACGTACGGATATCATCACGTTTGAATCCAATCTTGTACGAAGAAGTAAGTATACGAAAACTTTACACGCTTTTTCTATACTGATTGTCTTTGTTCTCTTTGCTGCTTAATCTTCATGAACAACAGGGACTTGAAGTAGCCAGAGCGATCAACGCAGTGCGCTATCTCGAATGCTCAGCCATGCATAACCGAGGTGTACGAGAGTGTTTTGAGCAAACTGCGCGGGTTGCTTTGCCTGGTACGTGCACACATGATCTCTCTCTCTCTCTCTCTCTCTCTCTGAGAGATATGATCTTTTGTAGCTTCCATCTGTTATATGCTCAACCATATATTGTTTAATGTAGTACAACTGCACCGACGGTTTGATGATCGAGGAGGCGGATGCATTATTCTTTGACACATAAACTTTCTTTATATTTTGGGGAGAGAACAAGAACAAAAACAAAATACAATCAATTTTTTAATACAAATCGTTGTGATTCCACACATCAAAAGCGGATGATTTAAAAGCCTTCGACACGTTCCTGAATCTTCAACAAGTCCGAGTAGATGCCAAACGAAGTGACGGCAGAACCAGCGCCAGCGCCCTGAATGATCAAGCCGTTAGGGAAGTACTTTGTCGTGAACTTGATGATGTTGTCGCTGCCCTGAAGGGATGCAAACGGATGCGAGGCAGGATATCTAAAAAAAGCAAGCGTCGTTGTTTTGTTGGTTTGGTTAAAAGAAAAATTAAGGAGTGGTGGTGGACGACGCAATCGCACGCATGCAGAGACGGTCTCTGGGGGGGGAAAGAAGAAGAAAGAAAGAAGGTTAAATTTACTTGATCAACTTGACGCCACTGTTTCCACCCTTGACATCGACGAGACCGACATAACGCAGGACCTGGCCTTCCTTCTTGGCCTCCTCGTTCAACTGCTTAAAGTGGCCATCAAACTCGGGCAACTTGGCCATGAACTCGTCAGCAGATGCAACCGACTGCAGAGGACCAGGGACAATGTTTTCAACAGACAGCGTCGACAGATCGAGATCCAGACCGGCCAAACGACCACAGATCGTGACCTTGCGTGCAACGTCCATACCGTTCAAATCATCACGCGGATCAGGTTCGGTGTAGCCCAATTCCTTGGCCACCTTGACGATTTCGGAAAACGACTGACTTTTTCCTTCTGACGAAAGCGACGAAAAGTTGTTGAACAAGTAGCTCAACGTGCCGGAAAAGATACCTTCGATCTTTTCAATGCTGTCACCGGTCTTGACCAGATCCGACAAGGTCGACAAGACGGGCAAACCAGCGCCCACGGTGGATTCGTGATAAGCCAGAGGCGTCTTGGCGCCATCCGATGGACCCAAGTTGGCAGCCAACGAGACGATCTGCTTGTAGAGTTCAAGCGAGCCGGAGAAGCCCTTTTTGTTGGGTGTCACAACGCTGACGCCGGCCTTGAGCCATTCAGGGTACAGCTGTGACACGGCGTCCGAGGCAGTGCAGTCGACAATGACGGCATGGTCGGGTGAATCGGCCAAGTACTTTGCAAACACGCCCAGGTCGGCTTGCACGCCGCTGGTTTCAAGGTCTTGCTTCCACTGTGTCAACGACAGGGGCTTGTACTCGGTGTCCGAGACCACCATGTTGCGCGAATTGGTCAGACCGACAATGTTTAAGCGCTTGGCGCTTGTCGCGTGCAATTGAGCCAATAATTCAGAGCCGACGAGACCGACACCAACAATACCAACGCTGACCATTATTGTAGTAATGAATGAAAATGAAGGGGGAACAAAAAAAAAGAAAACGTGTGGAGTTTTTTCTTTTTAGCGGAACAAAAAAAATAATTTTTCTTTTCGCGATACCTTTGAGTCATTGCATAATGGGCTAGTGTTTATCCAATCATAGCCTTTACCAAAGAGCGCACTATGTCTTTTAGTTGGAAAAAGTGGCATCGCCCCATCTAACCACCATACCACCTTGGTATGTACACATCCACACACCCCTTTGGCTCCCGGGGAAGCAGTATACGATGGCTTAGCAACAGGCTTTCTAGACCGTGCCATCTTGTTAAAAGGGATGCATGATGATATCTACGCGCATATTGCGGCCGCTGATGTCTGACGCGCTTGTGATCACCCACCTGCAGCAAGCTAAAGGTATGGAATAGCTCGGTGCATTTACAACAGACACGACAGGATCTATAGTCCCGTTCCACAAGTAACTTTTTTTCCGCCCTCTGGTTATTAAATACTACATGTTTGACGAGCTATGTATCTGCTTTGCCAACCACCTGCTTATAGCATCAATCACTAGCAAATCTATGTATACGAGGGGAAAAAGAAATTAATGCGTCCAAGGTCTTTTGCCGCTTTTCCCCTTTTGTCTCCGCTTCTCGTTCCTCCTAGATCATTGCAGGAATCTGACCACATTAAAAAAAAAAAAGAGTCCAATTGCCATCACAATCATCACAGTCTTACGTTCATTCTCTCCATGGCGTCCCTCTATGACGAGACAAACGATAAAACGTATCCACTCGAACCGAACGTTCCATTCATTCTTGGCAGAGGAGACAACCTCAACATTCACGATCCACGCGTCAGTCGTAACCAACGTAAGGAACTGCGCAATTGAGTCGAGTTGCTGCAAACAACCACCACCACTGCCAGATCCATGTTTGAGAGCTTGTAGAACTGAACCTGCCACGCGTCTCTCTCCCACTCAATTTTTTTTTTGCTATTTTGAATATATAATAGTTGAGGTGAACCTCCTTGAAGACGGACGTTGTTTTGTGGAACGAGTAAGCTCAATATTCTTATTATTTGCTTTGCGTTGTCTCCAGCAAGCATATATACATGTATGATTGGATCACTCATATCAATCATTCTCTATCATGTTAGCATTCACCCAACCCATCTTTGCTAAATGGAAAAATACTTCCATTACACAAGGAAATCGAGTTGTTTGATGGCCACACTATCGAAATCATTGCTGTGAGTATAGATCAAGCGCGAAGTTTATCATGCTCTGTGTGTGTGTGTATCTATTATCAATGATCACTCACGCTTATTATGCCCCAGCGCGCAGTCCCCGTTTTCAAAGTAATTTTGCCGGACTCAAAAGAACCAGACCGAAATCTCGTGATACCACCTACAGCACCCTCAGCGCGTGAGGGAGAGAAATATTACTATGATGAGAACAATGTGGACGAATACCAGACGCAAAAGCCAAGTGTGTTCCCGTATAGCGAGGATGACGATGACAATGAGGATAATAATAGACCGGGAAATGAAATGACAAGCGACGAGGATGAGCCTGTGGGGGTCTTGGGTGGAGATGATGAGTCGGATGGGTGGGTGTCGACCGAGTCAAGCTTACTCGGTGACGAGCGATGGAGCGATGAAGAAGACAAGGATGTGGTAGATGATCCGGAAAACACGACGACGACAGCTAATAAAAATGAGTGAAAAAAACTAGGTGGTGGGTTTCTGTAGATATTCATTTTTTTAAATTGCCTGTTTATACGTAAATCAAAGTCAACTTTCAAATAGATTGGATCTACAGAGGAGGAAAAGGTGATATAAGTTATATTGGTATAGTCAAAAAATGGGTTTTTATGGCTATAAGGGAATCATTGTGTGTGATTACGGAAAGGTAGATGCTGATAGTCTTGACAAAGGGTGTTAAAAGGAATGGACGGTAAAAGCTATATTAGAATAGGGCTGGACCTCGTTCACGATGAGAGTAGGCTCTATTGAACGCACGTGTTGGTTGTGGCGGTGGCGGTGGTGGTGGCAATGAAATAGCATCATCCTCTTCTTCTTCTCCACGTGTAGCGATGGAGGCGGAGAGGGTTGGGGAAGGAAGAGCCGAGGAAGAGAGTGTGGGCACTTGGATCGGCAACCAACCTATCATTCCCTTGGCAGCCCACAGCGCGATATTGACAGGCAGAAACATGAGTGCCACCAATGTGCGTTGGGACGATTGGAGTTGGTCTTGCTCGATACGATACAGAATGACCTGGTCCAAACCATTGACTTTTCCATCAATGGCAGAAAAACGTTCTTCAGACCATTCCTTGAATTTGGCTTCTTTGCGTTCTACGCGCTTGGCTGCTTTGGCGAGTTTTTTGACTGCTGGATCCAGTTCAGTAGCAATCTAGCATATTATTCACAGGGAGGAGAGCAAAGAAAAAAGCAATGAGTGGCATGTCCACCTTCCACAACCTCTTGAATTTTTTTTTTTTTTTATACCTCGTTGACGTCCTTTTTGGTGATCAGCTCGCCATAAAAGTCATTCATTTCCTTGTGCATCCGATCGACCCTGGAGTGTAGCACATCTGTGATCCGCTCATCGGGTCCCAGGCAAGTCTGCAGTTCTTGGGTCCGGTCGCACAGCAGCGACAATGCATATTCGGATGGTTTGATCATTGCAGCCAGCACAAAAATAAAGAGATTGAAATAGCCCATGTAGCGCTCATGGTTGGTTAAAAAGTACCGTGTAAACCGAAGCGAATAGGCTACAATGAACGGCGACAGCAAAACCCAAAATAATCCCACGCGTTCTTCGTGCCGCAGCTCCTGCCCCAATTGAATACGTTTTGGATCGAGGGACAATGGCGATGCTGTTGTTCTATGCGAAGTGGCATTTTGATGGATGATACGTCTTGCACGTGCACCTTCAAAGTATGACCATGGAACTTGATTGTTGTATGTTATTCCAAATGGTCCGTGTTCAGATTATATGTAAAAAGTGGTGGTGTGTCAAACTATCAATTAAACCTTATTCTATCTATCCTTTCACCAAGGGCCCATCAACATCTTGTTTCATTAAAGGGAGTTAGTTACCTGTCATCCATTTGTATACGTAGTAAAGAGTCAGTAGACTTAGAACAAAGTCGCTCCATACTTCTGCACTGCCTGCAAAAAAGGCACCTAGCGTGGGAACGACTGCCAGAATGATGGGCCAGGATATTGCCGTGGAAACCTCGTCGTTGCTAGGGTCATCTGTCGCGCCAACTGTATGCGTTGCTGGTTGTTCCTGTTGCTGTGCTGCTGGATTGGTATTGTCCATTAAATTGGCGCTTGATGCGGGTGCTGAAGGCGGAGGTGTAGGTGGGAATTCACTTTTATTGCTAGCAGACACAAACGACGTTGACGACGAGGACGACGACGATCCTTCGTGCGATCCCGTGGGTCGCATGCGTAAGTCGTCATTGTAGAATGTCGACATTAAGAAAGGAGAAAAGAAAGGTTCAAGCAAGAGAGAGAGAAAAAGAAGAAAAAAGGATTATTCTATTGTTTCATTTTGGTGTTTTTTCTGTTGTGTGCTTTCTAAAAAGTATCATTATACAGTATAACCCAATTCATAATATCAAAGAGAGGCGCGTGATTTTAAAAGTTGCTAAAGTTGCAAGTATAACTGCCTTGCATATGCAGCTTTTGTGTTCCGTTAGTTGTCTCATGTCAATCTTGGACTTTCTTTGTTTATTGTTTATGCCAACGGTGGGCGTTTTCTTCTTTTTCCCTTCCGAAATTGTTTACATAAGCACTATGCTAAGCTATTATACTACGTATTACTGCTCATCAAGAATGCTGGTTTTTATCAACCTTTTTCTCTTCAAAACAATAAAGTGAGCGGGCGATGAAAAACCAAGGAGAACAATAGGAAAGTGTAGAGCACAACCCGATCCACTAGTGTTGAAGAATCATATGCAATTTATGCTTCTACCTGGCGCTTCCATCTATACGCCACCCCAATAAAAATAACAGAGCTTTATTTAGCAGATTGCTGGCATTGATTCTATAGTAACCACACAATGTTGTTACTACCCAGGCACATACGTATACGCGTAATGATACGCGTAATGTGAAGATCAAGCAGCGTTATTATAGTAGCACTGCTTACAGTGTATCAAAAGTCTCAATGTTCTGCAGACACATACATCACCAGTGAATCGGTATCTACTGCTGATACTCGGTCACCTTCAAGACGACGTCCATTATACGGTTATAATATACATTAAGCGGACAAGCAATGGCAGAATAAATGATGCATATAATGTGCTATACATGCTACGCAGTACTGTATCATGTTTGAACCTGCAGCAAGTGCTCGGGATAAGAGATGTGACACGTACATGATTTATTTTAACGTAAAAAGGACAATCTTTATCTTTGACTTGAGTCCTCTTCTACTTTTTGATTCATCAACAAGTAGCTCTTATTGAGGTCCATGTCTCTTCATTGAGTATGTGGTCAGTACTACCGATTTATTTTAGTCTGTATATTTAATCGACTACAACCAGACATTCCTATGAGCACGCGTTCTTTTCGCGAAAGTATCTCTAAATTATAAAAAATCTGGGCTACTGTAAATTATCCATTGCTCTAGGTAGAGCCGTGCAATGTATAAAGCAAGAGAGCCCCCGCAAATCGATTCAAGTCCCGAAGCCACAACTGGATATCTTGGTCAAAAAAAAAAAGACCTCCAAGTCTTTTACAATATTTCAAATTACCCCCAATGCCAACTCCATTGATTTCTCCTGCCGAAAAAGATTACATCAAGCAAGGTGTCGAATATGATTGTCGAGCTGATGGACGAAGTCGTCTTGAATACCGTCATTTAATTCTTGAAAGCGGTCTCCTGTCACAAACCAGCGGCAGTGCACGTTGTCGATTGGGTGATAGTGACGTGCTTGTTGGCGTCAAGGTCGAAATCGGTGAAATCGAACAAGATCAACCTGATCGAGGACGCGTTGTTTGCAATGTTGAATGGTAAGAAGAGAGAGAAAAAAAAGTGTGTATATAGGAGAGATCCGAATTACCCTTTCTCCTTCCCCCAGTGCTGGGCATTAACACCCAAAAGTTTTTTTCTAAACGTTGTCATTGATTTCCGTGTTATATATTATTATCCCAGTTCACCAAGTGCATCGCAACAATTTGAAGGACGTGGCGCAGACGAGATAAACAATACACTGACACTTTCACTGGAACGATTTCTCAGTGGACCACAAAGCGGACTGGATCTTGCGAAATTATGTATTATTCCTGGACGACAGTGTTGGGTGATCCATGTGGATGCCATGGTCATGGACTGTGCTGGCAACTTGTTGGATTGTATCATCATGACCACGCGCGCCGCCTTGTTCGATACACGTATCCCCAAAACAGAAATCCAAGATCTGGGTGAAGGCGAGTATGAATTCGAAGTAATAGATGATGTTGAGGACGCAGAACCGATTGGTAAATGGGATATGTTACCGCTAGCTGTCACTTTGTACAAGGTAAAAAAGAGATCTTTAATAAGTCTGTCGTTGTCCTTTTTTGTGTGTGACTAAGTATTATGTTGCGAAAACATGTTTTCTTGTATCCAGGTTGGCGATCGTTATATCATTGATCCGACGATTCTGGAAGAACTGTGCTCTGAAGTGACATTGACAGTTGGTGTCAATAAAGAAGGTGCTATCTGTGGTGTTCAAAAGGGCGCAGTTGGAAGCATTGATCCTAGTCTTTTGACAGAAATGATCCAGGTAAATCTAAAAAAAAGTTGTAGCGGGTCGGGTTAAAGGTGTAGAGGTTGTTCGTTGATAACTGACATATTTTACAATCATTAGACTGCTACCACATTGGGCAAAACCTTGATAGAGCAATTAGATGCCAAACTCATCGCCGATGATCGAGTAGTACAAGCAAAGAGAACGCGCGGTGAACCTATTCAAAAGCTCGGTTTCTTCGCTGCTGTCTTTTAGAGCATATCCAAAGTGTATATCGAACAAGAAAATCACACCTACCTCCTCCTACGCATCGTTTCCCCTCCCCCTTCCATCACCTTTCATTTGCACCAACCCAAAAACTTTTTACATACAACAATTGTCTTTTTTTTTTTCAAATCCTGCATAATATGATACACGCTTCAACACAAAACAAAAAATGTTTATTGTGTTTTGCTTGCACCACCGGCGACGGCAGCGGCGGCCTCACGCTCACGCTTACGCAAAGCACGTCGACGAACGTCCTTTTGAATGTTAAAGTTCTGAGTGATCCAGAAGCTTGGGGGCAACAAGTTCATGAACCAGTTGGCAAGACCCTGGCTAGCATAAGAGGTCGAGGTATTAGGGACATTGGAGCCGCATGGCAAGCCAATCTTGGACAAGACACTGGCAACATAGGGCTTGGGCAATGGGATAAGGAACGAAGGACGACGGATCTTGCTCATGGCAGAAACGACAAAGTAGGTGTTGACGTTTTGCACAATGATGCCTTGGTTTTCAACTTCCTTTGCAAGTGCCTGGGTCCAGGTCGACAAGAAGGCCTTGCCGCCAGAGTAAACTGAGAGATATGGGCTAGGGACCATGCCAGCGAACGAACCCAAGTTGAGGATAAGACCGGAGCGACTGTTGTTATACACAGACAAATGCATCAGTATGGAATTCACCTCTTTCTTTACAATAGAAAGTCTTTTCGCTATCGTCCTCCGGGCCTTTGGGTCTATTTGCTTACTTGGTCTGCATTTGTGGCAAAACAAGCTTGGTCATCTTGAGGGCACTCTTGACGTTGACTTCAATGATATCTTCAATGACTTTGTCACTTTCTTCGGCATATGGCGTAGGGATATCGTGGTTGGTACCGACATTGTTAACTGATACCAATTAAAAAAAAAGAACCAGCATGAAAAAAGGGTTTGAGTGACGCTTGGTTTATCTTTTGATACAGCCCAACAGTAAATGTTACCTAATACGCCAACACGGATGCTGCTCATCATATCACCAAGACGAGCAAAATCTTGATTGTCACCCTTGGTAAAGTCCATTGCATAAGTCTTGGTCTCCACACCATATTGATCGCCTAAACATTCAATAGAGACAATTTTTTTTCTTTGCTTAGCAACCAACGTTATTTACGACGCCAGTTATTGTCACCAGAAAACAAACTGGTTGTATAGACTTTAAAAAATGATACGTGTTTGCCCCTAAAAAATTACCAATTTCCTTGGCAATAGCTTCAAGTTTCGAGGCAGTGCGCGAGACGAGCAATACGTTGAATTTGTTCTTTGCTAATTGTTGTGCAAACTCCTTGCCAATGCCATCAGACGCGCCCGTAATTACTGTTTTATTAGAGAACTGTCAGTAATGGTCCTAAACATGTGCAAACGAGACTTTATTTTTTCTTCTTTTTGCTTACCAGCCCATGAGCCTTTGCCAGCACCGAACTTCTTGAGCTATTTCGTAGCAGCAATTAATTGGAAATGTAATTTTGTTGGGTTGAGGAATGTGATGAGGGCTACACATTGAAATATAAATCACGCGACGACATACCGAAACACCCTTCAAGACATAGAGTTCAAGCAAGGTCTTTAAGAAGCTGAACAGCTTCACGCCAACAACAGCAGCGCCGACGGCAGACAATGCCGAAGCAGCGACTAATAATCGAGTGTCCTGGGCGATTTGCTCCATAATGAAACCCGTTCAAGAAAAAAGAAGAAAGACAGGTTGTTACTTTATAGTTTATTTGTTTTACAGACGACAAACGTCGGGATTGAAACCAAAAAAAAACCCAAAATTTGGTGGTATATCCATATACACAGAGGAGAGAGAGAGAGAGATTCATATGAAAAAAACTATGTCCAACCACTTGATTTTAAATTATGCCGATTCCTTGGCGGCACCGCTGGCACGCCATTCACCGAGAATCAAACTGATGATTTCATCCAAGCCAACGCCGTTCTTGACCTGAGCAAAGACGGTAGGACCATTGCCTCTGTTTTTACCCAAAAAAAAAATTATATCATTCCCGACATGTTAATAATGCCCTCCATAATTTGAGCGCGTTCTTCTTGTTCCTTTGGCTTTTTTTCTTCACCTCATCTTCTTTGCATCACGAGCCATGACATCCAAATCAGCGCCAACGATGGGAGCCAAATCGGTCTTGTTGATGATCAACAAGTCACTTTGAGTGATGCCGGGACCTGTTCCACCCTTTAGTTCAAATTGGTTTTTTTTTTTTTGCCTCTTTTTCCCCTGGAAAACACTTACCGCCCTTGCGGGGGACCTTGTCGCCACCAGCAACATCAATGACATAAATGATAAAATCGGCTACAAGTGATAAAAACAGTGAGCCACTAGAGATAAGCACAGACCACCCCACAGACATTGGTTACCAAGCTCTCGACTGTAATTGGCAGCCAAGTTGTCACCACCGGATTCAATCAGGAGCAACTGTGTGTTGAATTTGGCATGAAGGACTTCAAGTGCGTTCAAGTTTGCAGAGACATCTTCACTGGAAAAAAAAAAAAAAAAAAAAAGAGTTAGACACGAGAACAATCGGACTTTCTTTTGTCGTGCACACATACCGGATAGCCTAGAAACGTCATGAAAAAAGAGAAATGAAAGAAAAAGATAAGATAAGGGGTTGTGTGTTCATTTCCCAATGGGAATATTACACAGGCACAATTCTTTACCGCATGAGGACAACCACCCGTCTCGATGGCTGCAATTCTTTCTTCAGGCAAAGCCTTGTTACGGACCAAAAATTCAGTGTCTTCCTTTGTAAAGATATCATTGGTGACAGCAGCGACGGAGTAACCGTCGCGCAGTCTCTGGCACAACGCCAGCATCAACGCGGTTTTGCCCGATCCAACAGGTCTGCATAGCAAAATAAGATGGAAAGAAATCAGTTTTTACTCTTTTTTTTTTCCCGTTTGGGTTTCTTGAACGCCTTTACGCCTCCTCCTTCCTTATATTTCAATTTGTTGTTGTTGCTGGTGCTATGAGATGATTGCACTTACCCGCCAATGCCGACGGTAAAGGCACGTTCGGTCCAGTCACGGTTGAGATACGTGGCCTTGGGACGTTCCTCATAGAGGCCAGGGTGATCAAGTTGTTCATGCGTGTGGCCATGCTCGTGCGCGTCGTGCGAATGTGAGTGTGCGTTGTGGTCGTGCGCGTGAGCTGGAGCGGCGCCAGTGGAGGAGTTGGTGAGGTCGAAGCGGCAGGTTTCGTTGGCCATATTATTTTGGATGAAGAAGAAGAAGAAGAAGAAGAAAGATGAAAGAAAGGGAAAAAAGGTATGAGTGTGAGAAAAGTTGACCGCGTTTCATCTCCGACTACTGCTACTGTTGTCTATTTTTTTCATCAATGCTACTTTCATCCAATCACTAAAGGATATGCGAAAATAAATATACACTCGTGTTTCAGAGGAAGTATAGATTCGCCTCATTTCCCGTCTCTCTCCCTCTCCCGTATGGATACATGTCTATGTGGTTTATTGTGACCCGCTTTCTAAGCGTTCAAGAGGGTTGTGATTTTACATTGTCAATATATTTAACCCAAATCCAGAGCCGGCCAAAACATTCATGCTATGCAACATATAAGCTGGCTTTTTCTCAGATGTGCATACAGACAACAACAAAGAGCTAACTGAGAGACAGCGTCTCCTGGTGGTGACCCGTAATAAATTTGATTCATAGAAATGACGTTTACTTCAGAGAATGATGATTCAAAGTGGTTGATATGGTTAAAATATACTCACCAGCGTTACAAACTGATCAAACTTCAACTTTAATTCAACGTTGAAGGTGCCAATACAATTTTACGGCGCTACGCTTCACTGGTGTCGCTGCACCACCGCCAAAGAAAAAATTTGTTTCCTACAGTATAGAGACATTTGCTATATTTGATCACATGTCAACAGACCCCGTCAACTCAATTGTGCGAGCTTACTGTTACCCTGCAGTATAACCTTGGTTGATGGATCCACTCCTATGATCTTATAATAATCAGGGCTTTCCCCGGTCATACATATATTCATGCGATGATTAAGCCTTAGGACGATGAGCAAAGTGGCGCTTAAGAAATAGTTGATAATGACTAAATAATGATCATTACTGGATAGCATTAATGATTAAGTTTCTCGTTCTACAGTAGTACACCCTTACTCCAAACGAATCTTGCTCAACCTTCAATTATTACACTTGGAAATAAAGAGTAACCCGTCTTCTTTCCGCCCCTGAAATTTAGAGGCCCAGCTTGTGAGTGTTAATCATTTTGAAACGTTCAGCATCAATTACTTCTGATACATGTATACTACTTAAATTCATGGATATTATGGATATGACATGTACCATCACTGCTTAAGATTAAATCAAGTTATCCCGTCAAGTTCTTGATGTTTCTTATCTACAATAGCTTTCAACGGCGCCAAATTTGCCAAGTTTTTAGAAGCGAATTGTTTTGTGCTACTAATGGTGAGTCAGAATTATTGTGTGCTTAACTTTTATCTATTACATTTCAAAGTAAAAGCCCAATTCAGATTACCCTTTCCCTTCTTTTGTCTTTCGATGATCGCTGGCGGTACTTCTATATCAAACTACACCAGTATTCGGCAAGCCAGTCTTTTAAAAGACATCCAGAAATGTGTTAACATCCGTATAATTTTTTTTGTGAGCGTCCAAGTCTCGAGCACATAAATACATTACATGGAGCTATACTACTGAGATTCTTCATGCAATCTAAAGAAGCCACTTTAATATTGTTAATTTGCTTGACGCTACTTCGATATCAACACTAGCTCCTGTGATATGGTCGTCGCCAGGAGCTTTGCGAGGAGCAAGTTTGCACAGAACGACTTTGATCTCGGCAGCAGGAAAGGGGGTCTTTTCGTTGTTTCGGCCGTAGCGAGGGAGGTATAATGTAGCGCATCTCCCCATGATAAGCGTTTCACCACTAAAGACTTGTGATAGAGGAGCTGCCATCACTTGCACGGCCTGCACTGTGAGCCCTCTGGGTGCGAGAACGAATGATTCTCACGTTGGTTTCGTCGCATACGCTTGATGATTGTGTTCGCTTCACTGACAGTGTGCATTACCGAGCTTGATAGAGAATGCTAACCAGGTATGTACGTTTGCATGTGCGTCTGACTTCTTCAGTATGTAAATGATTCGCATATAGTAGTATACTGTGCGCGTACTGTACTACCAGGTTATCGGGTGAGTTGCGCCAGCGTCGATATGCGGCTTCGCGTTGCTCTGCTTTTGATAGGAGACCAACATTCCAAAAGCACTTTCGATCTCTCGGTCGTGTTTTTGAGCACGTGACGCTTGTATCAAGAGCGTCCTGTAGAGCGGATGTAAGATCGCGGTCTAGCTGTTGTATGGCGGTTTTGTTGGGTATCGGGAGTGGGGGGGGGATTTTGGTGAGGCGTTCGAGTCTCTCGTTTATATGTGTGTGAATACGTGGTGGAAGAGGAGTTAAGCGAGAGTTGATCATGGATCTGCAGGTTGGGTGTTGAGATGGTGCTACATATTTATTGAGATAAACAAGTCAATGATACTGTTCCCTTGGTCTGTGCGGTATGTTGGTAGGCCTCGTGCCTGGTCGCCATTTGCATATATGTAGGCCAATTCCAAGAGTCCATGGCTCTAGGAAGCTGATGCCGCGTTGGTTGTTGGAGTGGTCATCTTACGGTGATATCGCCAAATTTTATGGTTTTTGGGTTTATGGTGAGCTGGTCTAACAGCTCTGTGCTGGTGTGATGGTCGAATGAAGGTGGTAGGAACAGTCCGTGAAAGGTGCAGGTGCCAATACGGAATGGAAGGGTGAAGCGATTCGATGTGAGGTATCCGCTATAAGTACTCTTCTTATTTGAACAAGGTTGCTGATTTTCCTATCTATCACCTGGGTGTCTGTGGCTTTTGTGAAATGATACAGGATAGTGCTATCTAGAATTCTATAAATCATTCAAAGACCTGATTTTTTAGACATTTTGTTTGTCTTTTCTGTTGAATACATTGACGTGCTTCGGCAGGTCATCCTGCTCTAATGTAGTAGTTCGTAAGCTTGTTTAAGAGATGTGGCGCTGGATTATAATTGTTTTGTTGATGACGGGACAAGTAAATAATATGTTGACGACCATATTTGCATGTGCTTATACTTCTTATCAACGAGAGCTATATTAGACGCTATTTTCTTAAAATTGTGCTCTACTATTCTATCTGCATTACTTAAGTTTCAAAGACGAATCTTCCATAAATATCTCTCGAGACAGCCATCTCCATAAGCAATATTCAAAGGTTAATGTTCGAGATGGAAAGTAAACCAAAGATGTGTGATGATATAAAAATAAAAAAAGTGTTTTATTACGATGGAATGCTCCTAGTGAACAGTCCATGTTCTAAAATCTAAGCTAAAATAAACTCACCGTGTGCATTATTATTAGCGGAATCTGGTCATTCCTCGAGAAGGGTATCATTAATTGCCCGAGTACTTGCGCATCTGAGGGTTCACCTTCAAAGCGAGAACGAAAAACGCCCAGACCAAGCTCAACATGCCAAAGAAGAACGTGACCCAGCCAGCGCCCAACAGCTTGGGTCGTGGGCTTAGCGCATTACCCCGTTCATCCACGCCATACACATCTGCTACAGAACTGTAAGGGCAAAAAGAATCTTCGCTAGTCCTTTTGCGCCAGTGCTTTTTTCTCAAAATAGAAGCTACCCGGCACCGACAGCCCAAGCTGATGAGATGCCCACTGCTTGAAGAATGCGCATGCCAAGTAGGACATAGATATCGTAAGCAAAGCAACCACCAAGGAAATCGGCAGTATAGATGATAATGCTGAAAACGTAGACTGAGCGACGGATACACCAGTGATCGCTGATGCTGCTGCTATAAAAGACCGGTTGCAAACAAAAGATCCAGCGTGAGCTGATCCTCCGCAGACACAGCGATACCCATGAACATCATGTAAAGCGAGTTACTGAGCGTCATCATGATCGTAGGACTGTTCAATTCGGCAGTAATTCTCTTCCAAGGCTGAAAGCTAGTAATTTAAACAGACCAGGGCATATAAAGAAAGTCAGGTGCTTCTGCTTGTCACTTTATCTATTTCCTAATTCTAAGACTTACATAATTAGTTGAGCAGAATCCCGAAATGATGGCAATGCAAGACCAAGAAGGAACCTCTTACGCCACAATGGAATAGTACGTGCGTCTTTTTTCATTTCAGGATGTAGTTGTAGCAACGATCTGACGTAGTCTGACGACATGGCAAAAGTAGCTGATTAGTGAACAAACAAGAGAATGGGGAAAAAAAGAAATTATGGAGGAAGACCTCAAGGGAGAATTTATTATCTCTGCAGGCACACGTGCCGCAAGTTGAGGTACGCGCCCCGTTCAAAGGTGTGGAAGGCACAGAACAATCGGTCCGTTCGTTCTTTCCATCTGTCAACAACAATTCGCTATGTACATTGCTCGGAAAAGTAGTCTACCGAGGAGCTTATGCCGTTTAAGGGAAATAAACCATGGTGGCGTTCATATTTGCATGGTTCCTTCAATTCTTTATCTAAGCTTTCCCGGTATTAGCATTGGCGATAATGTAATAGCTGCTCCACATCCCCGCACATTCGCAAGCTGTAATAGTATTATATATCTGGTATCTTTCCCCGCCTCCGCCCCCTCTCTTTTTTGATAGGAATCGCTTATCAAATAATTTATACCGATGTGAAAAAAAGAAGAAGATAATCATACACACGAAAAAAAGAATACGCCCAGGAGTGTCATACATGTCTGTGTATGGTAACTGATGTATGTGTGTACAGGCAACAACAACAATAAGAGTAAAAACATTTGTGCACATGATAACACAACACTATCATCGATAAGATCCGTTCTGTTTCGTTCGCCGTCGTGATAGATGATAGAGGGGTGGGAGAGTATGTTCCAAGTAAAACAGTACAGACGACGATATCGTGAGAGAGAAGAGTGGTGGATTGGATGGTCATTCGGTGGTAATGATTGATGATGTTGCTGCACACAGCGCACTTGTGATAGTGGTTGTAATAGTAGAACAGAGTAGATGCGATATAGGAAATGTACATCAATCTAAAGAAGGCTTATAGGTTGCTGGTGTTGTAGTAGATAGGACGTATAGCTAGTAATAATAGTAAAATGTGTATATATAGAGTATGTATAGCAATAACAGCGTAATGTTATCAAGAAGAGACGCACCAGATATGATGGGCCGCAATCTGTTTGAAAGAAAAGAAATGTAAGTTTCTCTACCATTTGACTTGCATGTACTTTGCTGTATATCGATTACGTCAATTACTTACAAGATAATTTACAGGAAAAAAAGAAGAACAATGATGATGGTGCCTTAAGCACCAGTACATGTTGGATCACGACTTATAGTATAAGTGGCACGGCCACCCATAGGATCCACAAAGCTACCGAGTACGTCCGGAACACTGCCTATCCGCATGGGATCGCGTACCAGGGTTGACGATGCGGCCATCTGGGCTTCTTGTACTGATTGCCGTTGACGCACAAGCTCTTCGGCACTGATTTCACTATTCACTGTACGGGAAGACTTTCGGAAGAATAAGAATGGCATGATATCTGTCTGATGCTGTTGTGGAAAAACACACGAGAGGAGGTGGGCGCTGAGAATGGAGAGAAAAAGTTTATAAAGATAAAAAAAAAGTGGAAAGAAAGAGAGGTAATACGTTTTAATTTCCCGTTTTTTATATGTGTCGGCGGAATAGTGTGATCAAAAGCAGTAGTAGCAGCAGCAGCAGCAGCAGCAGGTTATATGCATCATCCTCATTACGGTAGTCAATCATCATTGACTTCCGCGAGTGGGATCGTTCGATAAGGGCTCAGCCGTTATTCATAGTCCTTTTCACCCTCCTCACCTCTCCCCCCATTCACGCTTTTCCATCTTGTTTGCTCACTCTTTGCTTTCATGCCCCTCACCCCAACCCCCCGGAAAACTGTACCTGGTTTTTTTTTAGACCTTTCACGTTATTCGCACCCAAGCGACTGGGAAATGAGAACGTTCTTTGCTGATCATCTCTTTCTATGTGCCAACTAGATAGCATGAGAAGCACGTGGCAAACCCCAACGCAGTTTCCCTACTGCTCTATCTTTAACGACTCTCTTTTTTTTTCTTTTCACTACATGTTGATATAAGGATATAACTGTTATAACTTATCGGTATGCAAGCAAACACGGGTTGTTGCACAGAAGAAAAATAAATCAAAAGGGCCGTCTGTACAACAATGCAATACATCATACTATGTATGTCCGGAGCCAGTTAGTAATATGTCTTACATCAAAAGAATCCAAGATGATGTCCACTAGTTCTTTCTCAAAAGTGCTGCATCCTTGCATACCTTGCAGGATCTACATGATCGCTACTGTTTATTGACTTTTACCGATTCTAAGATGTATACGTCCTCCCTTTGACGTTTCAGCTAGTAAAACCCGGAAAGGGCCTAATACGTATTTTGTTGGAAAAGGAGGTGCATTAGTGCATATGTGTGTTACTCTGATATGATATGTTCGTTTTCAAACTTTGCGGAACAGGAATTATCGATCGGCGGTCCGTCATTTTCGAGTAACATAAAAGTACTAGATCATTAAAAAAAACCGTACGTTCAAACTCTGATGTTCAAAAGGAATACCGTACCGGCTTTATTGCTTTTTATGGTCGTTTATATTTTTTTAATTATAGAAAAATTCTATAGTTTTAGTTTCGAAGAATATCTAGACGGTTTCGTTTCGTTTCGTCGAATCAAATAGCGTCATCATCGTTGTCTGTTACTAATAAAGGAGGTGCCCCTTGATTTCAATGGGCTGACGATGACGACACAGCAGGCAGCAATCCAACTATTATCAACAGGCGAGCAAACAACGATGACGACCGAGCGAGCGATGGGCTGCCCCGAGATGATGATGATGACGATGACGGTTCCTCAATTGCTTGTTATTAGGTGCGAGGAGAATGTACCACCCTGCGTCTCTCTGTTCCTCCCTTGTCACTTCTTTTATGATTATTTCCCGATATTTACCAGAATGCCGACATGAGAAAAAAAAAACATTGCAGCAAAAAGCATAAATATTTGATTTGCTTGGGAAAATAACCCCTCTTCCGATTGCATTCCGAAGGTCCGCCCCTTGTTGGGATGCCAAGCAGATCTAGATTACTTCTTTGAATAACCATCGAGGCATTGCAACGTTGTTGTTTTCTTTTCCCTTTTTTTCTTCTTTTCATTAATTCTTTCAATGATTTATTAATAGAAGAATACACTCAGGCGGGCCGAAACTGCTCGAATCAAGTGAATTAGAGGATAGTGGATATAGAATGAAGTTCCTTTTTCACCTTTCTTTTCTTACGCGTTTGATAGTGGTGTAAACAGATCGAACATTCGCTGTGGTTGTTTTCGATCACGGTGTGCAAAAAGAAGGCCTCGCCTTGATGTGCTGCATCGAACTTTTACTCAGACTCTTTGTTTATTTAGATGTATTATCAAAGCGTGTGACACGCGCATGCTCGAAAGACATCATCTATATCATCATCGTCATCAAGTGACTTGATAGAACAACGGGAACACGCAACATATAGATGAAATCCAATATGTTCCCTTTCTGCTTGACCTAACGATGAGTGTCCTCTTTAAAGCTTACTAGTACTACTGCTACTACTGATTTGGTTTGGCATTTATCATCTTTGCGTATCTGCGTAATATTTGCCATCTTGCACACTAAAGTAATTAGTGTTTCTCCTTGGAAGTTACTATAAAAATATCGAACGTTAGCAAGCACCTACTAGCTTTTTTATGCTCTGTTTTTGCAGCGTTATTGAATACATAGTATCACCAACGTGACGCACCGACTGTTGCCATAGCGAACTGTTTTTCGCTATAAGGTGAAACATTGTCCAGAAGGTAATTTAATAATTTTCCAGCCAGACAACTAAATGCTCTTGTAATGTTGATGGAAAACCAGACCGTGAGAGTTTGGTTGTCATTGTGAAAATGCTGTCAGGTCCCTGTGAGACGCAGTAAGACTAATCCATGTATGTGCTGTATTACCGCACATGTTCTTATTTTGAGAACCTACAATAATAATAAAAATTTGGGGAGGGAGAGAAGGGTCATTATGGGGTTTGGAGGAGATCCCTTGATATCTATTTTCTGTAATAGTATAGCCGCGCTTGTATGACCTTTTCTCTCTTTGCTGCTGTTTTCGATGCTGCGCCCCACAGACAGTAACAACAACAACAGTCAAGGCACCATGCGACACATTCGACCACGAACAACAGCAGAACTCAACAAACTTGCCACCATCCACATCAACCCTCAAATTAACATTAAGCACTACTTTCGTTCAGCAGACATTTTAATCAAACAAGCACGAGTCTATTTTAATGAAGGCGATTATGAAAACGCGTACATTCTCTTTTTAAAATACACAAAGTGAGTTCCTCTTTGTTTTTAGAAACGTGGTTAGAAGAAAGTGGTCAATTCTAACTGACATTATCTTTTCTACCCCACACCTTCAACCCAGTTTAGGGTTGACTGAACTTCGTCGACATCCTTCCTATAAAGCTGCTGAGCATAAGCGACAAAACAAGATTATTAAACTGGTATAAAAGAAAAAAAGGGCAACGGGTTTGGTCATGAGTAGAGAACTGACAGTCCCCCGTTTCTTGAACACGTCTTTTTTTTTCAGAACTGTCTCGAAGCTTTGGATGCTTTAGAGACGTTGAAACCTCAATTGGATGAAGCGTATGTAGAACACTTGGCAGGCATCAATGATAATAATGAAACATCACGGGAACCAGCTATTTCTGTCGATCGGAAACAGCCAAGACAATCGCAGCATGGGTATGATGTTACTTTGTTATTAAGGGTTGTCATAATGAACTGGTTCTTATAAGTACAACACGTTGAGCGATCCATCTCTCTCTCTCTCTCTCTTTCTTTACCACTCTCAATCCAAAAAAAGTGAAAAGACACAAGTGGACGAAAAGACTCAGGTGGACGAGAAAACCAATGGTGGAGAAGAGGAAAAAGAAAAAGAGAAACCAAAACAGCAGCAAGGCACCGAGACATGGTCTATGCAAAATGCATTACGAGGCGTGGTCGGCGTTGGTAACAAAACGGCAGCAACCAATGAACAACAACAGCAACTGTAAGTATTACTTTTACTTTTGTACGTTGCATGATTCGAGTATCTGACTGTATGGCTGACTGTTTAGGAACAACACGTCAAACCCTCCTGCTCAGGCACAATACCCGTCAAGCACATTTTATAATCAAAGTGACAGGTAGCGTAGCATTTGCCAAGTGAGAGGGTGTAGGAGAATTAAATTTGATTGTCGCTGATGCGTTCCTGAATCTAGCTTTAATTATGTCAAATCACCTTCACCTTCCGCACCTCCTTACGCACCTCCATTACCGCCAAAACCAGCTGTTGATGTACCGGAACCCCAAATCAAACCTGCATCCGTACCACCATTACCGCCAAAAATTAAGGACGAGGCGCCATATGCAAAGGAAGATCAGTATGTGCCAGAGCTGCCGCCAAAGATTGGATTGGATGAGCAAGAAGAAACACAGAGTGGGCCAGGTACTTTTGCTTATTATGGCGAGTGGAATCATGTTTGTGCGTCTTGGTGGGTCCATTAACCCGGTTACTCTTTTTGCACCCATGTAAAAAGCATCAACGACAGAAGGTGGCATGCCATTACGATATCTATACCTTCCCAACGCGCTTCAAGAAGATTTCCTTCGTATAGCGCACAGCAATACCGCCAGAAACATCGAGACGTGTGGGATACTATGTGGTACACTCGTAAGTTCTTGATCTAAGGAAGAACAAGGTCGGATCATGGATTAGAAGGATGCGCCATCTAAAAAAGAGAATCTGTTTTACATGTGGGTCTAGAAAAACAACGTTCTACGTGTGACAACCATGATTATTCCAAGACAGTCAGGCACGCCGGACTCGTGTACCACCGAGAATGAAGAAGAACTGTTTGACTATCAGGACTCGCACGAGCTTCTTACTTTTGGATGGATACACGTAAACTGCTTCTACTGTTTTTCCTTTCCCCCGCCATCTTTTCCACGCACTTTTGGCAAAGCATGAGTATGGCAAAACGGGATAAGCTCCAACTCAAAACCCTATCATTTCCTCATATAGACCCATCCGTCACAATCATGTTTTCTAAGCTCCTTGGACCTACATACGCATTGTTCATACCAAATCATGTTGCCAGAAGCTGTAGCTATCGTTTGTGCTCCGAAGCATGATCCAAGGTAACGTGTCACAAATCAGTGGTTGTATGCTTTGGGTGGGAAATTCTAATGGTCCTCTTTCTTTTTTTTTACAGTTATGGTATATTTCGCCTGACCGACCCACCAGGGCTCCCACTTATCACCAATTGTAAAGCCGAAGGTGCTTTCCATCCACATCCGGATGAGCCGATATATACGGTACGTTTATTATACGAGCAGTAAAAATAACGACTGTGCAAACGAACTCATTCTTTTTGTAATTTGGCAGGACACGCATAATGATACAGGGCATGTGCGGATCAAGGAGTATTCTTATAAAGTGGTTGATCTACGGGGGTAACAGTAGTTAGTAGTAGCAGTTAATACCCAGTAGTAGGGCAATGCATTTTGCACAAAGGTCATACAAGAATAATGGTGTGTGCAGTCGCACAGCCTCCTCCCACCCTCCCTTTGTTGCATGCACTCCAATACACATCTAAAGTCATGATCCGTATACCTTTCTTTCTCTCTCTCTATTTCCTCTTATTTCTTTGAACTTTCTGCCGTTTGCTTGAGGATCACGAGAAGAAGTGCAAGCCAACTTTTTTCTTCAAGCATAGAGTATGTTAAGAGGCGATTCTTCTTCTCTCACCGAAAAGAACGAGACCGAGATTGCTGCCATGGATGAACACGATCCTCAGAATTACCGAGAATACCCCATTCGATTTTACGGATTAGCAGTGATTGGCCTTTTGAATATTGCTTCGTCTCTTTCATGGCTATCAATAGCACCTGTCCCTCAACAAGCTGCTGAATTCTTTGGTGGCACGAGCTATACCGTCATAAATTGGTTCTCCAATGTTTTCATGCTGTCGTATCTTATTGCTGGTCCGATATCCAGCATAGTTTATGAACGCTACAGTATTAAAATAGGCGTATGTTTTTTTTTTGCTATACAGTGAAGCAGGTTCCTTTTTTTATCTCTTTCATTTCATTCACGTATTGATTAACCTTTGGAAATAGCTTGTGCTTGGTGCTGGTCTCCAAGTACTGGGAAGTTGGTTACGGTTTTTTTCGGTTTTTGTCGACGGTCCGAGCGGTAGATTAGCTCTTGCAATAGTTGGTCAGGTATATAAACATGCTTCACTACAAATGCAACCTGATAATATTAACCATGTTTGTTTGATTTCGGAAGATTATTTGCGCAATTGGACAACCGTTCATATTGAGCTCTTCAACCCCGGTATAATACACATAGCATCCTCTCTCTCTATACTTTTTGATATAATAACTAAAACGTCTTCTTTGTATGCATATTGTAGTATGCAGCATTATGGTTTTCAGCAGATGGACGCGGTAGTGCGACTACTGTATCAGGATTGAGTAAGGTTTAACATCCATTTTTCCCTGATGAAACTCTAAATCACTGACCTTCCATGTGATGGTACCACTATTGCTAATATTATCATGTAGCAAATGCTGTTGGCATGGCTATTGCCTCGGTGACAGGGCCGGCCTTTGTGACCAATGAATTTGAAATCCGTTACAATGTAAGTTCAGTGGCACTAGTACCACATACAGTACTACTTCTATTGCCACTTTTAGTAAATTTATATTTATTTTCTCATCATCATCATAATCGTCTCTATAGTTCCTATTTGTTGCATGCTTCACGACGGCATTCGCTATCCCAGCCATATTCATTCCTCGTAAACCAAAAACACCTCCGTCGTACAGCGCTTCTAACAAAAATGTACGCCAGATACCATTTTGGCAGAGCATACGGATGCTATTCACAAATTTCCAATACATCATCATCTGGCTCTCCTTTGGTGTCATGTGTGGTCTGTTTTCAACAATTTCCTCATTGTTGGCTCAGATTCTGCTGCCCTATGGAATCAGTGAAGATGATGCAGGTATCGCTGCCGTAGCGTTGATCATTGCTGGTATCGTGGGCGCTGTAGCAAGTGGTATATTCATTGACAAGACCCAGAAGCACGTATGGGTGCTCAAATCTTTTGTACCTGTCGTTGGGTTCATGTACCTTGCACTTCTTATGGTTGGTAAGTGATTAGAATTACATGACCGAGAGAAAAAGTATCGTTGAATGATGATGGTGTGGGTTGCTTGCATTTAATCTTATTTCCTGTTTTATCTTTTCAGTAAAACCGGATAATTATGGAGCCATTGTTGGTATCTGTGCGATCATGGGGTTCTTTACATTCTCATTGCTGCCAGTTGCATTGGAACTGAGTGTAGAATGTACGTCCTCGAATACGACATAAAAGAAGAACAGGACGAGTAGATAGTAGTAGTAGCGTTGTAAAACTAATTGAATGATCTACCATTTTTTCTGGGGTTGGTGGGGGACGATGGCTAATGTACTAGGCTCTTACCCGGTGTCCGAGTCTATTTCGAGTCCGTTGCTATGGTTATGCTCTCAGATCCTTGCCTTTGTATTCACTATCTCCATGGATGCTCTGCGTGATCCCGATGGTGATCCACCAGAAAACATGCGACGAGCACTCATCATGGCGACAGGGTTTTCAATGCCGATGATGGTGCTTGTTTTATTCTACAACAGCAAGAGCAAGCGATTGGCAACTGAAGAAGCGGCTACAGATAATATGAATCGCGATAATGGTTTCCGCAGTAGCTAGCAAACCGAAAAACATTTTTCATTTCGACGCGTATCCTTCTTTATTTATTTTATTTACTTCGCTCTCTTTATCTATCCCCAACCTAGCCTATTAATCCTTTTTTGATGTCGGTAATGTGTGTAATATTACTTATACAGTATATTTTCTGTTTAATACTAAAATTGCTTAGAAAAACATGTTTGATGTCTAGATGAACAGTATCACTTTATTTGACTACGTGTTTAAAAAGAAGGGTGCTTGATATATTCGTGTCAAAAATACAAAACCATTAAATCCCTATGCTTAGTTGTAAGCACCATGAGCGTCAAGAGCATGGACTGGCCGATCTTTGGGCTGCTCGCAAAGTGTGTAAATGACATAATTATGCTTGTAGTACATGAGGTCTTCTAGGCCACGCGAAAAAGCTCGCGTATTGCTTATTGCGTAAATTCCTTTCAAGCAGTCCGAGTCCATAGATCGCCATCAGCGTTTGTTCCATCTCCATGGCTACATGTGAAGAAATACTTGTACCCGGCGTCTTCTTCGGTTATGGGTACAGCGCCGTGGGTTTGAGACCAATCTTCTTGCCCATATCGACCTTGTAATTGTGTGCAAACCAAAGATACCGATTCCATGGTCTATGTCGAAGACATACAGTAAGTATCCATACCACTTCATGCCACCAGCATGGACGCGAACAGGATGATAGGAAATGTTGCCCTTTTTGGCCCCGCAAGTAACAGCCAGCAGAACATTTCGATACGTAGGCGTGCTTCCCAGATTTCCAACGAACGAAATGCGTACGCCCTTGTTTTTAAAGTCTTTCCCTTCTTGGTGGTATGATCGTACCATGAAGTTGGGATAATGTCGCTCTTTCCACAGGTACCCTTTCCTTAGGCATTGGATGAGCTGGTAATACTGTACCTTGTGGATAGTGTCTTGATCAATATATCGCTTTTTTTTGGCGCTACTATGATAAACGTAATGATATGTAGTCGACATGCGTAGCGTTCTTATAGATATGTACACAATGTCTGCGTGTAGAACTAAGGAAAGGAGAAAGATGTAGGTACTTTTGCAGACAAAAATTTAGTACCAGCGTTTTGTCATAAGTGGTACAGTACCACGGTTCATTAATATGTATGCTAACTTTAGTACAGAAAGGTGGGCAGAGCCATCAACATTACACATTTTGGATTTCATCAGCTATGTTAAAACATTGATGCGAATAGGAATAATTGCAAGTATACATAAGCTTTTTGTTAAGCATCGTATAAAGGCCTATAGACAACTACAGTGGACCCCCGAATTTTTCAACCCCGTTCGTTTCAATACCTGGGCTTTTTCAAGAAATTTCCAGGGAATGACCCAAAATCATTAATAAATTTTTCAATACCTCGTTATTTTTCATTTTCAATATATCTTTTACCCTTGAACTCTATACGGGGGTGAAGTATCTATATTTTGCTACATCATGTGGATGGTATTCATATAAAGATGTATGAATATTTTTAATACAATTTACAAATATGAGGTATATATCTACGTTTATGACCATGTATGCCTATTGTTATGCTCTAAAAAAAGAGGTTAAGGTTCTCTGTGTCCCATTCATTTACTGTCGGCGCAAGTGGTCTCTCACTTGTCTAAGCCTTTCTTTGAGGGAGCCTTCCTCTAAAAAGCAGATAAGACTGATCACAAGTAGTGAATGGTGTTGTTTCAGAAGTGAGTTTGCTGGCTTCTCGCGGCTGTCATTCGTTTTTTCTTTATTTATCGGAGCAAGTAATTGATAAGATCGGATCTCAAGAGAAACTAGGGAAGTCATTATATGTTTATCAAAATCTTAAACAAGTAGAGCTGTGTGTCAGGTAATTGTAGAAAATATATATTCCATATAATATAAAAGGAAAAAAGCTTGTGGCAGTATGGATTTAGAAACAGTACTGTACTACTGTACAGTAGTGAGCTAAATTTTAAAAGTTTATCCAGAAGATTGCTGCCGCTACCCTTCCCCCGATGAAATTCAAACCCGCTTTAATTTCAAGAGTGTTCAGGAATAGCAGCCTTGAAAAAAGCGGGGGTCCACTGTACTTTGATTTGTTGACTTGCATATTCTATACACGCACTGGTAATCAGGTCACATCGTGTTACGACTAGCTTGGTCAACGTGGTTGTAGGGCAGCATGCTTTATCCACCATTCTTCGGATTCCTTGGTCTGTTATGCTGTCCAGTAGGTCCAATTTGATATAGGTCATTCGTTTCAGGTCCCCAAGGGCAACTAAAGCACTGTCATCAACTACATCCATATCTATGAGCTGTACAGATGTCAATTGACTGGAGAGGTTTTGGATGAGCGTCGAGATGCCGTTGGCAGAAACATGGAGTAGGCGATCTAAAGTAATCTCATGCAGTGACTTGATTCCAGACAAAGCAACAAGTTCGGCGTCCGTAATTCCGTCGCAGTATTGAAGCGAGGCACACTGCAATGAGGGTCGTGAATGTGAGATGTCGCCATAACTTTCGAAAAGTGTGATCCAGCTTGAAGAGCCTATTGACTGGCGAATATTTGATAATTTAACTATTTTCAAGGATGGTAGCTTTAAAATAGCTTCGACTAACTCGTTGACGTCGTATGCGAATGTGACAGTGAGATCAAACAAGGTAGTCGTGTTTCGAATTGCCTGAAGCATAAATTTCTGAATTCCTCGGAGCCCCCAGAAGGCCAGTTTTGTCACGCGCTTTAGCTTGAAGAAAGGATATGCTGCGTACAAGCTCTGGAGTTCTTCCTCGTTGGTGATGGGTGACATAAGTGCGTGCACGGTCTCCAATGTCGTGCGGTTTTTGTATATGAGAGGCAAAAGATGTGTAGCTGGCACATCATCATAATTACCTGTGTAGATCTGTCGTAGACCCGTTTCATCATTACTGATATCGCCTTGTAACTGTGGAATAGTAAAGCTTGGATTGTAGGCAAAAATCTCAAGATTTGTCGAGTGACTGTTGACCGCATCCAAGACAGTGGCATTGCAACCGTTGATGACAAATCGTCGCAGTTTTTGGCATTTTTGAAGCATGAATTCGATATCCGGTCTTGTTATAGATGATGCTTTGAGCTGCATGTTGATGAGTGTCTTGTGCTGTTCCGCTGTATTAAAGTCGCCGGCCAGTTTTGCAAGCGGAGACGATGTCGAATATGTAAGGTTTTTTAAATTTCTGCATGCAGAGAGTATATCCGTCAGTAGAATCGAAGGCGAAAATGTTTCATCATTTTGTGCCAGGTCAAGATCAAGAGTCGCCAATGTTTTGCTCATCTGGCTCAGAGCGATTAACAACCTTCCGACGTACGGTGCTAGACCTCGCGCAGTAGTGTCTGATTATTTATCAATAAATGATGATTTACAACATTATTTTGTGGTCCAAGTATTATCTGCCTTTCTTTAACAAACAAGTGAGGTTATTACCGGAAATCTTAAGGGAATCGATTCGGCTAAAGCATCCTTCATTCATAAGTCGAAAACAAACAGGAGTGATGTTTGCGGTTGCTGTGTCGATCATCAGGTGTCTGACGAGGTGGCCAATGTAACCTGGTACGACACCTAGAATTTGGATTTCATTGTTGTTGTCGCTTATTGATAGATTTTCCCATGCAGCCGCACATCCCAGAAGTTTTTTACGCCACAGTCTCGACACTAGCAAACACACTGCTTTTGCATCCTGTGGCAGTCGTGCAATAATGTCGTCAGTGACTTCGGCTGGAAATAACGTCATCAAATCGATGCGCCTTTCCTTGGCGTTTGATGCTGCTGTTTTTTCTGTTATCAGCTGCTCGGTGTAATCATTAACATCTGTGGATGCGTGTTGAAGTCCTTCTTCGAATGCCGCGATTGCTTGTGCTTGATTTCCATACATCGAAAACACACTGGCTTTGCGAAGATAACCAGCTCCCAGTGTTGGTGACAGGGTTATCATTTGCTGGGCATCGTTAATGGCTGTGCTGGGCTGTCCTTGCATAGCGTAAGCGTGTGCACGTAAATCGTAAAGAATGAGTTTCTGTCGTGGGAGTAGCTGATCGATGATCTCTGACGTATGGCTGATCGTGTGCTGATGGTCTTGCTCGTTGACAGTCTCCTTGATGCTCTCGGCAAGCTTGAGAAAATGTTTACCGATGTCAATGAGCTCATCTGGCGTAAGCTGTCCAGTGAAAGAGTGTGGCTCGACCATAATCAGAAGTGTGTTTATCGGGAGAAAGAGAGAAAAGACATCCGTGTCAAAAGAGAAAAGGAAGTCGTCTCTTTTTACCGTCACGCTGTTTATCTTCTTTGCCTAGCTGAAACAAGGCTTATAAAAGTAGTAGCAAGTTGGACAACTAATTACTGTTGTTAATGTTGTTACAAACAAAAGTGGGATGCGCATGTTTAACATGATGCTTAGAACCTGTTAAGGGGGTTTTACACGCTGTTTTCGCACGAAATCATCTGGGTACGAGGAAAGGTTAGGGCTGTGTTCAATCAAGGGTCGCTGTTGTGGTTCGACATAAACATTGACAGGAACTGTTAAAAAGAGCTCATCATCACGGGCTCCACATACTTTCGGTTCCGCTATATACACACGACCTTAACAATTTTCGTGTCAGGGAAAAGCAAATTTTCAAGTCTGATTGTCATATTCATGTGCAATAAAGGATAAGCTGCCAATGCACTAAACCTTGAGCGGAAATGCATGTGAAGGAGAAAGGTGTTCCTTTTTAAGCCACCAGGCGAAAATATGAACAAGAAAATAAGGTTTCGTCTTCGACGTCGCTTACTTACACAACCTGTTGCTTGGGAGTCCCTATTATGACCAGATGGTCTTTACCGATGCTTCAACATATCGAGTATAGAACTATTAGTTGTATCGTTCTAAATCATTTGAGAATACACATTACCATCAATTACTACATGCTTCGCGGGCAACTGCTTGTTTAGTCAGAAATACAAGCTTATCCTTGTAGAATTAGATTACTCCGGATATTGCGATCGATTGAATGTGCACCGATGCGCATCAACATGGTTATGTGTTTCTGTAAGGTAGCGACACACTGACCCCTTTTTAAACCGTGCTTCACAATAGGCAATATTGAGAATCATTGTTAGCTAAGCAACCAGGGTTACAAAAATTGGTTTCCGACCACGCGGTGGGTCAGGAATGGGGCGTTCTGTACGCGAATTTTATTTACGGGAAAAAACGGACTAGTCTTCTGTGTGAGAGCTGTCGAGGAATTGAGATATGTGATCTCTAAAACAATCGACTGCAGTGTACTCATGGTGAAGAAAAACGTAAGGAGAAGAAGGGGATTGTTGGATAGTGTTTAAATTTGAAATCACGCGCTCAGCATGTTCCAGTAGACGACGGAGATGATGTTCTTGCGACGGTGTAATGGGATGCAGGTTCGCTTGGACGCCGGCACTGCGTGTGGGAGGAGGTGACGGGGAGATTGTTTGGACAGCTTTGCTGGTAGTCTGTGGTAATTGCTGCGGGAACGACGGAGTGAATTGAGGTTTATAAGGAATGTTGTTGGCGGCAGTGGTGGCTCCCGCAGTATGGTAACAACTAGAAGTGTCTGCGTCTAGCACGAATGAAAAGTGATTTACTTGAGGGTTATATTGGGGACATCAGCTGTTAAACGTGTAATACCTTGGAAAAAAGATTTCCAGAAGTCACTGTGTTCGTCTTGGTGGACCAACAGTTCTAAGTCGCTCCAAGACAAAGTGCTTTCTGATAAAGTAAGGGTTATTGCGTGGACGTAACGTTGGGCAAAGTGACTTGTTTGAGCTAGTGGTGGCACGCTAAGAAAACAATCAGAGTGTGAGAGCTATGCAAAAATGAAAAAATGAAATAGCAATTTACGAGTGGGTTTTTGAAGTCTTCCCGTTGTGCTTACGTTGAGGATTGTAAGGAGGCAATTCCGTCACCGAGATTAACGGGCTGACAAGTCGTTTCAAAGTTTTCAGTGTAAGTAAGGGGATAAGAGAAATTAGAGAAATCCAAATACCCGTATTTATTTTTTTGGTGTATCTTGAACTTGTCGTAGAGCCAATTGATCCAGTGTGCGTTGAATCAGAAAGCGTGGTACCGAACGTTGCTGCTGAGATAGCAGTATCCCAATTATCGGAAAGGGAGACGTTGTATGCACGGTAAAGCGGCTGTTTTGCTAGAAATTGTGCTGCGCGGTAAACGTTGGGAGGATAGATTTATCCTTGTAAATACATACTCCTGGAATCAATCGTCCTTGGCAATATATTCGTGTCTGCGATGTCGCGCGGGATCAACGTGACGGTGGTATCTACACATACAGGCACATTGACGATTGCGCCCTTGAACCGATACTGTCCAACCCCCCACCCTTGCATAACAGGCCACATCGTTTGGAATATATGACGGGGTGCCACCAATCACACCTCAAGCCGATTAAGCGCAGAGATGCAAGCATAAACAGGAGGGAAGTCCAATCCATTTGCTAGCGCCAATGTCGGTAGCTGGCGACGACAGAGTGAATGATGGCACGTTTTGCAAAACATTCCCTCTTTTGTACATGTCGGATTATGGTGGAACGCTTTGTTGACAAGATCTTCATTATTCGTGCGACGCAGCAACAATTCTCGAGAACATTGCTGCACAGAGTGCTTGAAAAAAAGGCCACCGCAGCAAAAGCAAACGTTTGTTGGTCCTTCTTGTGTAGCTTCGCGGAAGCGTCGTGAAACACGAGTCCAACTATATTGTGAGGAGGTCCGCGCGGTACGATGCGCATCACTGTCTTCTCTCTACAAAGATGTATAAGTAAAAGCAAGTAAAAGTTTTGCGACGGTGATGATCGTACCCTGATGTTTTTGCGCGACTCTGGGTTTAAGTTATCACGACGTCGAGATGCTTTTCGTACCACATTGGCATAAAAATTACTCACTAACATCAAACTACTTTAATATTACAGGCGTCATCAGCGATCTACTCAAAAGAAACGAGTTTGAGCAGACCAAAGAGTTTACGACGCGTTTAACATTCATAAGAACTATTTGCGCGAGCTTTATCGCATTCTCCTCTTTGAACTGACGTTAGGTCCAAGAGATCACGCTTTGAAAGCAGTCGCATCACAAATGGTCAGTGCAGGTTTTTCGATCCAGGTGACAACCAAAATGATAAGAAAATCGTGTTGTGATAAGCTACGTGCAGGAAGAGTGAGAGAGACGGACAGCTGAAAAAAAATCATTCCAATTTACAGATCTGGCAATTGTGCATGTCTGCTGGCGTATGCTCTGGCGTTGTCTCTTATAAAATAACCTCTTTCTAAAGGAGGGTCGGACCATATCCTCGGTAACAATTTGTTTTTTCTTGACAATTACTTTGGCAATTTGGGCGATCACAGAAGGTGAAAAAAAGTGCCAAAGCGTGATAAAGCGCGTTGTGATCGTGTTACTGAGCCACTGTCATTGTTCCCCGCTTTGGTTTAGCACGGAGCTGTGAATGGATGGAGAGGGGAGTAATTAGCTTTTTGTTCGCCAAAAAAGAAATAGGAACTTGTCGTGCACATAAAAAAAAGGCGAGGCAAAAGCGGTAAAACGTTTATGCGGAAAGTGCGAAAAAGAAAAAATATATTTTTTATTTTGTTTATCATTTTCTTATTTGTGTGTAATAAATAGTAAGTAATAAATAAAAAAAAAGTTCGTTTTAATTATCCCAACATATACCGTTGGCATCACATGCACCCGAAGGTTCACGATCGGCTGCCGGAGTATATGACCACATTCCCACTGGTATATATTGCAAATTTTCTTCAGAGCGGACCACTGAATCTGCCGATCATCAGAAGAATTATGACAATAGCCAGCACAAGCAATGACCCGATCATGGCACAGAGCAGTGCATCTGTACTACAGACCAAAGCTGTACCAAAACGAACTGAAGAGAAGAGAAAAAAGAAAGGCGAAATTGCTCGCTTTATATAGACATTTTTCTCGTTCGGGACTTCAAATCCCCGTGAATTCTCATTGGCCCCGATAACGGGTTGCGTATCAACTTGTGGGTTGCCTACTATGGCATAACAAAAGATACAGCACCAAAGGAAATGAAAGGAGGAGTGGTACCTGATGGTCAAGTAGACAAGCGTGCTTCGGCGGTAGTGGTACGTGTCTCTCACCATGGGCTGCTGTACCTCCGATGCCGTCGCCGCTTGGTTGTGAGGGGTCCGTGCACGGCACCGTGTCAAGCGAAAACAAAGACACGAATGCGAATGAGCATGTAGATTCACGGAAGAAATGCTTTTCTGCGAGCAACAAGATGACGGAAATAGGAATGACTGACAAGGTAGACAACCTAAAAGGCTATCCGGTATCAGTTGTTTAGTAAATAGCAAGGACACGATTCTTCCAGCAGCCAGTTTCCATTCTTCACCCAACAAGGTGAACAGTTTAGCGTAGTCCACAGACTATTCCATTTTATTAGTATCTTTTGACTGCATGTGCGGTGTGCGGGAATAGATACAGCACACACACACTTGACCCCAACGCTGCAGTGTATAATGAAGACCCATTATCTTTTATTTGAGGCGTGCTTGTCCACTGTTGCTTTATAATTTTCGCCATCCGCCAACAGTTCTCTGAACTACGCCGTGTAACCAAGTAGTATGTACTGCTGCAGATAAGTTGACCCGCTCGTGATGAGTATACGCTGCCGCTAGTGAAGTTGACTCACCCTTCATTGTTTTTCATTGCTGCTGACAAAGTAAATCGGTTCGTTTGTTTTTGTGCGGTTTTACGTACTTTTTGAGCAGCGTTCAAGATCCATGGGGACGATCAGAAGAAGAACACTATAAACGATGACTTCCTACTGTACATCTTTTGACCCTTTTGTTCCATTGATTACCTTGTTCACCCGCCATCCCTTTGTGCACTTTGAGTACCAAGCAATTGGCCAAATTGTTGCTTAACATTAATGCGCTTTCACTCTACGGGAGTTTTCAATTCAAGGGAAAGCTGTTGGAATGTTCGAGGTTTGACACACGCATCACTTTGTCACTATCCAAAAAAGAAAGATCTGTGTTGCGCTCTTCCTGAAATCCTCATTCCTAGACTACCTTTGCTTCCTGCTGATTTACGTCCCTTATGCTTGTCATTAGTATGGGTTTGTGCGTACGCGTTCATTGCCTTCGTTATATAATAAAAAATTTATAAGGGGGACGTAGCGAATTTTCCACCACTGTTGCCTATTTCCACAGCAAAATTAACATTGTGTTTCTGACCTTCTCTTGCAAACTTTTGTCGTTGTCGAGTTAGTGATGTTATAATAGAGCTTGAGGGAGATATCCATAGTATATCCTGGTCTTTTGCAGTTGCACTTTAATATATGTTAGTAGCACCGTTGACTGTACATTACGTCCCACTTAGCATAACATATGGTCCCTTTTGGTATACATTACGGCTTACTTAATTTAACTATGTCTTGTCTTTAGTTGCCATAAAATATCAACTTTAGAAAGAGGTGGAGAAAACAGAAAAGTGTGTTGGGGACAAGACTTCTCCCAGCAGTAATTTCATTCACGACTGGTGCAATGTCTTTGCTCTTATATTACATGCGTTTGTTTTGAACCACGTAGTGTTTCGCGTATAATGAACGCTCCAAGGTTACGTTTTTGGTTATTCTATTTCATCGTATTTTGAGCCACTGATCCGGTCAGTGTACGGGAAGGTTAACCAAGCTCATATCAGCTTTAGCAATATGTCAAGAGAAGTACTTGATCTCTGGATCGCATTCAAAAGCACTGTATATACAACCGTGGACGACGACTGATAATGTGCGCCTAAATGAGTATCTGTCCCTCCGATTATGATCGTCGCCAAGCCTTGTGCAAACAAAACCTGAACGAGTGTTTTTCAGCATTGATTCTGGAAAAGAAATAGCTGTAAAAGATAACGAACAACAACAGCTCTAAACACATGTTATTTCCATTGATTAACACATAAAAGCCTTAAAATTTATGCCTACAAGAGTCTTTCTGTTAAATGATATATGTAAAAGAGATCGGAATCAAGAGTTGAATAGTCTGATGTAAACGTATGTTGTAACGCAACAAAACAACTCTGACATAATTTTAATGCATAAATAGCATTCTATTACGTACTATCATAGGTGTTTTTGAAATACTTTGCACCTACATGAAGTGCGCTATACTTCGTACGTAAGCCTGAAAAGGGATTCGTCTTCGAGCCTAATAATTGCTTAGTTGAACTTTTGAATGATATTTTTTGCTAACACCAGTTTAAGAAAACTTACTCTAATATTTTCACCACCAGCAGCATGCAGAGCACGTGCAGCTTCGTTTGTTTGGATCCGATTTTGAGGGTTAGAACGTCTATGTCGCTGACGATTACGTGCAGCAGTTCTGCGTTCGTCGCTATTCAAACGTTGGCACCTGGTCATTGTTATTAAAGTAATAGAAAGAATATATTCATTCCACCGTCAAATGCGGTCGTTAACGCTGGAAACATGATTTGAGCGAGCAAATAGGAGTTTCATTTCGAGACAGATTCGTTTGAGATGTAAGAAAACCCTCGTTCAACAACGAACCGGTAACAAAGGAAATCACCGGGTGCACATTCTCCCGGTTGCCATAGCAACAAGCGTGACCAGATACAGACATCATGTATGTAATAGGGCGTTTCACGCTCCGACTTACGTCGTCGCTAACGTCGTACAGAACGCCCTAAAAAGCATATATTTCTCAAGATGGAAAATAAAAAGTGTCTGCTTAGGTATAGAATCTGACGCACCTGCTTTTTGCTGCTGATATATCACTTGTAGCACAAGGAATTCATCAAAACGTTGATTTTCAGCAGCCGGCTTATCCGAATTCGCACAGTACCTTGTACTACAACCGCGTGCTCTCTTCTCTCTTTCGTGTTAAACGGGGACAATGACCGTCGAAGTCACTCAACACGATTCCGACGTTGAATCCACACAAAATCAACCAGCACAAGAACAGAAATGGCCTCAAATTTCAGTGTCGAAATTAGCTCAGAGCTTTTACTACCATTGCGAAGAGCATGTCAAACTGACAATGTCAGCGGCACCAGTCAAAGTCAGCAAAGAAGACGACAGCGAAGACCAAGAAGACAGCAATGGCGGTGAAGAAGACAAGGCTCCACTAGGCGTACGCGTGGAAGACGCGTCTACAGAAGCTCATTTTCAACGTGGTAATACTTTTGAAGAGGTGCTTATGCAGCAGCTGAGCTCGGTGGCTGTGGATCATACACACACGCCCACAGCGAAGAGCAAGCAGGTGCTTCGTGAAGCAAAGGTCGGTCAGGTCCTATGCCAGCTGAGTTTCGAAATGCCCAAAGGATTTTATGCATCGAGCGCGCATGACAACTATCGGCTTCGCCGGTTTATACCCGATTTCCTGTGGACCAAGGAAGACCCTTCAACCAAGACTAGGACAATTTTCGTGATTGATGCCAAGTCCAGTCGAGCAATGAATTCATATCATCAGGTATATATGTGGGCCTTTTGTAAGAAAGCATCTGCTGTAATGTCAAGAAAAAAGAAAAGCTGATCAAAAGGATGTAGTTTCAAGTTGCATCGTATGCCTACCTCCTGGAATATATCGTCAAGGATATCCGCAACCTCGAAATCGATCCTGTCGGTGGTGTATGGCTACCATCCAATATATTAGAGCCCGAAACATTTAGAATCGACCTGATGATGCCCAAAATGAAGTTCTTCTATACCGTCGAGCTGCCAGCGATTATCGCTTCAGAACAAACATCGTGGTTGTACAGCACAAAATGCAAAACATGCGAGTATACGGATATATGTTGTAGTCAGGCATATGGAACACCAGGCGCCGTAGCCTACATGACCGATTACAAAGTCAAGGCATTACAAAGACGTCGAAACACGGATGCAAATAGCACGGTGACAATGCTAGGGTCCAGTAGCAAAACGACTAGAACTGATAGCATTGATGAATTGACCGATCGCTTACAAAACCTTAATACCGACAACACAGACGACATCGAAGATTTAATGAGCCAGTTTAATAAAATCAAAATCAAGGATCACGGTGTACCAGTCCCAGACTGGATGGTGACTCCAGAATTCCAACCGTATATCGACGCATATAAAACACAGAAGCCGCAGGTATAGCAAAAAGAGGAAGTGTTTAAACTAGTTAAACGCTGCGTTTCGTTATTGAAAGCATCATTCACTTTTTGTATGCTTTTATTATGACAGTTCCGTGGCAATCCTACTGTGTCTCTAGCAGAAAAGAATGACCATGATATCTTTGTCTCTTTTGCCTATGACCCCATGTATCGCAGTATATGCGCGTATTCAATTCGAGTTTATACCCCGGTGGGCAATGTATTGAAAGAGTTGGATTGTAATGGATCTGTCGCCTACGAAAGTCGTTCGTCGCCACGCTACAAGGAACTTGCCGTGTCTTTGGTTACCGATTTGGTGCTTGTTCTCAATTTCATGAATGGCAACAATTCATGTTGTACACTCTATGTTGCTAGCAGTCAAGCCAAACATCAATTACGCATGACTTTGCTGGAAGTTGCCACGCGCAAAGAACAAGAAGAGAAAGAAGAAAAAGAAGAAGAGGAGGAGGAGGAGGAGAACCATGGTGATAAAGAAGATACAATCCGACAAAAAGCAATGGATTGTCTTCTTGTGATCTTTCAGGACACGCAGCTTTTGACTATACCTGGCGTCGATGCATTCCCAACCGAGCTTGAAGAGGTGACAGTCCCACGACTGGTAGACTTGGAACGCCTAGTTCAAGAAAACATTGCTCTTGGTGTCCCGGGATTCTATACGCTCACTGATATGCTTCATTGGCTGTGCACTACCGACGACGATGAAGAAAAGATCAAAATCAAAAAAAATGATACACTCTTGCTTGATGAGGCGGGATTATATGACCGCTGGCACGAACAAGACAACATATCGCAGCATCTCATTACTCATACCCGACAGCTACAAAATATTTTGTTGCGTTATCGTGAGCTTGCCATAGCATACAAGGAAAACACAATGGTAAACATATATTGCCTAAAGAACGTCCCCTTTGTGTGGTCTAAAACACAGAAATTTCGATCCCCTCTCCTTGGCCGCCTAGCATTTTTCAAGAAACTAGAGTGCGTATCGGGATGTGACAACGTGCGCAGTGCTCGAATCGGTGATCTTACGTCACCGTACGCGAAAAGCAGTTTGCATTTGGTGTTTCGCCGCTGGGAGGTTATTCCAAACTCATATGGCAAAAAAGATACGTGGCTCGCATGGTTCGATGTTATTCTTGATCGGTTTACGACATCCATTGCAGCAAGAATACAGATGGACAGTCTAGTACACAATAGCTTCAAGGAGTATATGCTTGTTAACGATACCCGTGAGGTAAAGAGAGGAAAATGAAAGAAGATCTGAACGGGTAGGGAAGGGAGGATTCACATAGAAATGATGGCTGACTTTGTCGCTCTAAACACACAGGGTATTTTAGAAGCGATCCGATTCCCGGACTTGAAGCATCGCAAAGCGCTCCGTGGTATTAACGAAAGCACACTAGTCAATGTCGATCGTGTGTCTGAGACACAATTCAGCGTAGCATTGACTGGTTACTTCAAAGATCTTGGCCTCGTCAAAGGCAGATATTATCGACTGTATAGACGATATATTGATTTCAATACGGATAAGATTCTGGAAGCATTGTCACAAATTGACAGTGAAAACGAATCGAGCCTGTTTGAAGTAAGTAGGAGTAGAAGGGACGTATTGTTGAAAAGCGAAAGATACATAATCTCGTTTAAGCTAACCACTCCCTTTCTATGATATAGCACGTGTTAACAGATCCAAATGCTTGGGCTGAAGAAGAGCAGCAACAGAAACAAGAGGAGAAGGCAGTAGGAGAGAGGACTGTGTCATCCGATGCGCGCGCAACAGCATTGAAACTGAGGGATAACTTTCGCATGTCGCCTTCGCAGAAAGATATTTCTGCCAGCATCATCAAAAAACGCTTACAGATTGTTTGGGGCCCACCGGTATGCAACGTTTCCGAATTTAGTAGAAAAAAGAATGATTATTATAACGAACATGTAATGGACAACTAATGCTCTCGCCATTTTGCTGCAACGACAATAAGGGTTCTGGAAAAACCGAGTTTCTGGCCTTATTCATCAATTGGTACATTACCCATCTGCATGATCGTGAGAATGGAAAGGCTTTCGTAATCGGTGTCACTGCGTTCACCAGGCATGCCATCACAAACTTGTTAAAGCGGATAGCCGATGTTCAGATGCGCCATCGTACATCAACCGATAGCAAGACGTTTACAATTGTCACTATGGAGTCCGCCTCATCATCAAATGGCTCATCACCAGCTGTATTGCCTGATGCAATTCACTGCAAGGCTGAGCAACTTCCAAAACATTTGCCGCAGAAAGGTGCTGTGGTCGTTGGTGGTACTGTTTGGGACTGGTATAAGGCTCAAAAGAAAACAACCAAGAAGTGTGACATGATGATCATTGATGAAAGCTCTCAGGTATTGATTCACGAAAGCTAGAGTGTTTACATTGTTGCTCTTTCATATACGGTATGAATCGTCTAACCATAAACACAACAAAGCTACTCGTTCCGGATGCCGCAATTGCCATCAATTGCCTTGACTCAAAAAAGGGACGACTGATTATCGCTGGAGACCACATGGTACACAACAGTAAAAAATTTGAATGATTACACAAAAGCTATTTACGATGATGGAAATCCTTTTAACATCACGCCATATACTTCAATAGCAATTGGGCCCAATTCTTCATAATACTTATCCAAAGCTACCTCTGAAGGAACCATTACTGTTTGGATCCATCCAACAGTGTATGATGCGGACCACATCCAACGAGTCGATCCCACCACAAGAATTCTTACTGAAAAAAGGCGCAAGACGTGATTTCGGTCCAAACACAATTCAGCTCAAAGATAATTGGCGAATGGTAAGTATTGTTCCACGACCCAGAAGTTCTAGCAATCAAAATTGGGAGTGTAACAGGCTTAAACCATTATTCGAATATATCATAGAACGACGAGTTGAATTCATTCTTCAAACAAATCTATGGCAACGATCTTGCTTCTCATTACCCTAATCAGCGCCTTAAATATGATTGGACGCGCGTTGCAGCCAGTCATCGACACTTGCATACTATCCGTACTGCATTGGATCCTCGCAAAGCCATAACTGTCATCAACATCAAGCTTAAAAAAGCCCATGCCGTCGAAGAGGAAACCGAGGTCGAAGCCAAAATTGTTGCTGACATTGTGGAAGCACACCTGCAAGCACAAGTCACTCACGGAAATAGCAGCAATGACGTCGCAAAAGTGATGGTGGCGACACCGCATCATCGACAACGCGTGGCAGTGGAGCATCAGGTGTCACTTCGTCGTGGATATACCTTCCGTGAGCAAGTGACAGTGAACACGGTGGAAAAGATGCAAGGGCAGGAGTGTGAACTTGTTATTGCTTGCTTTGCCTTCCACGATATCACACCCACAAAGATTGATTTCTTGCTAGATTTTAAGCGATGGAATGTGACAGTATCACGTGCTCGGTAAGCTTTCAATACAAAGAGCGTGTTGCTGATAGTAACAGTAGTCCTGCTTTATTATGTTGCTATATATCATTCATTAACTAACGTGTAAACTACTAGATGCAAGGTTATTATTGTTACTACGGATGATATCCTCTCCCTTCCCAACAGACAAGGAGGCCATTCGCTTGCTTTATTTGAAAAGCGGGAATCGGCAGAAGGATGGGGCTTTGTCTGCATGGTTCAAGAGTGGGCGAAAAAGGCTGATGCACTAGTCAATTGGGATGCGTAATAAAAAAGATGGTGACTCCTGTGTAGCGTATAGTCCTCTAAACATCTAGCAGCAGTAGCTGAAAAGAAATGTGGATGTGCTGTTGTGAGGGGAAGGGAAGAAGACCAGTCAACATGTGCACAGACCATGTCAAAAAAGATGTAAAAACAGCTTCAATTTTTGCAATATCAACTGAAAGAAGCATCTGTTGCGGATTATGAGGAATAAAATGATGCGGTTACTGCAAGATAAATATGTAAATATGAAGATGTATTTAATGTCGAAATACATAAAAATTATTATTTGGTAGTTGAGCCAGTAGAATCGGGACACATATATAGCACTGATTGGATTGAATCCACAAAAGAAATGATGAAGATATAAGAAAAAGGGAACACACTACATATAGATATAGAAATAAAATGTTTGCTCAAAGGAGCTCTTAACTACATATCGAAGAAGTCATCAAGGGATGATTGTCGGGAGAATGATTGCTGCCTGAGACTCTCTGGAACCCTACGCAAAGACTTCTTTAAGTCGTAGTTATCGATATTATCCAAAAAGCTCAAAACTCCTGCAATTGCAACCTGTTTTTCCTTCGACGCTGGCCCTGGAATAGGCGAATCAGCGCTTTGGTCCACCGCCCGCTCAAGTGCTCGTCGTACGTTCGATCCTCTTGCTTGGATGTGAACTTGTGGAACGATTTTGTCATGCTTAAAAGAGCTAATAATTATCAAACCACTAGACAGCTTCAATGAAAGAACGGTCTTATATATGCAAGTAGTAGCATTTAGAGCTGTATGAATATTCCCAAAGAACGTATCGTACATCATCTCTGACAGATAAACAATGGGCTAGTGTTAATAGGATGACTTATCCAGTGTATACTTAAAGCAGAATTGTTTACCCCGTTACTTGCAAATCCTCACTTTTTGCAAAAAAAATCGGAAAACCCTCGGTTGCAAAAACCGGGGTACAACTGTAGTCAAGCTCGAAGCGAGCAATGCGATTCTTTTTTCCAGTCTTATCGTATTAACCTACGATGAAGAATCGGGTTTGGTGGTTTGATCAATTGAGATGTTTGAGTAGTTGAATCCTATGGCTGTGTTGTTCTTAGCAAAGTAATGGCCCCACCGAGGAATGATATATGTAGTGGCTTATGAATTATATACTTTTGTAAGTATTCTATCAAAGGAACGTAAAGAAAAAGATCAATCTGTAGCAACTCACCTGCATTCTACAGCAGTGTATACTCCTTTTCCGACATGAGCAATCTTCTTGCCCATATCGACCTTGTAATTGTGTGCAAACCAAAGATACCAATTCCATGGTCTATGTCGAAGACATACAGTAAGTATTCATACCACTTCATGCCACCAGCATGGATGCGAACAGGATGATAGGAAATGTTGCCCTTTTTGGCCCCGCAAGTAACAGCCAGCAGGACATTTCGATACGTAGGCATGCTTCCCAAATTGCCAACGAACGAAATGCGTACGCCCTTATTCTTAAAGTCTTCCCTTTTTGGTGGTATGATCGTACCATGAAGCTGGATTTATGCCGCTCTTTCCGTAGGTACCCTTTCCATAGGCATCGGATGAGCTGGTAATACTTTGTGGACAGTGTCTTGACCAGTATATCGCTTTTTTTTGGCTCCACTAAACGCAATGAAATGTAGTCGACATGAGTAGCGCTCTTATAGACATGTACACAATGTCTTCGTCTAGAACTAAGAAAAGGGGAAAGATGTAGGTACTTTCACTGACAAACATTTAGTAGCAGCGTTTTGTCATTAGTGGTACAGTACCATCGGTCCATTAATATGCATGCTAATTTTAGTACAGAAACGTGGGCAGAGCCATCAACATTAAACGTTTTTGATTTCATCAGCTATGTCAAAATGTTGATACTAATAGGAATAATACTGCAGGTATACAAAGGCTTTCTTTTTGATATCGTATTTTTGGATTTTGTTTTAACGGCTATAAACAACTACTTTAATTTGTTGACTTGCATATCCTATACACGCACTTGTGATCTGGTCACATTCTGTTACGACTAACTTGGTCAAAGTGTTTGTAGAGAAGCATGCTTTATCCACCATTCTTCGGATTCCTTGGTCTGTTATGCTTTGCAGTAGGTCCAATTCAATATAGGTCATTCGTTTCAGGTCTCCGAGGGCAACCAGAACACTGTCATCAACTACATCCATATCTATGAGCTGTACAGATGTCAATTGACTGGAGAGGTTTTGTATGAGCGTCGAGATGCCGTTGGCAGAAACATAGTCTAGGCCACGTAAAGTAATCTCATGCAGTGACTTGATTCCAGCCAAAGCAACAAGTTCGGCGTCCGTAACGTCGCAGTAACGAAACGAGACATACTGCAATGAGGGTCGTGAATGTGAGATGTCACCATATCTTTCGAAAAGTGTGATAAAGCTTGAAGAGTCTACTGACTTGTCAATAAGGGATAAATCAAATTTTTGCAATGGAGGTAGCTTTAAAATAGCTTCGACTAACTCGTTGACGTCGTGTGTGGATGCGACACTGAGATCAAACACGGTGGTTGTGTTCCGAATTGCCTGAAGCATGAATTTTTGAATTCCTGTGTACCCATTAAAGAACAGTTTTGTCACGCGCTTTAGCTTGAAGGAAGGATATGCTGCGTATAAGCTCTGGAGCTCTTCCTCGTTGGTGATGGGTGACATACGTGCGTGCACGGTCTCCAATGTCGTGCGGTTTTTGTATATGAGAGGCAAAAGATGTGTAGCTGGCACATCTTGATCATTATGTGTGTAGATCTGTCGTAGACCCGTTTCTTTTAAATTGGTATCGTCTTGTAGCTGTGGGATAGTAAAGTTTGCATTGTAGGCAAAAATCTCAAGATTTGTCGAGTGACTGTTGACCGCATCCAAAACAGTGGGGTTGCAACCGTTGATGACAAATCGTCGCAGTTTATGGCATTTTTGAAGCATGAATTCGATATCCGGTCTTGTTATAGATGATGCTTTGAGCTGCATGTTGATGAGTGTCTTGTGCTGTTCCGCTGTATTGAAGTCGCCGGCCAGTTCTGCAAGCGGAGAGGATGTCGAATATGTAAGGTTCTTTAAATTGCTGCATGCATAGAGTATATCCGTCAGTAGAATCGAAGGCGAAGATGTTCCATCATTTCGTGCCAGGTCAAGATTAAGAGTCGCTAATGTTTTGCTCATCTGGCTCAGAGCGATTAACAACCTTCCGACGTACGGTGCTAGACCTCGCGCAGTAATGGCTAGATAAATATCAACAAATGGCGATTTACATTATTTTGTGGTCCAAATACAATCTGTCTTTCTTTAACAATCTTTAACAAACAAGTCAGGTTATTACCGGAAATCTCAAGGGACTCGATTCGGCTAAAGTATCCTTTTTTCATAGATCGAAGGCAAATAAGAGTTACGTTTTCGCTTGCTGTTTTGATTGTCAGGTGTCTGACGAAGTGGCCAATGTAACCTGGTACGACGCCTAGAATTTGTATTTCGTTGTTGTTGTCGCTTATTGATAGATTTTCCCATGCAGCCGCACATCCCAGAATTTTTTCACGCCACAGTCTTGATATTAGCAAACACACTGCTTTTGCATCCTGTGGCAGTCGTGCATTAATGTCGTCAATGACTTCGGCTGGAAATAATGTCATAAAATCGATGCGCCTTTCCTTGGCGTTTGATGCTGCTGCTTTTTCTGTTATCAGCTGCTCGGTGTAATCATTAGCATCTGTGGATGCGTGTTGAAGTCCTTCTTCGAAAGCCGCGATTGCTTGTGTTTGATTTCCATACATCGAAAACACACTGGCTTTGCGAAAATAGCCAGCTCCCAGTGCTGGTGACAGGGTGATCATTTGCTGGGCATCGTTAATGGCTGTGCTGGGTTGCCCTTGCATAGCGTAAGCGTGCGCACGTAAATCGTAAAGAATGAGTTTCTGTCGTGGGAGTAGCTGATCGATGATCTCTGACGTATGGCTGATCGTGTGCTGATGGTCTTGCTCGTTGACAGTCTCCTTGATGCTCTCGGCAAGCTTGAGAAAATGTTTACCGATGTCAATGAGCTCATCTGGCGTAAGCTGTCCAGTGAAAGAGTGTGGCTCGACCATAATCAGAAGTGTTTTTATTGGGAGAAAGAGAGAAAGGACATCCGTTTCAATAGAAAAAAGAAAGTCGTCTCTTTTTATCATGGCCCTTCGTCACGCTGATTACCTAGCTGAAACAAGGCTTCCAAAAGTAGTAAATAATAAACTAGCAAGTTGGACAAAGAATCATTGTTGTTAATAGACACTATGCGTTTCTCTTATGCATAACACCTTTGTTGTTCCTACATGGCTCAAAAAATATGATTGCTTGTCGTCTACGCTAATGTACTACAGTTTGTCTGGCAACACTTTTAACCTGTCATATACAAGATGGGTTGAATTTACATACTTTGCATTGACAATTCTACCTTCGTTTTCTCCTTGTTCACTTTTTTGCGTTGGTCGTTCATTTGCAATTTTGCGCAATATTGAACCAGTACTGTTTGCAGCGCAAGCATTGTAATAAGTGGACTCTGAAAAGCTACGGCTTTCCATGATATTTGATCCTTTCGCACTGCTATACTGTACTGCGTACGGTTCAGCAAACCACCTTAATGCGGTCGTAACAAGTTCTAAACAAGTTATTTATCTCAGCTGATAAATGAATGAGTCATTACTGCATATTATGTACAGACACTCCTTCCCAAATTTTATTATCACACTTCTTTCTTTTCTTCTCAAATCAACCACTGAGCAGCGATGGCGGATTCTGGCGCAGCTTCCCAACCACGTATCCACAAGATTAGGTTGGCGCCATACCAAACAGCAGTTCGCAATCTCAATAAGGCCATCGTTGTCCGCAAGAGCTTCCCACAAATTATCGACATGGCATCCGCTGCACTTGACGAGCTTTTCAATACCCAAATGCTCGAGTTGTTGGAGATTCGCGCCTATGCCTACTCAACACAAGGCAAGCTCTACTCAGCCATTGCAGATGCACAACGAATGATCGGGTACGCGCCAACATCATCCATTGGATATCTTTGCAAAGCAAACATCTATGCTATGTACGGATATCAAATACGTGCAATCGAGGCATACGACGAGGGACTGAATCGTTCTACAGCAAGTTCACATCCCTGCACAGCAATATATCATCAATGGTGCCATGAACAACTGGAAGACGCAAGAGCAAAAGCAGTGACGCACAATGATAACCGTATCGATATTATCGCAAAATTACCAGTGAAAGTTGCACATTCCATTCTAGCGCGACTCTCTCAAGCAAGCGCTGGTACATGCTTGTATGTTTCAAACGTCTGGCGGAAATTGATAATCAACTGCGCTGGTGCTTGGGAAGATGTTGTCGTCAGCGATTCTACCACAAATAACCTACGGGCAGAGATGCTGGTTATACTAAAAATCGTCCCACTCATCAAATGTCTGACGATTGACACTAGCAACACAGAAGCCCGCAGCACACTATTCTTGGCCATGAAGACTAAAAAGCTTGCTAAACTCCAGTCTCTCAAAATGACAGGTACTTTTTGGCGTAGAATACAATGATGAAGCAAAAAGTGACTACGTAAATACGAAACGCATGAACATGACAAATTTGATGATAATACTGTAGAGCTCACATCAAGGAACGTGCGACCTGATCTTACGAATTTTTCGAATGGGTTATGGCAAACAACGACACTTACAACTCTGACTATCGATTTCGGCGATAATGAAGATGTGATCACCCTACGGGATATACTTTCGAGCTCTTCTGCATTGACGGATCTTTCGTACTCGACCAATGGCCATCTATATGACGTATTTGGTGATTTTACGACATGGAATTCCGACGGTATCTCCTCTCTCATCAGCTTGCAAGTAAAGTCAGGAATTATCACTGGACCCATGATCGAGGCCATGCTACAGTGCTTTCCACAAATACGACGTCTTGTTCTGTATGGGTGTCAATTTTGTGTCTTGGACGCCGTCGCCACACATTTGCCGAATCTTAGGGTCTTTGCTTGTAACCCTTTCAGCAAGCATATACCAGCGCTGGAAACAAAAGACCTTAACAGTAGCGATAACGAAGAAGCAAGACCGCAAGAAGGCATCCGCGTTCTACACGTAAATCATCAGACGGGGAGAACGACATTTGGCATACCGGCTATGCAGCTCATATACAAGAGTATGGAAACCCTTGAAGTGCTCCACGTCGACATGCCTGCAAATAACCAATTGCATTTACGAAGGAATTATCCACATTTTGATATGAAATCCATACGGAATTTGACTTTATCTGGAGCTCCCGAAATCCTTCCCTTTATTCTACAGTCCCTGAGGGAGACAGGTACCCTAACGTCCCTTGATGTTCGCTGCGTGCCCTCCATCATGACAATAGTCCTATATCTGCTACGTATGCGACGACTTCCAGCCGAGCTTCGGATATCCGATACGAAGTGTTCTCAAGGACATTTTGCTTTGGTACAGCTGTTTCAAAAATATGAATCAGAGTCATTAAATCCGCTGCAAAACATTCTCCTTGAGAGCTGTGCTTCAGTGAATGATTTTGTTTTGGAAATATTGGCTCGTGTAGGAACGCTGCGCCAGATCATTTTAAATGACTTGAAAAATGTCACTTCTTCTGGCATTAAACGAATAGTGAATAAAAGCAGAAATGGTAACTTGGAAAAATTAGTCGTCAAAAGATGCCCTTCTGTAAACAGTGAAGTTATACTTTACGCTAAATCAAAGATTCAAGAAGTTGTATATGAACAATAAAGCTGTCACATTGCTTTTCGCTAAATAAATATTTTCCATTTATTATTATGATACGCTGTTACTTATTGTACTATAGGGATAGTTCATCAGAACCTCTAGAGTTGCGTGCTGCAACTATCAACTTTGTTGATAATAAATTCTCAAAAATGTTATAGTATGCTTCACCTTATCTATCCGATGTCATTCCAGCTTATTACAGCCGATAAGATTGCACTTGGCTCTTCGCATCATTGATGGCGTTCCACCCCTAATAATAATGCTCAACCCATGAAGCAAACAAAAACTAGCAAGATCACTATTAGCCAGCGGCCACTGTATTCGAGAAATCTTTTGCTTTCTTGTACTGCATAGTCAGCAGGGTCTTACACGCCTTGTACTACCCAGTATAATTCAGGGACAATATCACTCGTGTGTCCTGTGAAGCTTGGTTGCGCATCTTTGGACATAACTCATTAGCTAGTTTAGCTCTGAACAAGTCTTGTATCCAACGAGTTATGCTGTTTCCTCCCTCGAAAACGTAATATATATAAATTAAACACCGCATTAAAATAAACAGAACGGGTCTTCCCAACGTGCGCCCACGAGGCCACATGTGACCCAGATGGTAGTACCAAAGAAAAGGATACTAGGAACTTGTACATATTATAGCCATTTTTAAACTGTAATAGAGAAAGGCATAAATCATTATTTTACTATACTCTAGTTAAAATCTATACCTCAAGTCTGTACAAACATGTTCTTTTTAAACGTCTTCCATAAATGTTTGGACTTTTTCGACCCCTTTTGTGTCATGCGTTTAGCCAGATCCACCCAGCTTTCTGCCGACAAATCCTTCATATTGTAAGGCTCCTCATCCGTCGCATATTCGATTTGAAATTGCGGAGGCTCGAGTTCCGGGCGATGCTTATTGTTGTATTCATTCAAGTCGGAATAATATTGGGTGTATTTGATCCAGACACCAAAGTCGGCAGAGGATGGGTCTGTATTGTATTCGTTGATACGGAATCCGGGATTATAGACCGGTAGAATCGGGGGTGCCACGTGGATGACCACTGCAGGTTCGTTCTCTCTGACCTTTTTGTATTGTTTGCGAAGATCCGATTTCTTTAACATTGTCAAGTCCACTTGAACGTCATCGTCGTCATCATCATCCGTTGGATCACAGTCATAATTGTTGTTGTTCTCTTTTTGTAAAACGGTAAAATGATCCATGTTGACATGACCATACATGTGGCCGCCAATGATGTCGCGATATTCCAAGGATACGTCGGTGTAGAGATCAAGACAGCTAGAGTAGAATGTGCGCTCAGAAGGTGGAACATGACCGATCATGTACACGCGGGCACGGTCGCGTCGAGCCGTGGCTAGTTGGGCGCGTATCCATTCTAAATGGTCATGGCCGGGGCCCTTCCGTTTCTCGCATCCTTTTACGGCATCGTTTGAATCATAAAAGTACAATGTGTTGAGTACCAACACGCGCAGTCCGGGCGCTACGTCAATGGCATAGTAGCCGCCTTGTCGGAACGTGGGTAATTGGTCGGCAGGAATGAAATCGCGCCACATTTCGCTATATGTTTCTAGTATATTGACCGTTTCTTGTAATTGATTGTGGGGGTGTACATCATTATTGCCTAAATAGTATCAGCATATGTAAAAAAAAAAAAACAAGGGAGAAGAAGGTCATTTACCAACCAGGGGTTTTTCCTTTCAAAATATTACCTATACATGGAATAATGGGAATTGTTCTATTATTGTCGCGATCATAAAATGCTTCTTGAATTCTATACGTCATGGCCTGATTTAGCGCCAAGATTTCTTTCTTTGTACGAGGCACCTGGCTATCGAGATCATGTCTATTTTCGGAGTAGGGTATATTATTATCTCTTTTGGTTAATTTTCTTCCAAGCCAAAGGTTTGGGTAGGAGAGCAGTAACATGCAAAAACGGAGATATAAAAAAGAGTTTACCTGGCATTGTCGCCTGTCCAAACGATGAAATCGATCTCCTCCTTCCAACCGTCTGCGATCCAATCGATAACGTGGTTTGCCAAACGTGGTGGGGCATCGCAACCGCTGGTTGGAGATCCCCAATACCCTGCCAACTTGCCCTTTCGCTTCTTTTTGTTGTGATGCTTCTTGGCTTGTCGATGGCACCCTGACTTGATTGTTGCTTCATCTTGGTAGTGAGGATCAATCTATATATAAAAAAAATATATGCGGCCATGTTAAAATGGAGGACTGTGCGCATTTGTTTGTAGAAACGCACATGAATGTCCGTGATATGCAAAAATTTGCCATGCAGATTGTTCGGTAGTGTTCGAGAAGAAGAAGAAGATGTTGGCATTTGTAACGCGTGCTGTTGTTCATGCCGGTTTGCCATGCTTGCATCCACAGACCCGGGCAATGTTGAAATCATCAGCGTTACTGTTGTTGCTGCTGTTATGGCTGCTGTGACAACGGTGTTGGTGAAATGCATGGCTCTTTTGTTTTTTGTTTTTTGTTTTTTTTTTTTGCGAAAATTGAAAGGGAAAGAAGGGTTGCCGGTGCAACATCAAAACCCGAGAATTGAAAAAAAAGGTGAGTTGCCCTAGAAAACTCCGACCGTGTTTAGTTGTTGTGGGAGAGTGCCCTTCAGCATGAACGCCATTGCTTCAAAGTGTTTCGCTCCCTTTGATTCTTAAAACATTTGCTTTCTTCCCCTATAACGCTCGCCTCTCACTCTCACTCTTTCCCTTTCAAACCTTGTCCCGCCTCCTCCTTCCTTCCTTCCTTCCTTCTCTCTCTCTCTTTCCTCCCCACCCGTTTCGTCGCTCTTTCTCTCTTTCTCTCTCCTCTCCTTTCATTCAAATTCACTTGTCGCAATGGCTGACCTGGCTTCAATGGCAATGTCGCTTGCCATGTCCGTTGGTCCAGCAATCGGATATGTTGATCAAGTACGCTATGAGAAAAAGCATTCCATATAGAGTTGACTATGACTACATATGCATCTATGCAGCAGCTATAAACCAACAACCAGCAGCAATGCCCCCCACCCGCACATCCCCCTTTTGACCTTTCTTTTACATACAAACTACTTGCATTATTTTAGTATTTAATTATCCGCAAGCATCAATCAAGTGCCGGATTTAATCCAGTAACCTGTGGTATCCTCTTGTTCTCAAAGTGAGTTCCCTCTTTGGGTAGTGTCATGGTGAATAATGGCAGCAGCAACTAGTTCTAGCAGTAATGCCCCAAGCGATACACCCGTTACTGATTACCTCTTTTTTTATAGCATTTTGCGGGTTTTCTTCTGGTACATACATTCATCTAGATACCAGTTTTTTTTGGCATAACATAATCTAATTATATATCCACCATCAAACACATGCTTACTAGGCTTGGCAAGCGATTCGACACAACCTTATTGATCCAGTCCCTCATCATGATCGCAGCACAGCTGGTTTTGCTGGAAATTGTTGTTCTATACAGACCCTTGGAGAAGCATGAACAAGACCCTCTCTTACAACATCATGATCAACAACCACAGAACAACAACAACAGCAGCAGCAGCAGCAGCATCAAAAAGCTGTTGTTGCAGAATTGGAGAACAATGTGGGCATGGGACCACTATCTCGACTATGTGAATTTCCTACTGGGACTCACGACTGTGATTGCGGTTGGCTATCAACTGTTGGGTCATCATGGGTGGTTTGTTGAGACGCTGGGCGTTCTCAGTCTGGGTATCGAAAGCACGCTCCCGCTCCCCCAATGTGTTTCGAACTTTAAGCGACGATCCACCGCTGGCTTTAGTGCCATTGTGATGGCGACTTGGGTAAACAAAGGAGGAGGGGGGGGGAGAATGCTTGGTGTGTGTGTATCAGTAGTAGTATTGATGATTTTGTTATTTCTATTAGTTCGTAGGCGATAGTTTCAAACTGTTTTACTTTATTTTCACCCAAGCACCAGTCCAATTTGATATCTGCGGCGCAGTGCAACTTGCCATCGATTCCTTGATCGTCATGCAGTCAATCCTTTTCTCCACACGAATCAAAAAGTGGCTGGGTGTCTCTTTTCCATCACATCATTTTTATCATCACTACTCGGCTATAGAAGATCTGCAACAACATTCCCAAGTCATGTATGAACCTATTATTGCTTAGCAGTCACTCTTTATTATTACATATATACGGCGGCTTTTCCCATACTTCCCCCCTTACATTATTTCTTTGCCATCAGCATAATACATACTTATACCATTTAGCTTTTGAAGTATATTCCCCCATATTCTTGGTATCAAAGAAGTTTTGTAATTATTTCGTTTTGATCCAGCTAATATCGTTATATATTTTTATGATCGCAATACACCCTATTTAGTCTTATTATCTATATGCAGCAGCAGCAGCAGCAGCAGTGTACGTAGTTCTTCAAAGAGGCTTCCTCTAACAATTTTACATATACACCAATCCATTTGTAGAAAGTATGACCCGATGCTGTGTTGCCCCCGGCAACCCCGAGAACGTATTGGGGAAAATCCATGTTTGGGGACTTTGTAATAGATGATCATTTTGGATACAAAGGATCTACATTGGTATGATACACAGAGATAGACTACAGATCAGCCATAGAATAGTATGTCATTCTGCACGTGTTAGTCCCGCGCTCACCAAAACCCACCAAAACAATGCCGTAGATGTGTATACTGTCAACATCAAACACTGTGTTACTTTATATATATACAATATACATTGAAAGGTATGTCCATTGGCATAAAACGGATTACTGTATGATACAACAATTACACGTTATTTGTAGGAGTCTTCCTTGTATATACGTTGCTTACAAAAAGTTCATCTATGATAGTCCATTTTATTATTAAAAACAATTTGTGTTTTATAATAAGCCAGTTTGTCTTACTCCCAACCAGTGGATCTAGCGTGTCGTCGATCGTTCCATTTTTGATTGTTGTATAAGATATGAAAACAAATGTGCGTATACATGATCAGGAGAGCCATAATTTGTATCAAGATATGTATACCTTTAAGAGCAGTTCTCAAAATAGAAACGGTGAATGATACGCATAATGTGTACATAGTATATAAATATATATGTATAGAGAGAGAGAGAGAGCAGCATAATAGTTAGGAAATAAGGTCAGTCAGTGTGTATGCTGAGACGCAGTAGGTACAAAAGAAACATCAGATCGTACGATACAACAACATATACAAAAATATGCAATTTGCCCCTCCTTCTCCTCCCATTCATCGTTATTATTGAGAAACATGTACATACGTTTTCATGCATTGTACAATGTTTGCTATTATTATATAGTATCATATGCAATGCATGAATCCGCGTTGTATGAAGATAAATAGTAGTGCTATTTGAGAACAAAAGAGGCTAAAATAGGATAATAAAAAAGAATCCGTATTACAGCCTACTTTTTTTTTAAAACAAAGAATGTTACAGCGTGTGTGCATAAACTATTATTCTGCAAGGGGGGGATGGTGGTAGAGGTATACTACTAGACGAGGCTGATTTTGTATAAAGTAAGAAAGAACGGGGTGGTATGTTGGTGGGGTTGGAGGGAGGGGTAACCGAAGAGGAGGAGGAGGTGGGGAGGGAGTGTTTTTGGTTTAATGTTGTTGTATATTATGGATACATGGCAAAAAAGGTTGATGCATGTTTCGAAAATAACTGCAGAAGGGAAAGGTGGATACAGCAAAGAGAGAGAGTAGATTTTGGATGCGTAATATGCAAAACGGAGAGGAGGGAGAGAGAGACAGGGTGAGTTGAAGAGTAATTGTGAGTGAGTGAGTGAGTGAGTGAGTGAGTGTATAGATGGGTTGAATGCGTATGTAATATGTGCAGTATTATAATGGCTTGTAGTAGTAGTAATAGTGATAGTAGTAGTAGTAGTAGTAGTAGTAGTAGTAATCTTTCTTTTTAAGTTAATGCAAACGCCCCAATAAGAAACTCCTTTTATCATCAAGATTAGATATAAGCGTTTACGATCATCAAGAAGAAGAAGGTTCGCCACCCGCTGTCGATGCTGCAGCAGCTGCTGCTGCTCGTTCTTTGCCCTTTTTCGATTTCTTGAGAGGACGACAATTCATAAACTGGGTCCATCGTTTTGCCTTTTGACCCAGTGTGTCCAATGTTGGACGATGCGGATGATGCTGATGATCAGCCGAATCGGAAAAGCGCCGTTTCTTTTTGTGATGCATGTAGCCACCACCTAAACCATGATGATGATTGCTACTGCCTCCCAAGATAGGCAATGAAATTCGATGTAAAGCATGACGCTGGTTATTGCGATGATGATTCGGCTCACTTTGGGGTGGCTGCTGGTGCTGTTGGTCATCATAGTCCTCGATCAGCTCTACAGGTGCATACACCAATGGCTTTGGAGGATAGTGTGTAATGACAGGTGGTTGGACCGTTGCATAATGCATTGCTGCTGTTGCTGTTGTTGCTGGTTGGTGATGGTGACTATTATTAGAATGGGCGTGTATCATTCGACTCGTGTGATTCTGTTGTTGTCGTTGTTGTTGGTTGTTATTAGGGTGGAAATGAGGTATTGAAATAGTCGTATTGATGGCAATTTTCGAGGGTGTGGTTGGTGTTGCGGGTAATGACGCGCTCGAGTCATTCGATTCTTCGGATCGTAAGATACGCCATTTGGCTCTCAGGTAAGCGGAAGAGCGCCGGAGCAGGTCACCAGCGGATGAACGTCGCCTGACTTTGTCGTCGTCATCTACATCTTGGTTTTGCGGGGATTCCGGTGGGTCTTCCGGTGGCGAGCCGATGAGGGTCGGCCCCTCTTGGCCTTGAATATGCGTTGTTGTGCTTTGTCGACCCGTTGATGAAGTAGGTGATGGACTGATCGGTATAAAGTGGATACTATGTCGATTCTGTATTATACGTGTCAACCTCCACTAGAAACATAAATGTGTTGTGTAAAAAAAAAGTATGTGACCCCCATTTCTAACCTCTAACTGGGCCATTTCTACATGTAAACGCGACCGGCGTTTATCAAACTGTAAAAGTAGATCTCGTGAAAACGATTCGTCAATCTCAATGCCAGTCGGCATGGGAAGCCAATTGCGTGTTGTTGTCGGTAGATGGGCAATCGACGCCGACATTCAGTTGGAATTGAGTTTGTTGATGTTGCTTTTCGTAGGTGTTGCCTAGGATACCCTGGGGGAGCGAAAGAAGAGTGAGGAAAAAAAAAAAGGGCGGGCGATTTTCAGACAAACAAAAAAGCACAAAGAGAGAAAAGAAAGGACAGAGTGGAAGGGAAAAAAAAAAGCAAACAGGTCTTATTTTTTTTTACGAGCGTTAGGGGGGTGGGGGAGGGTGTGAAAGGAAGGGGTGGAGGTGTTTTACTCTGTGCACACTGGCTCACTGGTTTGCTGGTAACCGTTCATAATCGAGCAAACGAACGAACGCCACACTTATTTTGTGTACCTTGCACGTGTATCCCACTCTATAGTGTGTGTGTGTGTAGCGGGAAACTTGTTCATTTACGCTATGTTACCCTAGTCATACCCTTCTTAACGGTACATGGACATCCATTCCTACTGCTTGGGGACTGTCAGCGAGACACCATGTGTGCTTTGTTTTCGTGTGGGGAAGCTTTATAGTTACATAGCACACATAAATGCTACGTGTGTAGCAACTGACATTCTGTCCAGAGAAGCGAGGCACACCCCATGCAGGCACACACTTTTCTTTTTGCAACCATGGTGACACAAAGAGCAAGAGAGCAAAACTAAGATGATTAGCTTACTGCTCTTATGTAGTAACTAAAGAGTTCTAACTGCTTAGCAGCTGCTACCGAGACGAATCCATTCGTTCTGTTTTATATTTACTCGCGAGAAATACTGTTGTTGTATTAGATAGTCAAGAAAGACCTTTTGGCCCAACGGTGCGTGCTATATGGAGGATGTTTGTTTTTTAAACAAAAAAAAAAGGGGAGGTGGGGAAAGTGAGAGGAGAGGAAAGAAAATAAAGGGTATTGGGGGGGTAATAGGATAAAAGTTTCGCTTTTAGAAACCAAGGCGATGGATCGTCTTTTCATCTCTTTCCGTCTCGATCGTCTCGAGCTTGTCCCACCATTTGAACAAGAAAGTCTCACAGATAAGCTTGAACCAGGGCGTCATTGGAACGCCTAAATAAACGTTATTTTGTCAGTAAGCAAAAGCAAAAGAAGAAAAAACTTTGTCAACACAGTAAGGACTTAACTCGTATCAGCAAACATGGCACGAAGCTCATCCGGGGTCACGTATTTAGTGTCGCGTACTTCGTTGGGGCTGACATCCAGATCCACATCGGCCTTGATAAAGAAGATGTAGTCGACTAAGGAAAGGATATTATCAGTAAATACCCACTCTTTATTTAATCCTCATTAATGATGATAACTTACTCTCATGTTCTCCCCATACGTCATCACTGGGAGCAACGTAGTGAATACGCGTCAAGTACTTGAAATCATCCAGCGGCACCTGTTCGGGCTTAATGCCGAGTTCATGCTCAAGCTTACGTTGAGCAGCATTACGGGCACCTATTGAGTAAATATATCCCAAGCTATAAGTGACCTCGAAGCTTTTTCTTCTATCTTTCCCCAACCCTTCAAACAACACTATGCATGATTTGCCTTGAAAAAAAAAAAAGTAGGGTAGCAGGTGAAAAAGAAAAAAAGACGTGTTTTGAAAATAACTTTACCCAGTTGCTTCTCCTCAATGATTTCAGATTCCCTGCTCAATGGATGAGAGCAGCAAGTGTTGGTCCACATGTCAGGGAACGTGATCTTTTCACTTGCACGTTGTTGAAGCAATAATCGGTTTTGCGAGTCGAACAAAAAGACACTGAATGCACGATGCAACAATCCCTTGTTGATGTTTTCCATCAAATGACCTATATTTTGATGAGACAAAAGGAGTGGGGTGTTATTTATATAAAACCTGGATTGCGTGTGGTGTGCGCGCCTTTGTCGAAGGATGGGGAGGGGGGGGTTGTCTTTTGGACACATTACACGTCTTTTTCGATTCGGCACCATAGCGGTTGTCATCTCTGTCGACAAGAATGCACATCTCCTCCATAAGGCGGACCTGCTCTTCATCGTATTCCTTGAGATCGGGAGCCATGACTAGAGTGGGGGTTTATATAAAATTAGAAAGTAAAATAGCGGGAGGAGGGGGGAAATAGAGGGTTAGTTTGATCCGTCCCGTGTGTGTTTTTTTTTTTGAATCGGCGTCTGTGAGCGAAGCTTTTTTTATATGATTCGGTTCTAGACGCCGTGACTCGGATTGCAAAGTGAATGTAAGAATTGTTCTTTGCACGACATCAAACAAACACGCGTGTGTTGCATACGGCATTGTTGTGTTGTGTTGTGTTGTGACGTATCTCAGGCTGTGTGTTTCGCTAATCAACCTTGATACTTGTCAATTATCACACACGTCTAAACATGAAATTCTGGGATCACGTCCTGGGTTGTCTCTCCTTAAGCCGATCATTATTACGTAGTAGTGCTTGTCATGCGCATGCGCTTTTTAAAGTTTGCCACATACCAAGAAAGAAACTTCGCGTTTGGGGGTAGGGGGATCTATAATAGGAGCGTGTGTTAGGTAGGTGGTGGTTCCCACATGCCCGTAAATGCCAGTGGCTGGCGTTGAAACGAACACACGCATCGTTTACGACGCAGAATTCTTTTGCCTTTATTTCTATATTTTGACAACACGGCAAAAATGGCCTCGAATCCAAAACGGGCACTCATTCTCTACAGTTACGCCAATGTCGGTGAACATGGCAAGACACCTGCAGTGGATGCTTTGTGTCAACGTGGCTGTGGTGGCCAGCTAATGTTGGAACGTCGACCTGATTCAGAACACAAAGAGAAAGGTAGAAAAAAAAAGCGTGTGCTTTTTGGCTTTTTCAAAGTATAAAAAAAAAGACTCATAGTGGGGACAACTCTGTTAAAAAGGAAACGAACGACGTCAGGATATTATTCAACTATTGGGACTCTCTGGATGCAGTTCGATTGAACAAGTAAGTTTATTTTGTGGTTTTTTTTTTTACCATGAAACGAGGGCAAGGCTTTCCCTAATTGACAGTTTCTCTTGTGGAATAGATGAAAGCACAGTTAACAGAACGGTATGTCACTTTGATGATACGAGGATAGGGTAAAATGGGTTAAATAAGGAGAGTTGGAATTGATTTTGTTGGACAGATTTAGAAGCATGAAGCTGGGTTTAATAGCATCATGTCCATCCATTACGGCACTGGGCGATTCGCTTGGATTGACGATCGCTTCTTCTTCTTCTTCTTCAGCAACAAAGGATATCTACAGCAAGGAACATTTGCAAGCAGCAATCGACCGGGTTGATGTTCTGCTGGTGGATGTTTCTGACCAACCTTCTGAAATGGATCGCATCATGACTGAGGTGCTCGAGTCAACGTCCGATCTTCTCAAATGCATTGTGATGCATGCCACTGTGCAGAAACAGCAGCAAGAAAACATGCCGCTGCAAAGTGGTGTAACAAAGAACGGCGTACCGGTCGATATTCTTGAAAGGTGCTTATGCTGCTTTGTTGTTGTTGTTGTTCTTCTTGGAGAGAACTAAAAAAACGTTATTTAAACTTTTAAAAGGGATAGGTTGGTATGCGCATACTGGCATGATGGATCAACACGACGCGACCGAGTCCGTGGGTTCACGGTGCAGGATATCGTCGCGAACGGATGCAACGGATCCATCTTGGCATGGCACTATCTGGCTGAGATTGGACACAAACTAGGCCATGTGCCAAAGTACGGTGCCTGAATTATCGCAGGCTCTGGAACACCAAAAAAAAAATGTACATATATCGCAACAACAACACTTTCACTGTATAAAGATTCAAGCGTGGTAGTAGTAGCTTGGCCCTGTCTGCTCTTTTGTTTTTACTTGAATGAACGTTTCTCCTACTGTTGTCCGAACATTCGATCTATTCAAAAAGAAGACTTGCTACTCTGTTTGTGTTGTATAGCCATAGTTACCAGAAAACACTGACAACAAAATGAAACAACATAGGATGGGAAGCAACAGTCCAATTAATTATGCTGCCACGTTTATGGGTTTTCGATATTTTCGTAGCTAGTTAATGAGTTCTTGTTGTCGATACCGAACATAATACTACGTTAATACTATGTTTATGGTCACACTTTGAGAATTGTTGGATCGACATGATGTTGCTGGTATGTACATGGAAAAATGAAGGCTTTTCCTCTAAGAAATTACGGTGGCATTGTGTCATTACACTTGTGTCTTGCTACTTTACTTTTTTATATACATGAGGATAAAGACACCCAAGCCTGTATTTAGTTGCGATCTTGAGAACGCCATAATATCGCCATAGTAAACTTTGATTGTTTTCATGCAGCTTATATACACACGTCTCATCTGTATACATTCATCCTGACGGTCCAGATGTTTGATTGTTATCCCCTGTTGATATCGGCACGCAATGTCAGCGGTTCTTAGTCCATCACACAAAAGAATTGCGATGGTATATACTTGTTGAGTCAGCATCGACTGATACGACTATTAGGCAGCAGCAACGCCATCATATAAGCTATGTAAAAAACGATGTGAGTGATGTTTATCAGAGATTTAAAGAGGAAGCGCTCTGTTTCTATTACTACATACCTTGGACGATGGACGTTTGGACTTGTATGAAGGTCACCTTGTGATCTTCTAACGCTGGGTTGTCAAACAGAGCAATACGTTTTCAGTAAGCGCACTCTATGGAGTAAGTTGGCACGGAATTAAGGATTGCTTAAGAGATATGTTATTTGTGCTCTAGTGTTTGCAGAAGGTTGATTACAGAGAATTTTGGATGAACATGGCTGTTCAAAAAAAAAACTCATAACGTGGAGACAAGGGCATACTACGAACATCGATACCAAGTAGCAAGTGCAAGCAATGACGTAAGTATTACCCAAGTAATCTTCTCTTTAAAATATGCTCTTCAAGCGACCTCTAATTGACTTACGTAGCTATAGCTGGTCACCGATGGTGCGGTATCAAGAAGAACACTTTTAAAAACTTTTTTGTTTTTATTTATATGATTAAGATGAAAGTCTCAAAGACGTACCTTTTTAAAGAAAAGCAAGGACTCGCATGATGAAGATAGTGAAGTATGTAGAATGACCAGTTATTTTCTTTGGCTGGTGACAAGAATTCAGGAAACCAAGTATTAACTAATATCATTTTTAACTTTCGGACACAAAGTATACGCTGGCTGATGCTCCTTACCCAGCCCTTGATGAAGAAGTTCCCGTTGAAAGCGACGACGAGTCAACTAACCTACAGTTTGCCTCGGATCTCAGCAAAGATCATCACCCTCAAGTAGAGGATGGTCAGTACCATTTTCACGCCAATGTCAATACGGAGGACAGTTATGAAGCAGAGGACGCTGACGCACCGGGCTCATGGTCATACCGGGTGGACGGTGCCGCCGAATGCAACGTTCTTAATGAGTTGGAGGTTTTCCGTTCTGCATCATGTCGTCTCGAACCCAAAAGTTTGTTCTGATTTACGTTTGCTTTTAAGTTTGAAATATGCTTTTTTGGTTGCGTAAACGTAGTGAGTTAACCAGTTCTTTCATCTCTAGTGCTATAAAGTAGCCGCTCGCTAAGCCGATCACTTTTCAAGATTACCAACCTGGTAAGCAGTGAATATCGAGCTTGCTCGGTAAGCCGATCACCGATCATTTCTCTGTGACATATCGGCTTACATAGACCAGTATTTCATCTCCTCTTTTATCTGAGACATGCGTGAGTCGAACAAGCGACCAAATAACTGCACGATCACTTCAAGACAGCAAGCATCTATTTACTGTGTATTTGAGCATCGAATTCGATAAGTCGATCATTCGCTTTTGGGTCATGACCGAGGTGATCGGCTTAGCGAGCGGCTACTGTACATTTACCTTTTCAGTGAAGACCGTCAAAGAAGCATTACTGCCTATCTACCAAAATCAGTCCAGTAAGTTATGAAAAGGGTTGTATTCGCAAATGGAACTACTTTTCTGACAAACAATTGCATGCTATTTGTTTCGTAGTCAAATTATTATGGCAGATGTTCTAACTGAACCTGTGGTCACCATGAGTACATAGTCGAAGCGTTCTATGGTGCTCAAAGCTTTCAAATGTAAATTGCACATTCACTATTGCAAAAAAGAAAAAAGTCGCATTCTTATCAATTTTTTTTTGGTACGACTATCTAATTGGTACGATATTCGAAATACAACGATCCCATACTTGTACGAGGCAATTACTATTACCGACGACGCTCCACTTGATCTCATAATTGCAAAACATATTACATACACCGAGCGTAAGTTCAGCCTTTTATTTCGATGAAATACTGTAATACTTATTAGCTTTGCACCAATTAGAGCCTTGTTGTTCTCTAGCGGCTCAGCTGATTCTGATGTGGAGGACTCCTTTGTACATAATTTTATCGCCAATTTGTTTGAGAATGTCTTTCGATCGGATGGTTCCTTGGAGAGCTGTTGGTACGTACACCGAGCAGTAAATTGCTCATGCGCTTTTTATAGCATACATTCATATTTAAGACTGTTTTTGTACATGTATCTTTAGGGCAAACGGTCAACTTGGTGGAAAACGAAAGCATGGAGATGAATGACTTGTGCTTACCAAGATTTTCTCCGTTGAAGAGCGATATTTGCAATGCTCTATCCCCAGCACGATGAAGTTTCCAAAGCTTACCCAAACCTATCAGTACAAATCAGATTACGTGCTATTCGTTACCCATCGTTTAGACTTGGCATGTGCAGAAGTAAAGTCGCTCACTGGCAATCACACCTTTCCCAAGTCAGATCTCGTCAAAATTGGCCAAGAGATGCGCTGGATGATCAACAAGCTGGTTCGAGAAGGGGTGAATAAACCTATGGTTGGTGGCGTCCAGATCTCTGGCTTCAAAATGTATACATATAAGATGGATATTATCAGTACCGCTGCATATCGGCTGGTGGAGCTGGGTAACAGGTCCGTATTTTGCAATGTACCCAAGAGTTGGTCAGGCAGTGGACGTTTGGATTTATAAAACATCACGCTATGAAATAGCCAGCGGTACTTATTGAAGGTATGAAAAAACAAACATTTTCGTTACTGATTGCGACATGGAATGCTAACTCAAACGTATAGAATGTCAACCTGACAACGGCCCGAGAAGCAAAAGAACGCCTACGTCAAAAATCTCAAAACGTACCTTCGAATCCAAACCTACCACTTTCCCGGCTGCGTGATAACGATTTCAGCTTGATCAAAAATCAAAAAAAAGAAGTAAGTCAACTTAAACCTACGACTACATTCAATCAATACATGTATACACATTTTATTTCCATAATCCCTCTGTAGTGAGTTATACCATCCCTCGCTCTTCCACTTTGGCATAAATAGCTCATACTCTATACCCATTTCTCGTTTTCATGATTAATAAATGGCAATATGTGAATATCTACATGGAATGGAGAGGAAGAAAGCTTCAATGAAAGAGAAAGAATATATACATGGCGTGGGTCGTAAAATGCATAGAGCAGTAGTTGCATTAGAATTTTTACCTCGGTTGTTTTGAACGATATTAATGTGCCCTATGTACTGTGCATACCGGTGTTTTTCAATAGCACACATCTCTAATTTAGTATAACATTTTCAATTGGTTCTTGGAGAGCTATCTGCCTCTGTTTTCTACGAACGAAGCATATACTTGGCAGTAGCAGCAGGATCTTACTATTAAGTTTGAATATATACAGTTTATATGCTACTATATGTTTATGTAGTGCTGTAATGTACGTCTTTTCATATTTTAGAGTTTGGCACAAACATATAAAAAAAGCTTCGCGTTTGCGGGATATTAACGAGAGGGAGGGGGGTTTGGCTGAGATTGGGAACTAACCTCACATTCACTACGCATCATTTAAGCATAAATCCTTAAATACACGACAACACGGCAAATGGTCACAGTTGCGCCACTTATTGTGGAAAATGGCAAGACGTCTGCATTGTATACATTGTGTCAACGTGGCTGTGGTGGCCAGTTAATGCTAGGACGTTGACTTGAACCTCAAAACGAACAGGAAGGTGGAAAATATAAAGCACCTTGCTTTCAATAGAAAACTAATACAACTCAGCTTTATTCTTTATAATACAGAGAAATCTGTGTATAGCATTTAGCTATTAGGATCTTCTCGTTCACCAGGTTCTACGTCTATTATGGATTGTAGGAATAAACAAATGCTCTTTGACAGTTTCTCCTTTTCCTTATGTAAAAGATGAAGTTGACAGAACGATATGTTACTTTATATGTGGATGGGTAAATGGAATAGGATGTACAGTCGCCCCCCCTTAATTTCACATCCGTTAACTCTCAACCCTCGATAATTCTGGGAATAGTAAAATTTTCACATCCCCGTTTATCTCACTCTCAACGAATCATTCAGGGTTGAAGCCCTTATTCGGGTTATGATAAAAAGTGCTTCTCCATATATGCTTTATAGGTAATAAGCACTGTACTTTATTTGTTTCAAGTGGCTTTAAGTAAGTTTGAATATGATAAAAAAAGACTCATAAAAAGCTATCTAAAGAGCTTTGTCTATAGCTCTTGAAGCTTGTTGCGTAACTCTCGTATATAGTTTAGAAGGAAGACTAGGTATAATCTCTTCATCTCCATCAGAGGCCAAGAAATCCAAAACAGTATATTACCTTTTTATCTGGTCTTCAATCTGCTGAGCGGCAAGCAGTAGCTGTTTCAAAGGATGCTTCTTGGTCTTCAATTGTCTCTTCTTTTGGTGTATTCTATTATGTATGTGGCCAATTCAGCTAAAAATGTATTGGATGACAGGCTACGTGAATTACGTGATCCATATAGTGTCAAGTGCTGGTAATCCATATAACATTCAGAATGTGTCTGAATAAAGAAATATCCGTGCACAGGAGCTTATCCTAGCATCCGTTAACAAAAAAATTGGGAACTTCAAGTTTGAAACTAACGGGGGTCGACTGTAACAGGACGAAACGAGCTGGTCTAATATAGAGAGATAGAATTGACTTTTGTGTGTTGCACAGATGCGGAAGTATGAAGCTGGATTTGATAACGTCATGTCCATCCACTACGGCACTGACCGATTCGCTTGTATTGATTTGCACCGCTGCTTTTACTTTCTTCTATAGCAACAAGGAACGGCTACAAGCAGCAATCGACCGTGTTGATGTTCTGCTGGTGGATGTTTCTGACCAACCTTCTGAAATGAATCGCATCATGGCCGAGGTGCTCGAGTCAACGTCCGATCTTCTCAAATGCATCGTGATGCATGCCACTATGCAGAAACAGCAGCAAGAAGAAGAAAACATGCCGCTGCAAAGTAGTGTAACAAAGAACGGCGTATCGTTCTTGAAAGGTAAAAAAAATATGCTTATGCTGCTTTGTTGTTGTTGTTGTTCTTTCTTAATCTCCTAATGGAATAAGGGGGGAGATCCGATAACAAAAGTTGATTCGATATGCGCAAGAAGGAAAACTAAAAATGCTTCAGCCGCTATGCGCGTACCCAAGATGATGGATCGACATGACGCGACTGTGTCACCGTGTCCACAGTGCAAGAGATTGTCGTGAATATGATAGATGCATTGAATTGATGACACTATCTGGCTGAGATTAGACGCAAGCTAGACCATGTGCCAAAGTACGGTGCCTGAAATTCCTAATATCGTCACCGTCCATAATACCCCTTCCCCGTCTCATGCCAGTTCGTCTCCACACCAACAGCAGCAGCAGCGACAACAACAACAACAACAACAGCGACGGTACCCTAATCCTTATGCATAAATCCTCGCTTTTTTTTTTCTTATTCAATTCTTATCTCTCCTCCTTCCCTCCCTCTTTCTCTCTTTCATCTTTTTCCTTCTTTCTTTTTGCTTCTGCACCTTCCTTTCACTACCTCTCTCCTACCAGCTTCTCTGTCACTGTAGAGTCGTTATTCGCATGAGCCTGACACAGAAAAACCTGCGAATACTCGATCGTACGCAATGCAACGAAGACGAATCCAAGATGCAGCGTCTTGAAAAGTTTGTCCAGGATCAACTGCCATTTGTGCAGAAGCAGGCGCATTACGAAGATGCAAACAAGGGCGCACCGCACGAGCGTCAGAAACAACAACAACAACAGCCGCAGGGGGTCGATCATAACAAACAACTACAACAGCAGCACAACCATTTACCTTTGTATGAATCATCTCCTCCACCTGTGTTGACCAAACATCATCTTTCGTCTTGTAAATCTTTACCAGTACCACCACCAACCAACACATAAGAAACCCTTTCTTGTAATTTTCTTTTTTTGTATTTATACCTACTAAGTAATAGACACGTCACTACTGCGTCAAAGAGCAATCATGATGCATTACTGGCAGCAATAAAAGAAAGCGCTGCTGACGATGGATCCATGTTATTGTCATCAGCAACTGCAGCATCCAATCATGGTAATCAAAGCATACACCATGCAAGGCACATCGACCAGTGATGCTTATATTCATCGTGTACACTGTTTCATGTAGTATCCTCGCACAAAGGACAACGTCGCATGGAGAAAAACAAAGAAAAGTGCGTCAAGAGCAAAGCGCCATTGCCACCAGCGCTATTGCTGTCTACAGTGCAACAGCAGCGCAAGCAAAAGAAAAAACAACGACAGCAACAGCAGCAGCAGCAGCAGCGGAAGAAACACGAACCAGTAGCAAGGACCGCTCAGCCAGCATCATTCCATCTGCTCGAGGTTTGTTTCTCTATTCTTTCCTTTTTACTTTTTCTGTCATCCATTCACCCACGTCACGCACTCAGTCCCAACCTGGAGAGAGTTTAACGCAAAGAGTCTGAAACAACGCCCCCCCCCTCCTCCCCCTTTCTCATACTTTGACACTTTGTTCTTCTTGCTGCCTTTAGAAGTTCACTTCGCCCAATATCCAAATCACTCGTATCAGTGTAAGTTGTGTGTTTCAAATTGAAAACAAGGGGTTAAGGGACAAGTGGTGTAACGATTGACAAAGCAAAACAAATACTGTCAAAAAAACTGACATCATGTTGCGTTGACGGTACTACAACCAGATGCGCCGAGGGAACAACTGCAATAATCGTCGCGCTGGCATGTTCAACAATGGCAAGTCGTCCAGCAAGGCACGTAAGACTTTGGGTGCTGCCGACTTGGTATTTTCTGAAACAAGGTTCTTGCGGTCTGCTTCAAATACGGCGCAGTCCTCCGTAGTCGTCGGTTCTTCTCCTTCGCCTCCCCATTTTCACCACCACCAGCAGCAGCAAGAGCATCAGGGACAAGGACAATACCAGTGTCATCGCCCGATGCCAATCATCCTACCACCCTTGATTGCACCACAGCAGCCACAACAAAAGCACACCAATAATAGCAGTGTCACAAATAGGATGATGCTTCCACCCATTGTGCAACAACCTTCACTTCCTCCTCCTCTTTATCCATTTGCTTCAGGTACAACAACTTCAGCCGCAGCAGCAGTAGCTCCACAACAGAGTAAGCATCAACAAGAAAAGAGCGACACATTGTCCAAATCCTTTGCAGATCATGACAAGACGTGGGAAGAGGGAGTAGAACGGTACATGGTTGAGGAATCCTGCAAGCACTATGACCCGCCGTGCTATGCACGCGGAAAGACACCTGTCGATCTCTTGCTACTGGCACAACAGGAGCCCGTTACTGCCATCAGTGCTTCTGATGCTGCTGGCTGTATGGTCATGCAACACGATGACATCAGCAACAACAACAACGATGGCACCACCTATAGCAATAGATACGACGACGAAGGCAGAGGCTACTGCTATTATGACAGCCATGTTGACGAGGTACGAGATACAGCAGGGGTGGACGGTGTGTACTACGAGGTCCCGCAAGAACCGCCTGTACTCCGGGTGCCACAACCGCGTCATGCACTTGCTTCTCTGCTCGATCATCTTCCAGCAGCACCAGCGACTACTATCACTGCAGCTGCACCAAATGACCCATTTTATGATGATCACCCACAATGGCAGCTTCAGCCTTTTTCTTCTGCATCTCGTAACGAGCAACAACAGCAACAATACACTGTTGAGAAAAAGTACCAGCAGCAAGACACAGCTGTCCCGTTATCCAACAGATACCACCAGCGCCGTGGTTATCCGTACCAGGATGAAGAAGGCATAGACAAAAAGTATTACTACAGTAGTAGCAGCGCTGGTACTACTAACGACGAACAGCAACAGACATCGCCAACATTACATGGATATAATTATTCAGCTAGTATCATCAGTACTACTACTTCTACTACTACTGGTGATACTGAAGGTGGAATAAAAGCTACCAACAACAACAACAACACCACTGATGCTTCTTCTGATATGGATGACGTGATGCTGCTATCCACATGGAACACTTCTGCTGCTCTCACTACCGCTACCACCACAGACATCATGCAACCACCCGACCTGACTTCTTTCTGGCAACAACGTCGCGCATTTTAAAAAAGAAAATCCACCTCTTCAATCAATCAGGGGGAATTATTTGCATTTGTATTAGTAAAAAAAAGTAAATGTAAAGTTAGTATCGGAAAAAAAGAGAAAATTATATAAAAGATAAATAGGGTAAAAAAGCGGGAAACGTATGTACAATTGTTTGTTCTGCGTGTGTATGAAAGTTGTGTATGTAATAAGCAAGGGGCGGGGGAAGAGATAGAAAGTTGGGCTTATAAAAAGATAAGATTTAGTGGCTATAGTAACTTTCTAATGCTCAATGCATCAAAAAGATGCATAAATGTTTCAAGGTGATGATGATTTTTGACATGGTGCAGAATGAAGGTTGATTCCCCAGATGGATGCATGATCAAGAATGCCGTTGTTGTTGTTATATGCGCCAGCCGTTGATGATGCTAGTGACGGCGGTGAGAGATAAGGAGAAAACGTACGATCAAGATGGTCTTCGATCCAAGACAGATCCCGATGCTTGTGAGGGTTGGTTTGCAGCACGTAGGACGACGACGAACGACCCTTTATAGCCAACAAGCTACTCTCGCTATCATCATCGTTTTCTTCTTCTTGTTCCAAAATAACCACTGTCGTGCTTCCTGTATGCAACATGCCAGATGTTCGTGGCGGCATCTGTGACCAAATATCGGATACATGCGTCAGTCGAATTGTGTCGACGCGTTCCGCCAGATGCTCGACGAATGGAGCACTCCCTACGCGCGGCGAATCGATGGTGCAAAGCGTGACCGGTCGATCCACCAACAAGCCTGTTGTGATAAATGACGATGCACATAATGCAGCAACCGCTAGAGAGTTAAAATTTAGTGAGTCACATATCCTTATGACTGCTGCTATTGTTATGGTTGTTGCTACATCTTCTACAACTCCTCCCCCTGCCCCTCCCTTCCCGCGGGGAGGGGCGTCGAGTCATGCATGAACATGGAAACTTCTATATTATTTTCTTCACGCAGAATATTAAAGTATGTAATGTAAAAATATATATATATATATATATATATATACTATACATTACCTCCTCCCAAGGAGTGTCCAATAATAACAACACGATAATCATCCGGAGCTACACGACATATCCTCATCAAAGATGTCGCCACTGCCAATTCACACCGTCGCCAAGCGGCTACTGCACATTCCAAGACGTAGGCATTGTCAAGATGATGATGCTTTGTAGTAGAGGTGTTGAACAGTAACGATGATCGCGTTTGAGCTGTTGTTGTTGTTGTTGTCGTTGTCGGGGTAGGAGGATGATTCGTGGTTTCGTCTAAAGGCTCTTGCCAGGGTACTGGTGCAAGCGATGTGTTCTCAAAAAGCAGGCCAGATGCAGGGACACCGGGGAACGTCACAATGATCTCCTTGTTCTCGTCATCGATCGCTACATAGCCCCGCTTGTCCATTGTGGAGTCCAACAAGTACGAACAGTCGAATGGCTCAATGACAGAATCGGTCCCAATGGCGGAACATGCTCTTCCTCGTGGCTGATGATAATGGTACTTCATGGGTGTGTTGTTGTGTGCAATATGGAGTGATGGCGGCGATAAATGGTGTCGACAACTGTCAAATGTGCGTCGTCTTTGTTCGAGCGACGTATGCAAATATGTAATTGGAAATGTAGCATCACTACTACTACTACTACTACTATTACCTCCTCCTGCTGCTGCACCGAACGTTGTTACTTGAATCATTGGTTGGTTGTTTATGGGAAGAACGGAAATGTTGCTAGTGTTTGGGATAGCTCTCAACCGTATTATTGCAGGGTCTGAACATTTCCGACACAGGAGAGAGCCCGAGGTACTGTCCAAGGATAGATCATGCATACACAGGGCAGCCAGTTGGACGTATCGATGTAATCGGATCGACAGTGGGTCTGATACGGGCTGGAACGATGCATCAAGATGGCGACAATGATTATTTTGCTGACGCTGACGGTGTTTTTTTCGTGCTGTTGTTGTTGTTGTGCTGCTACTGGGGATTCGTATTGGCGGTAGAGGTTTAGTGACCGGGATGTAGGCAGCGGCATGCAGGAGTAAGGATTTGGGTAGGAGCAAAAGAGCGTGGTATGAAGGATTGTAACTGTATTGATAATGAAGATGCTGAGGATGATGATTATGGTATTTGGCGCGCTGCATTAAACGGGAGAACCTCCGTGTAATTGTGTTCAATGTCTGTGTTGTACCGCTGCTGCTGCTTGTACTGTACCCATTCAATACAATTCCGATCAAGGGTGCAACACGAGGTTCTGGATAGTTTGATTGCCGCCGTTGCTGATGGTCTTCGTGGAGACAGGGTGTGGAGCACGAAGCAGTGCTATTCGTAGCCGATGCCGCCATTGACATCAAGTTGGGATGTTGATGATCACAGTACTTTGCTGATATGTCTCGAACAATGTCATACGTGATTTGTTCATGCTGCAACTGACGAATCATCCATGCATATTGCTCTACGGTCAACCACAATGTCTTGGCGTGCTTTGTGTGTGGATTATTTCCCACAGCCACACGTCCCTGACTCGGTTCGTAATGAACATAGGCTTTACTGCTGCTGGTACTGGTGTTGTTGTTATTGCTGTAGTAATCATATTGATGTATCGGTAAGAATTGCATGCTGTGACCATCGTCACCGTTGTTGTTATTGGTAAAGCAGCGGTGGGTCGTAATAACCATGTCGAGCGACGCACTGTTGCGCCGACTACTACCAACACGAACATCCGCTGTCAAAGTCACTGCCACTGCGAGAGGATTTTGTCGGTTGCAAGATTGCTGTTGTTCTTGCTCAACACTGATACCATCGTTGTGATGATCGCTGTTGTCGTGATAGTCTTTATCTGGATCGCAGTGTCGAAACAAGTTGCGCACACTTCGAATCGACCGTCTAAAAGTGGAGGACGAAGTCGTTCCTCTGTTGTTGCTGTCCTCCTTGTTGGTAGCCGGAGTCGCAGTGCCAGAGTCGAAGGAACAGGGTGAACGCGGTGGTTGTTGTTGTTGTTGTGGTAGTGGGTTACGAATGGGCAACGCCCTTGCTGGCGCCATTGCCCAAATTAAAAATGAATTTTTAAAAGACAATGGGGAATTGTTAGAGAAGAAAAGAGAGAGAAAAAGTTTTGTATCTGTGCAAAAGAGAAAGGAAAGTATGTGTTCCCTTGAGGGTGAATGGAGGTGTGTTAGTGTCAAGGGCAGGAATGGGAAAGAAACGAGGAAGAGAACCACCCCATCCACCCCCCTCACAGCTCGCTTGTTCGGCTATGGTTCGTATAGCAAGCAGAAGGCAAACGTGAACACGCTCTCTAAACAACATACTCTTAGTATGGCGGTCATTCTGTGTGATATGAGCTGTGCTGCTGCTGCTGCTGCTGCTGCTGTTGTTGTTGTTGTTGTGGCGCCAGAATTTTGCATCTGTGTAGCATGTGTCTTTCTTAATGTGTCTCTCCCCCCCCCCCCAATAGCCTCCTTTTCATATTCTCCATAGTTACCTCCCCCCCCCCCCCAAAGTAGGAAAGAGCATCCCCCCCCACCCAAAATTCCTGGTAAACCTGCTTTTTGACGTGCATGGATACGCGCGTTCGACGGATAGAACGACGACCACGACAACGGATGTTGTTGTTATTGCATCAAAAAGGAAACAAGTTCGTTGAGGAATAAAATATGCAGCCGTGGTGGTACCATCGAAAATAAGCCCGCGTGTATGTATATTGTGGTTCAAACCCACAGCAATGTATACTTGACACGGATGGGGCTTGGTCCGTGCTTGTCGTGATGCATCTAGCACGTACCAGTAGATGAGTCAATGAAACAAAGTATATGCTGATCAAGTATGTTGTTAGAAGGAAACGCCACTTGTTTCAAATAAAGGTAGCAACAAAAACTTGTTCCCCAAAAAAGAGAAAAGAAGCAAGTGCTACGTCCTCCTTTTAGGTAGGACGCCGATCGGGGGAAACCCACTCATCTACTACTCTGGCAGGTATGTATATGCTAATTTAATAGGGGAGGAGGTGATTCTTGTCTTCTTGTTGTAGCACTGCTGCTGCGTTAGTGTCTTGATACTATGACCAAAGGATAACTTTACAGCGTAGCAAACAAGACATTCTGGCACGTAAATTACTCTTATAGCACACGTTGATCATGCTTGGCACTTTCCCACATGATCAATGGCGTACTGTGATTTATACATTTATTTTGGGGAGACATGCATATTCTCATCATCCGGATTTCTGTAGTCTATTAGTTTGTAAATATGTATACGGAGGCACAGTGAACAACAACGAAAGAAGAGAACAATTGTAAGTGGGAAGAAATGGGAATCCCGTCGTTGTGTATCCTATGCAAGCAACCCCTGGACTCTCCCTTTTCTCAAGCTTTGTGCTTCGTACAGCCTCTTCCTCTTCAATAACAACAACAACAACAACAACAACTGAAAATGACAACACAAACCGGTTGATCAACACGTTTACTTTTTGACATCATGTCAATTTGTGACTTTTACCCACATTCTCTCACACAGCAGAAACGGTGGTGATGTTGTGCTGATGAAACAAGTTAGCAACCGAGCAAAAGGTATCTGTCGGGATATCTTCGGGTCTAGCTTTGAAATCCATGACCGTTTCCAACTCGTCTATTATGTTTTTGACTTGTGGCATATCCTTAGCCAGGCGTCTAATAGCGACGAGAGAGAACATGTTAGCCATTCTCTCGCTCTCATGAAACGCTGGTTTTCCCGAGAGGAATTTGTTCATTACTTTGATATGTGACCGATTGCTTTCCGTCGCTTGGTGAAATAATATCGCACAATTTCTTCAAGTAGTTTGTAAGAATTCGGAATGATCATCATTTCCTCAGTTTCTCGCGGTTTAAGCTGAACTACAGAAGCATCCACCTGGGTACATCAAGATTATTAGAGTCCCCCCCCCAAAAAAAAAAAACATAGTTTTGTGTTCACAGATTGCTTACCTTGGGTCGTGGAACGAACACTGTAGAAGGAACGGCATACACGGTTTTCACTTGACATAGACTTTGTGCCATGACAGATAATCGACCTCGGTGTTCTGTGGACGGTTTGGCAGACAATCGCTTGAATTTCAAATACGTTAACACCATTGCCACACGTTCTCACTCTCTTTCTTTTCTTTCTCTCAAGCTAGAAACAAAACTTGTTTTTTTTTTTACCTCTCCCACTTCTTTTTGAAACATCAAAGTCATCCACACATCATTTTCCAAGCCAAACAGACCTTGTCGACCTGCCGATTGATGCAGCCATTGCATGAGTAGCGGCGATGCAACGTTGAATGGCAGATTGCCCATGATATGCAGCGGTTCGTGTCCTTCCAATTGTACAGGATGCGAGGCAGAAGAGGATGATGATGAAGGTTCAAGTATGTCTTGAAGCGTCACTGTCAATGCATTGCCTTGCAGTACTCGGAGTCGACCCTGCGTTGCTTCCGAAAGTTGCTAAAGTACAGAAATACCATAGGGCCTTTTGAGTGTTTGTTCTATAAAAGACTGCCCGTTATTGGGGACATACTGTTAATGTTGGCAAAAATCGGTGATCCTTTTCTATGGCAACGACGTGTTTTGCACCACTGTCCAAAATCGAACGTGTCAAAAGTCCAGGACCTATAAAGAAAAAATTTACATGAGTTCTTTTTTTTTTCCCTCCTAATCGTTTATCAAGCTCATACCAGGTCCGATTTCAACAACAAGAGGTGTCTGATTGGATAAATGGGCGGATCGAACAATCTTGTCTGTCAATGCGTCCCAACAAAACGATCACACCCAATATATATATATATAAGTACGCTGACAAATTTAAATATGTAATCGGCTTTTTTTTTTTTTTCTAAAGTACCAGTAATGTTTTTGTCGAGAATAAAATTTTGACCAAGCTGTGATTTGGCTGACAAACCATAGAGTTTGACAATGTCGCGTACAGAAGGTAATCGCGGAAGGCTTGTCATTCTGTTGTCAACACAATGTCAAAACCCAGCAGCATAAACAAGGAAAAAGTGTAGTAGTAGTAGTAGTTGGGTAAATAGTATTTCCGAACGAGTGATATTGCAGACAGCAGTAAGACTATAATGTTGCTTCTACTTTTATGCGTTCGTTCAATTTGGCTCTACCAGTGTGGAAGAAAGCTATTAGTTTAACACACACATTCACACCCTTTACTTTAATATGTAATGCAACGTACCCTTCTTGTGTCACATCGATATGCTGCTGCTGTGATTGTGTTGTTGTTGTTGCTGCTGCTGCTGCTTCTGCTGCCCTACTAGGCACAAACTCAAAAGCTTCTTGCTCACTTTTCACAGCCATTGAACCGAGCATTTCTGTTCGTAATGGGTGGTCTCGCTTAAGCTCGCCCAAGAGTTGGTGGACTTGAGCTTCGACCAACGTGCGGATATTCTTTGTCGATTGATTTGATCCTCGTGAAGCCACCGCGACCAGCACGGCACCAAACACGGCTGCAGCACCACCCGTCACGATCGCAGCACTCCCCATGGCAACACCGCCGAGTGCTGATAGACCACCAACGATACCCATTCCCCTTTTTGGTATATCCAGAACAAATCAGCTAATCTGTTCCATGTAACACTTTCTGAAATACTAGATGGGTGGAGGGGAGGAGGAAAGTGACAATGGTTTTTTTTTTACCATCCTGCAGTTTCGATCTTTTTCTCGCGTCGAGAATCGAGTCTATACAAGCAATCCACGAGTTGTCTCAAACGGTTCATATCGTGCGTTATTAATTCGGGAACCGAGTCATCCAATTTGACTCGCTCTTCCGTCCAGATCCGAGTGCTGCGCAAATTGGCTTCCACGTGTTCCAATAGAAGTTCAACTTGGTTTTGCAACGTAATGTCGCCATAGCCAACGCTCGCCTGGTATGTTGAATAGATCGAGAATGTTAACGCACCGATAGCAGCGGCTGATTTGGCTGCAGTGGATACAGTAGCATCATTACCGCCTTTTGATCTTTCTTTGTTATCCTTTTGTTTCGATTTCACTTGTTGGTCGTCGTCGTTGTTGTTGTTGTTGGTATCGTTGTGCGTGGTAGTATCCGTGGTCGATCGAGTGCGGTTTTCTCGCTGGTTTTGCTGTTGAGATGAAGAAGAAGAGGAAGAAGAAAAGTAGGACTGGAACGCTCTTTTTTGAGGTCTGAAAGGTCCCTCCTCCCTGCTATCACTGCGGTTTTGTGCATCTTTTTGGTGTTTCGAAGACAATACAGCATACTCGATACAGCAATCTGCTAAAAATCGAGCAAATCCCTCGGCATAGCGTAGATAGTTGACGCTGCTAGTGTCATTCTTCTTTTCCTCGTTTTGCTGCTTTGTGGTGGTATTCTCGGCCATAAATTCGAACGATCGATCTTTTGCCGGCTGGATAGGCTCTTGCTCCTGTGTATATGTAAATTTGATAGTTTGCATAGGGTGTCATACAGAAGCGTGCTGTTTTATGTACCTTGGTATCTTTGGGCAAGTTCTGAATAATGTGGGGAGTAAAATCAAGTAAGGTGCGAATGGGCGTCGAAAAGTCCTTGCCATTGCGATTGTATAATTCACTGGGGAAATGGTAATCTTCAAAAAAGATCTAGCAATTGTGGCACGCAAGGATGAATGGGTTAAAAAACTAATAATAACCAGAATGAAATACAATGTGGGTAATGCTTATATACAAGAAAACTCACTGAAGCCATATTGAGAAGAAAGCGAAAGAGAGTGGCGGTGGCACAGGTCGTCAATGCAAAAATACAAGTAAGGGTTTTTATATTCTAAAACTAACACCAAAAGCGTGCCATTGTTAAATGACAGCCAAGTTGCATATTTCCAAAGCACTCCACGCTACTCATTTTACGAAACTTTTTGCACACATCAACGGGTATACGCCCTTTTCTTTTTGGTTTTCAATTGATTTGGCAGAGCACGTTCACATGTTATAAACATGGACTGTTAAATAATTAGAAGAACAAGACCAGCGGGATCTACTAACGAACACACATACACACACACATACAAAGCACATAGAAACAGACAAACAGACAGACAAAAGAATGCTTTATGGCGTCCCAGATATTATTTTTCCATTGTTGTTTTAGTAGCGTCGCGTCGGTGCAGATTGATAACGAGCATAGTCTGAGTGGTGTTGGTGAGGGGGTAACTGCTGTTGAGGTGCTGGTTGTGCTGCAGCTCCCATCAACTGATCGGAATACATCTTGCCGGATGCCCTGCAAAACAAAACAATCAAAACCAATATCTGTCAGTCCTTCTTGAATCCCAAAAAAGCTCTTATTCTAGCAGCCAAAACAAGAATAAAAAAAAAGAGTAACATACGCAGATGTGTAGCCTGATCGTGTCGGAGCAATGACCGATCGAAGTGTTTGTGAAGCAAAACTAGCAGGGCCAGCGGGCACACCATGCTGCTGTTGTTGTGATGGTGAAGACACCATAGGTTGTGGACCAGGTCGGCTTCGAAGCACAGCGCGTAAAACACGACCATCTGCAACCTCGTTATCAAGTTTCGAAACACAATCCAATGCTGCTGCTTTGGTACCAAACTCGACCTCAGCCTCGCCAAAGGATCGACCCGCATGATCGACCATGACATCGCAACGTACAACGGGTCCAAATTGCTGGCAAGCCGTCTAAGAAAAATATATACATAATCCCCTATCAATAAAACTCCCCAAATCCAAAAAAAAAAGTATAGATTATACTCGGTTACCTTGACATCCTCTGCATTGGCTCCAGGATCCAAGTTACTGATCACGACAATGCCTGGACCTGATTCACCTCGGATCGATATGCCACCGCCACCACCGCCAGACAGTCCACGGATATTGAAATTGCCTCCACTGGCAGCATTACCAAGATTGTTATTGTTGTTGTTGCTACCGCCGTTCCTGCTGATGCCTTCACTCATGTTGCTGTTGCTTGCGGTGAAAATGCCGCTTCCTGTTGCTCCTCTTCCTTGAGCTGCTGCTGCTGCTGCTGATGATGATGATACAGGTTCGTCGTTTCTTCCACGTAGAGCTTTGGTGATCACAATCTTTGACGGATCTGTTGCTTGTTTGGCGCGATTAGGCAGCGATGCTGTAGAAATTGATTTCTTTGTAATAAACTAATAATGAATTCCGTTTTTGTTATGTGAGAGAGAGAGAGCGAGAGCGAGAAAGGGGGGCGGTGAAGCGTGGAAGAAGTTTCAACATGAGTTTTGGTGTATAATTATTAGAAACAAAGATTAGGGGGGAAAAAGAGAGAGATTGTAAATTGATTGTTTTTTTTGTTGTTTTGGAAAATTTACCCCTCCACCTGGCGTTGTAGCAAGATTCGTGCGTTGCAAAATGGAAGACTTTCCAATAGTTCTGGATCTTGAATGAATCCCGTGATGCGTATGGGTGGTGGTCAAGCTTCGTGCCACTGGTCGTCGTCGTCCATGGTCATTGTTGTTATTGAAACGATTCAATGTTGAGGTTGGACGACGCGAAGCGTTTGTTGAGAAAGAGGTCGTTTTACTGCCACTACCACTATCATAGCGTCTGTTATTGGTATTGTATTGTTGTGGACGTTGTTGCTGTTGGCGATTTTGTGTTGGTCGCTGATTGTAGGATTTGTTGCCGTGTTGCTTTTTGTTCTTGATGATGTCATCAAGAGAGGAATCCAGATCCATAGCTGATGATCCCATTGTTATTGGTTTCCAAAAGATCCTAAGGACGAAGAGAGAGAACAAAAAAAAAGAAGAGAAAGAGTTGCGTGTGTTCTGTTAAAAAGTAACTAAACTAAGCAACAGAGACTCCGGTTGCCGTTCCCTGTTGCTGTGCAGCAGCAAACCTCCCTGCTGCAGAGAGCGGGAAATTTGATCCATAAAGAGTACGTACCTTCATTTGACGAATGACGTTGATAGAAATAGAGCTGTAATTGATACAAAAAGCATAGTACAGGGATCGCACAGTCGACAGTATTATCTCAGATTGATTGTATGATGATCGAAAAGAACTTTCACTTCATGTGTAGAAAAGTAGGTTGTTATTATAGGCTTTTTAAAGTGTGAACTGTGTGCTTGCGTATCGATTTATTAATTTGTTTGCGTTGATCATCGTCAAAGGGGTATGCAATATGATTTTTAGCCAGAACGGTACAGTAGAAATTTACTATTTGCTGATGTGTAGTGGCTGTATAATGTGATTATTTAATGTTGTGATGAGGATGGAGGGAGACGCAATATTGCTTTAGGTCTTTGATATTGGCTGACGACGGATGTTGCTACTTTTTGTTTTGTTCCTGCTATCCATCTTATTGTCGCCTCCAAATCCTTCATGTACTGCTTTGTGGGCAGCGTCAACTATTTGTTTTCGGGACCGCTTGAGCAATCCCTTTAAAAGAAACCCATAATATATAAAATTTGTATCGTCTTGCTGAACGATAGGATCTCGAGTGAATGGTGATGGTCGTCATTGTCGTCGCAAGAGTACTCTTATCGAATCACTTGAGAAGCGCTTCGTCCGACGCAAAGGTAAAGTCACCCAGACTGGGGCATCCCTGGCATACGTAACGAGTGTCTTGAGTCCCTGGTTCATGCATTAAGTGCCAATTTTCTTTCTCTCTCTTTAACGACAACAACCTTTTGCCTTTAAATTACTAAAAAGAACCGTGTATAGATGTATTGTCTGAGCTCTACAATGAGGCCGACCCATCTTTGTTTTGGAGTTTTAGGGATGAGGCCTATATAACCCGTCCCTCGCCTTCAAGTGGTCCATTATGTCTCTCCAATCCCTGGCATGCCCTCTGTTAATGTATTTCTAACAAACAAAGCCACATCCTCGTCGCGTCCAATTCCTCCTTCCTTAAGCTTCAAGGGGACCACAGTTTTGCGTTCGCGTCTTCTTGGCATTATCCCTCGGCAAATAAGATTCCGTATAGTCTTTTTGCAGTCCAGACTATTCACCGACTGCAATATATCTGGAGCATGTATCTCTTCCTTCGATCTTTTCAACTGTCTCACACACATTTTAGTTGCTCCAGATCATGTGCGAGGTGGAATCGAATGAGCAAGTAATTCGACGAGTAAGCTTGATCGAGAGCCCGTTCTGTGCGCTTGCATATCCGTGCCTCAAGTTTGTTTTCTGTCGTCGTTGCTTCTCCTCCCCATACATGGCCTCCCTTTTGTTTTCTTTATTTCCTTTTATGTTGTCCAAAAAGCACACAAGGTACTCAGGGTGTGTGTCCTGTAGTGATTTGGCCGTCAGTATGGACAAACCCGTAGAGGGTTATGTCTTTGTGCTTTTCCAACCATCGATGGCAAACGGCAGTGGCGACGTGTGTCCGCTAGCATCAGTTTTCCTGTGGCAGCGTTCAGAGATACGCCTACGATTACAGAGAGAAAATATCCCATAGTATGTCGTTGCATCTTTGGCTCGCCCAATCCGGCTTGTGATATTTTTTTGCTCATTTGTACAGGGAACGTATTACCACTGCGTATCCGACACCGGTTTGAGCGACCACAGAAAGCTGAGATGGTGTAACATCATATAGAATGAGCTCCCAGATTTCAATAGGCAGCTAAATGTCTCGGAAGCGTTGTGGATCGTGGGTCGTTGATCGTTACATTACATTTCGCCGTGTGTATGCATATGGCGTCGGCTTTCAACGCAACCGTTGACACTTGCGTTGTAACCGCTGCTGAATCGTTGTGAATTGCTGCGTCCAGTTCTTTTGTTGCTATTTTTCTCTCTCCACTTTAACTTGCAATCTTTCAGGAAGCGATCCACAGCTGAGCGATGCGCTGGCCATGTTAAGTTTGACAATGACTGGAATGAGAAAATTTGCAGAACACGACTGAGATAGTAATTATTTCATGCAGTACTGCTTTGCATATCCAATTGGCTGTGTCCAGAAATCTTTACTCTCTATTGACCAGAAGATCAGCATTACGCTGCTGCTGGACACCTACACAAAACCAAAAGGTACGAGAGTTTATATTTGAATAGAATGTCACTTTATGTGCCGCGAAACGTCTGCTACTAAACTGTATAACCTATAGTTTAAAGGGGGTATCAATGAGCTCATTGAGACCCAGCTAGTAGCGCCAGGTTGTGCTTCAATCCAGTTATGGTAATCAGTAGGCATGTAGGTACTCGGGCACTACCTTTGTATAGGACGGAGCATTGGCAAACACCCGGTAGTTCGTATCTTCCATCCATTTAATACCTGATAAACACCCAGCGATATATGTATATAAGAAAGTACCTGTGTTTTTTTGAACACTCGGCCTCGCTCCAAGTAAAATTAGTGACCCCGTGCAGTAGCAGTTGCTTCCGTTATGCTGCTGTATGAGAAATACCAAATGAAGTATCGACCGAAAATAGCTTCGTATACCTTCATGGTTTTATTCACACTTATCCCTATATTGTTTGTTAAATTGATAGCTTGTTGGTTAGGCAATCATGGCGGTCAACAGTAATTCAAAACAAAGTTTTTGTATAATGAGAGCTGTGTTACCAACCAATGATTGTGAAATAATGCATAGCATGAGAACCGGCAGCAAATGCAACTGCAACCATGTTTGATCACAAGGTTAGACTAAAGTCTAGAGCAAAGCGAAATTTTAATACTCAGTCGAAGCGTTTCCCAATATTTTCACCAGCGCTGAGGAACATATAACCAGCAGCTTTGCCGAACTGGAACAACTGGTAAGCTTTTGCAGGAAACGAAAAAAATGAGTATATTACAAGACGCGTTCAATCGTCTCACTTTGACAAATAACAAAAAAGAGATTTAGCAATGGCATCCGAAAACCCAACAACCGACAGTACCAAGACGAACACGAACAGCGACAATGCACAGCAGCAACAACAACAACCACAACAAAAACCTACAACAGGAGGCGGTAGCAGCCTCTCTGAAGCTGAAAAGTTCTTGGAATCATTGAATTTGGGCGATTCACAAACAGACACACAAGCAGACACCCACAAGCCTGCTTCATCAGCAGATCACAAGGACATCATGTCATTTTTGGACGAAATTTCCCAGTATCCCAACAACGAGGAGCAAACCGAGAAACAAAAGGATAAAGCACCCGCTGCTGCTGCTGCACAGATAGCATCAGGAACAACGGAGCCAAAACAATCAGAACAATCACAGCAAGCCTCTGGCGGTGGCAGCTGGATGGCATGGGGAAACAGTTTATGGAGCCAAGCAAGTGAAGCTGTCAAAAGCACGACAGAGCAGATCAATCGATCCGTTGAAACGCCTGCAGCCAAGTTATTAGAGGACCGTGTAAAGCACTTGCAAGGTTACGTGAATAAGGAAAATCTCGGAAAGCTGGGTAAAGTGTCTCTTTCTAAACGATTTGGTGATGTTTTTTGATTGTAAATGATGTTGGAGTTAAATGGCTTTTTGTTATTTCAGGTAGCGAGCTTAGAAATTTGACTCACACAATCTTGGAGACGGTGGCACCACCCATTTCAGAACACGAGCTAGTGGAAGTATGGCTATCGCATGATATGCGAGGCTATGTTGGTCTGGAAGCTTTGGTGTATCGATCTTTTGCTCGTGTGATGGAGCAAACTGAATCGGGACATGTGGTTGTGCGCAAGATTGGTGACAAGGAAGATGAAGACGAGCAACCACGTAATTTGAATCTGTGTGAGGGGTTGATAGAAGGAACAAAGCTTGCAAAGGTAACATTTGAAGAAATCATGCAACTGTAAAAAGAGAAGCTGATTTACACAAAAAAAAAAAAGGCAAACTTGGACCATCTTGTCAAGACGCATTACAAAGCACCCGAGGCACGGACAGAGTATACACCGCAATTAGGGGCAGTACCTGTCATTAACTGCCCTGTGTTTCTGGCGATCCAACCCGTCAGTACGGAAGACCAAGTTATTTTCGTGCTTTTATTGGTCGACCCGACACATCAGCTCAGCTTTAAGACGTACTCTCAATCAATGCCTTTGGCGTGGTTGGATGTGCCTTACGATGAAAACGAATGGGTCGAGGATAAAATGGTAGAGGCAATACGGATGGCTGTGACAACCGTGGCCCAGGATTATGTGTATACGCGGATGACTGGTGCCAAGCATGAGTTAGCAAAGGCCGTTGCTGCTTCGACTGCCGCACAACAGCAAGCCGAGCAATCTGAGACGCAACAGTCAAAAGAGGAGAAAAAGGATGATGAGAAGAAGCAGCAGCAGACGACGGATGCATAAGTCCTTTATTTAAGTTCCCTCTATCTCATTGCCAAGCTATGCTCCTTTTGTAACTCTACATTCTATACATACGTACTTGTTTATCATTCACAACTAAACTATTACCCCTCCTATATCACTCTCGTTTGTTCAAGTGGTTTTTGGCTCAATGCATTATAACTTTGCAGTAAAGCCCAGGTTGGCAACCATCTCTGGGGAACCTATAAAGACACTTGACATTGAATTTGGTTCAATTAATGTTACATGGTCGCATACTGAAAGTTAGTATGTCGGTACGTTCTGGATTTCCACAAACTGTATCTGATAATTCAGCGCATCCCGTTTAACATTGGGCTTCGTTTCCCACGGCAAATGGTCCGCGTGCACCACATTGTAATAACGGAGGAATGCTACCTCACTGTTAACTGTTAGTGAGCAGTGTTTCTTTTAAATGAGAGTTTTTATCGTCTTTGATACACATATACTCTATGCAGAGAAGGAAGCTTGCTATAATCATCGCTGCAAACAAGGGTCATTTTTACTCGTTCCTTTGCTACATATGCATTACCTATGTACATACTGTGATGTTGGTGGTGCAAGGTTTGTGCTTCCGCTTTCACTGGTATCAGTAGAAAAACTAGAACATGTCGCACTAGCTGCAGTAATGTTCATCCATAAAGAACTAGATCGATACAACCAAATAAAAGGCGGAATAAAATATGATGTCATTTTGCGAGTACCATGCAGCCGCGTGTTGATGACAAAGTTTGCACATTGAGCTGTGTACGATGACAAAGGAGGGGAAGAAAACGTAAACGTGGCAATCGCTCTAGCTAATTCAGCTCAACGCACTGGAGTACTCTAATCAACACATAAAAAGAAAAGCAAGGTTTCCATACTTTTAATTAAGAGCCTAGCAAACATTGACGAAGATAGTAATTGCTACTGCTGTTGTTGTTGTTGCAGTTGATCTTCTTATGATTGCATGTGATTCATGCAAGAATGGATAATCGAATAGGAGAGAAGATGCTTCCGGAGTAAGCTTTAGGCATAGGATGTGCTATCTATACTTCTTGTTTATTACACTACTTTCATGGAGTTCAACTAAGCTTGAAAAAAATGAGAACTGATATGTAAAACCAATCCCATGGTGAATGTACACCAAGCATTTATCCGTGAAACTTTAAAGACGACCCAAAAACACACAAAAAAAAAATAAGTATCGGGGAATTTCACCCCGCATTTTTTATTAGCAAATCTAGGCTTTCACAGCTTCCCTTCTTCTTTTTGGTGTTTATGCGTGTGAGAAACATGAGCAGTTAAGGTTGAGAGAAGGCAGCAAAGCTCAGCCCCGCCGTCTACAGGAACTGCTATGCGTTTTTTGTTTCTGGGTGTTAACTGACAAACACGACGCAACTTATGCCGTATAAACGACAGGAGAACGTTGGCTTTTTTTCTTGATGGAGATTATTTTTGTTAGGCAAGAGCAGCGGCTAACTGATCTTGCGATAACAACAACAAGGGCAGGGTCAACCTTTCCGTTGGCACGGAGATTCGATATGCCGTAAAATGATAGCAAGCACACTGACTGATGTGACAGTGATGATATAATTGGGATGTGGGGGAGCGATTCCCAAAAGCACGTAATTCTGGGATAGAAGGTGGGGCGCCCGCTATAATAATGTGTGTGGGGAAAGGCTAATCGTTGTAGCTGTTGAGCATTAGCCAATCGTTGAGCTGCATGAACAATGGAACAAGAGGAAGGGATGAAACGCCAACCAATAGCCCTTGGTGTGGGTGTGTGTGTGTGTGGCGGGTTAGATAATGTGTGGAACACCCGATGCGCTCTGACCTGGGATTCCGCATGTGATGTGTGTGCATCATTTCACTTTTGTGGGTAATGGCTCGCTGAACCAATCAATGAATCCGGGGTTGGAAATAAGGTTCTCCATCAAATTACCCCGCGCACAACAGTTTGTGCAGCACTAAAGACTTCTTGCTGGAAAATAAAAGTTAGGGTAAAAAAGAGCAAGGAAGCAGTACCATGACGATGAGGCGATGTCGTCGTTCGATCCCAACCGTCGCCTAGATACCGTGTACACCCAACCTGTCAAATCATAGGAAGGGTCCTTCCTGGAACAAAGGACCCACCGCGGTTACATTGCAGTATATGGAACTTTAAGAGGTCCAAAATTACCAAGCACCAAAGTGGAGATTTTTCATCCGTCACTTATTTCCCACCGCATCCAAGTATAGAAAGCTCAAGGATAACGCGTACACAAGAGGTATATTGATTTGCTGTCACAGTAGTAAAGGGCTACCGCTCTTTTCGTTTGCTTTGCTGATCCAGTAGTGCAGATATTGCTGGTTACGAAAAATATAGGCCCCCCCACACTGAGCTCTCCGTCAGAGTGAAACTACCATTTATTACTTTTTGCCGCTGATGGTCTTGCAGGTTCCTCCCACATCTTGTTGGGTAATACATGCCTTATTCACTCCCCGCAAAACTATACGATGCTTACTGTTTTAGGAAGGTTTCACTTCCGATAGCTAATGTGCCTGAAATTTTAACCTTTGCAAGAGTATAAAAGCTTGCCCATCTTTTTCTCGGGACAAGAGGCTATATTTCTCTTTTTCTCACTTTCTTCCTTGTATATAACCTTCTTCTTCTCACATCACATACATACAAAATGACTGCCGAGCAGATCCCATCTCATCCCGTCCCCCAGCGTCTTCATGACGAGTCCCAATGCCCAAAGCCACATGTCAGCTCACTCGAGCAATACAAGGCCATGTGGAAAGAAAGTGTTGACGAGCCCGAAAAGTTCTTTGGCAATGTAAGCTATCGGTAGATCGTGCTCTTTAGCTCTCCTGTAATATGTACTGATTGCTATTGTTACAATGAATAGCTCGCACGCGAATTGCTGTCATGGTCCAAGCCATTCCAAACCGTCAAGCACGGTTCTTTCGAAAACGGCGATGTTGCTTGGTTTTTGGAAGGTGAACTGAACGCGTCGTACAACTGTGTCGACCGCCACGCCATGAAGAACCCCGACAAGGTTGCCATCATTCACGAAGGCGACGAGCCAGATCAGGTACGCAAGATCACATACGGCGAGCTGTTGCGTGATGTTTCCAAGATGGCCAATGTCTTGAAGAACCGTGGCGTCCGCAAGGGCGATAACGTCGCAATCTACATGCCCATGATTCCCGAAGCCATTGTTTCTATCCTTGCATGTGCCCGTATCGGTGCTGCTCACTCTGTTGTCTTTGCTGGTTTCTCGGCTGAATCGCTGCGCGATCGTGTCGTTGACTGCTCTGCACGCGTTGTCATCACCTCCGACGAAGGCCGCCGTGGCGGCAAGAACATTGCTACTAAGCGCATTGTTGACGATGCTCTTGGCAAGGGCTCCGCCAACCAAGTCGAATCCGTCATTGTGTTCAAGCGCACTGGCTCCCCTGTCCCTTGGATTGAGGACCGTGATGTCTGGTGGCACGACGAAATGGCCAAGGCACGAAGCGTTTGTGCTCCTGAGCCAATGAACAGCGAAGATCCCCTTTTCTTGTTGTATACTTCGGGTTCGACAGGCGCACCCAAGGGTATTCTTCACACTACTGGTGGCTACTTGCTCGGCGCTGCCGCAACCACAAAGTACATCTTTGACTATCAAGAAAACGACGTCTATGCCTGCATGGCCGATATTGGATGGGTTACCGGCCACAGCTACATCGTCTACGGTCCTTTGACGCTGGGCGCCACAACCGTGTTGTTCGAATCTACTCCCACCTACCCCAACCCCTCGCGTTTCTGGGACTTGATCCAGAAGCACAAGATCACTCAATTCTATACCGCACCTACCGCTATCCGCGCTCTTCGTCGTTTAGGCGACCAGTGGCTCGATGGTTACGACTTGTCCTCCCTCCGTATCCTTGGTTCCGTAGGTGAACCTATCAACCCTGAGGCCTGGAACTGGTACAATGAAAAGGTTGGCAAGAACCAGTGTGCTATCGTTGATACCTACTGGCAGACCGAAACTGGCTCCATCATTATTTCTCCGTTAGGCGGTGCTACCCCAACCAAGCCCGGCTCGGCCACGCTTCCCTTCTTTGGTATCAAGCCAATCATTCTTGATCCCACCTCTGGCAAGGAGATCACCGCTACGGATGAGACTGGTGTATTGGCTATCGCTCAACCATGGCCCTCAATGGCTCGTACCGTGTACAACAACCACACTCGTTTTATGGATACCTACCTCAAGCCCTACCCTGGCGTAAGTATAGATTACATCAATATCTGATCTTGAGGGCAATCAGCTAATTTTTACCCTTCCATATCCTTTAAGTATTACTTTTCCGGAGATGGTGCCTCTCGTGACGCCGATAACTACATCTGGGTTCGAGGACGTGTTGATGGTAAGCAATTTTATTTTGTTGGGGGAGAAAAAACAGTTGGTAGCTTGCGTGTTTAGTTGGACCTGTTTGGCTCATTCTCGAAATTATATCTTTAGATGTTATCAACGTTTCTGGCCATCGTTTGTCGACTTCCGAAATTGAGTCTGCTCTTGTTGCTCACGAAGCCGTAGCTGAGGCTGCCGTCATTGGCGGTCAGGATGACTTGACCGGCCAATGTATCCACGCTTTCGTTTCGGTCAAGCCCCATGTTGAAGCTGCTGAAGGTCTCGAGAAGGAACTTACTCTGCAGGTGCGCAAGGTCATTGGCCCATTCGCATCGCCCAAGCGTGTTTATATCATCCCAGACCATCCCAAGACCCGATCCGGTAAAATCATGCGCCGTATCTTGCGCAAGATCGTCAACGGTGAACAAGACCAGCTTGGTGACATTTCTACCTTGGCTGATCCCTCGATTGTTGACCAATTGATCGAAAAGGTTCATGGAAAGGCCAACTAAATAGAATTTACTAATCTCTTTCATATATCTTTTACCCTCCAATATCTCCCAAAGTCTTCTCTTAATACGTATACATCATTACCAAATTCACCCACAAACCATCCTCCTCCTTTATACTTTTCCTCCCGTTGTATCTCAAAGTAGATATCTTGTATACAAAATCTTTCTTAAAATGACTGACTATGTAATATATATAAAAATGCTCTTTTGTTTCAAATTAAATTCCTTGTTCTGATTGATATCTGTTCGTTGAAGGTGTCTGAGCTGTAGTAAAAAGATGCATTCGATACACACTTGTGTAAATATGGTGATTGTCTACAGATCATGATTCTACACGGTGCTGGCCTATATTTCAGCTAGTACACATATCGTCTTCCTACTACCGAAAAATCATCTAGCCTGGCGTGACACGGATATCAGCTTGAAGCTGACTCTTTTTGCATGATGTCAGGAGAGTTTACTTACATACACAGGCCCTTGAAGTTGTGAAAATTGAACTCACTATTGAGCTATCATATGATGGTATATTGTTTGTTTATATATGATTCTTCTATCCACATGAGAACCTTTGGCACTACGGTCGCCAATGGTAAGATCCATTTTTTTTATTTCGTTCGCGCGAGAATCCGTAGCCCACGCTAGCTAAGCTTGAACCTGCATGGTGGTCGTCTTGTCAGGAGTTGTACTGGTTGTGCGGAGGAGTAAGAATACCTGTAGTAGACAACAAACACGCGTCATCAAAAAAATGAATTCCATCAGTGATAGTTAAAAACGAGCTGTGGAAATGTTACCTGGATAGTCAATACAGTCGTTTCAATCGAGTATTCTCCTTAGTGTATTATGCAACCAGCAACATCACTAACTTTGTTGGTTTTACCACTATCTTGGTAATACATTGACGAACAACACTTGTCATTCTCCACTGGCATCAGCACAAGCTTGTATTAGTAAGGGCAGCAGAGGTGAGAGACATTTCGAACAGAACAGATGTTATCATATCATCTGGTATTGTTGCTTTTTAGAAACCGCCCGAATTGAAATATATAGTGATAATACCGCGTACATGCACAGTATAATGGCAAATCTATGTTCGGGTTGCCACGATAGAAATTTCCAAGGTAACCTATTTTCACCGGGTCAAATCGGTTACTTTATTTTTATTACAAGTATACCTTCAAGACCTACTATGCCTGAGCCTATCATTGTTGATACAGATCCGGTAAGAAAAGAACAGCGTAAAAAAAAGGGGAAGAAGAAGAAAACAAGAAAGGTTCAAGTTTGATGCCTTATGATGTTATGAACTCACGTCAACGAATCACTTATAGGGTGTAGACGATGTACTTGCGCTCATTTTCTTACTCTTATCGCCTGAAGTCCACATCCGTGCCATTACATTGACCCATGGCAACACCAGTTTGACGCACATTAAGCGAAATGCAGTTACTCTTTTACATGTCATGCAGAAGCATCGAGAGTTAGCGGGCTTGACTGTTCCTTTGGAGGAGTTGCCTGTATTGGCAGTAGGTTAGATACACACAAACAATTGTGCTTCAAAGATGTTCAATGAGCGAGGAGGGGGCGCGAGCGCCTAAGAGAAGTTCGGGGTTTTCATTCTCGGAGGTGCATTCTCTTTAACTGTATAGGCAGCGAGTTGCCATTGAACTCAAAGAGCATCTTTGCAACCTACTTTCATAACACTGATGGATTGGGCGGTATATACGACGCAGTAAGTTATATATTTAATTCTGCTTTTATGAGTTCACATCCCCCCTTTCTTTATGGTTACCAAGTGAGGATAGAATTATGTTATATGTATCAGAGTAAAAGTGCTGTAGCGCGCGCGAAAGCTTAATAAAGATAATGAATATGGGATTAGGGGAAGTACGCTGCTCCTGCGGATTGGGAGGACCAGATATTGCACAAAGCTGCCGAGGACGCTGATCCGTGCCACCATCGAGCGTTCAGGACAACGGAAAGGGATGCTGCTGATGAAATTCTATATCAGCTCAAGCAAGCCCCGCCATTGACTGTCAGCATCTTGGCTGTGGGTCCTTTAACGAATGTTGCTTTGGCATATCAACGAGATCCCGTAACCCTTAGTCGAGCCAAGCGTATCGTGATAATGGGAGGGTAAGCAGGTTTTTTTCACCATCTAGGGGTGGGAAAAGAGGGTTAGAAGCAGAAGAGCAGTAGCTGCCCGCCGCAGTTGTTGGCTAACAAATGTCACTAACCGTAAATCAAATAAATTTTAGGGCTGTTGATTGCCCAGGCAATGTGACCCCAATGGCTGAATTCAATTTTCGCGCTGATCCTGATGCTGCAGATATTGTTTTAGGCGCCTCAAAAGGATTCCGCCATACTCCTGAGGGCTATCGTGAACGCGTCGAACTCGTCGCTCAAGGGAAACAGGCACCTAGTCATGTTGTTGTTCTTCCATTAAAGGGTAAAAATCCAATTTGACTTTTATGGCGGTGCACTGACAGAATAATAACACGATAGAAAGAGAGGGAGAAACGGGCGACAGTAATATAGTTGGCATTTCCTTTTTCTCCACTGCCTCCCCGACTTTACTAACTAACCCAAACCCTCTTCTCCGCGCTCCGCCGGATCCGTTGATGCTTGTAGGTGCCGAAGATGGTAACATTTACCGCAAAGATTATGAACGCCATGTGGTCCCACTCAAAAATCCACTTGGCGTATTCTGCAATGCCTTTCTCGAATGGACATTTGATGTATGCAAGCGCCTCTTTGATTCGGATAGTCTATCAGTGTAAGTGGAATACGTCTAGTATTATGCATTGTTTGTGCGATGCAATAGTGATAATGTTTTATATTGAAATAACAACAACAACATTCTTATTTTGGATTGAGTTCCGGGAGATTGGGGATCGGATTTGCGGGGGGATGCTTTTTATTTATTATACTATTTTCTCACATATTCTAAAATAGTTATGATGCATTCACCGGTTTGTTGCTATTGGACTTGATTCCAGATAAGGGTGATGGTTGTCCAGCAGAAACGACGACGACAAAGTCAACCCTTGACAAGCATTGGGAGTATCAGTATTGTGATCTACGCGTAGAGACGTCTGGACAATACACTCTGGGAATGTCATGTTACGATAAGCGAGCATGGCATCAAGATAAGCCGTCGTGGAATGATGCTCCTAATCACGTCCAAGTGATTACCCGTGGAGACGGTGCACGGTTTAATCGCATGATTTTGAACCGTGTATTTGATGCTGGTATTAAAGAGTCATCAGGAGAGCAATGAAGTTTGGACCGTTTTCTATCGTCAATTAGAGTCAATAAAGAACAACTACGGAGACTATCATTATTCTTAATTTACATCAAGAACATCCCCCCATCAATTATATAACCAGAGACAGTGCGTCTTTTTTATGATGGTACTAGCCGGCGATCGCAGCTTACTGTAGTGCAAATATAACTTTAAAACGAGTCAGTGTTCGATAGAAGAATTTACAAATATAGATACGGGATCAAAGAAGACAAGAAAGCGCTACCATAGATGAGAGGGATGATGGTTGTTTTTTTATACTTACTTATCACAGTATGTAGTATCATACATAATCCATAATCTTTCGATCAATCTGTGCATTACAACAAGGAACCTTAATAGAAACATCGTCATGAGATGTCTATCATAATATACGCTCTCTTGTTTTGCACAGAGGTACATGTTTCCTAAAATTAAAAAAGCTTCTTTCCGTCTTCTTTTTCATAGTACACATATATTGGAGTGATCGCCGCCAAAAAGAACGGATTTGATTGGATTACGGGTTGCTAAAGTAGTCTAAAGAACCAACATCAATGTCGATATGCTGCGGACCGTAGAAAAAAAGGGGGACTCAATATGAACAACGGTATTATAAAAGAAACTTTGTTCCTTTTGATAACAGTAACTATTTGATATGTCAGCGTCGTCGCGATGGCCATATCACCGGAAAGGACTTTATAGCTATACGAAATATGTTCCTTTCTCTCTCCTTAGTAGATTAGAACGGTACTGATTGCTGTTTTTTTTCTCGCTCTCTTCATCTCCCCCTCCCCGTGAAGAAATATATCTGCGTGCATTCTTGCTCTTTTGTTTGGTTACATGATGCATCGGAAGACTATATACTGACATGCAGGGGACAAGGAGAGGATTGTTTTGGGGGGATTAGAAGAAAAAGAGAGAAGCTGAGCTCAAGAACGATCATGTCCCAAATGTATAATAGTCATCTTCGAACCATTAACTCAGTGCGTTGTTGATCTCTGAGCAAATGATACACTTTGCCGATGCCTTCTTCCTCGTCCTCTCCCTTCTTCCTTCTCCTACCCCTCTCTAGTCTCTCATATGTCCGTTCTAGGTCGTGCTTTTTACGCCTCCTCTTTTATTCTCTCCGCAGCTCGGTATATCGTCATCACCATCAATTGCATGACTTGAATGTATACCTCTACGACCAAGCAATCAGCAGCAGCAGCAGCAGCAAAGAGATTACATAATGTATTATGCTAGGCTCTTAATAGCATATCATTGCTTCTTATTCTTTATAGATCTGCAGAAAATAGATATGCCCGTTCTCTCTCCTTACTGAGCGCCCGAGCGGCGCATAATCTATGTTATTAACACTATAGAATATCTGTATAAAAAATGTACATCTAATATGAAAAAGGGTCCTTTTTCATCATATCACACGGTCACAGTTACATATACAGCACGCAGACGCAGATCTTAATTGGCACATACTGACGCAATTGCTGCCCTACTACTTATGAGGATAATTAAAAGGGAGAAAGGGAGAGAGAAAAGATTTTTTTGAAGAAAGACATGAAAAACACCAAAGAGGAGGGGTTTAGTTCTACTTGTATGTATTCCTATAAGAAGTGTAGCTAGTATGTGTTACTACTAGCATGTATACTAGTTTGCGAGACTACGTGAGTGATTAAGCGCGAGCGGGACTTTAGTATGACCAGAGTTAGAATAGAAGCGAATGCAAAAATTTGGTTGGGAAGATCTTGTGGCACAGCCAGGGAACAATGAAATATTTCAAATATAAATTGGTGATGGGCAGGCGAATCATGAGACACAGGGGCAGACAGAAGCGGACCTCGAGAACAACCCACGCCTCAATTTTGCAACTCACTGCTGCTACTGCGCTCATTTATTATGCAATCTAATGCATAATTCGGCTGCAAACGAAAGAAGCATACTTATCTACTCCGTCAACAGACTGCAATAGTAACGACAGGAAGAAAAATGAAATGGAGTGGAGCATAACGAAAAAGAAGAAATGTGGAGTCCCTTGAATGACTTCATCATAGTGTCCGCTTGTTCTGAGTTGATATTATGTAGTTTCCCTTAACGGCCTGTGCAATATAAGGGTAGCGAAAAGAGAGAAAGAGAGAGAATAGGGTGCTCCACGTATATACACACAGAGCGAAGCACAATTCCTCGATAGTAGAGACCCACGGTTTGAGGCAAGGGGAAGGAGGGGGGACAGAGGAGGGTGTAATGTCCTTAACGACGTCAGTCGTCGGTCGTGCGCGCGTGTCTGTAATGCGTGTACGTTTTGGAAGGGCTGTGAGAGATGATTGTTCATGCTTGTTCTTCTTAAAGGCTGATGGCGGGGCAGGGACCCAATCTCTCATTCGCTCTACGCTGCAAAAGGAGAAATAGGGCAAAAGGGCTTACTACTAATAACAAGCGATTATGGGTCAAGTAAGCTGTGTCTGTGTAATAGGTGGATTATCTGTCTAAATGTCCAAATACCAGTAGAGAAAAAGTCAAGGGCCATCTTCATCATCACCACTCCACTGTTCAGTATGCAAAACGATGCCTTTTCCATTGTCTCATGGTCAGCACGCGCTTTACTTCCTGCATGGCGACCGAGTTGTAAACAATGAAAAAGAACCCTTCAGGTTGCACCAGTGGCCATTGGCTCGAAGAGATTCCAGGGCCCTTCCTGTTCCTGACAAGTTATTTACAGTGCAAACAGACAGACAGGCAGGAAGGTAGGCACAAAGAAAATAGAGGATCATCAGCATCTGTTCACTAGAATAGGAAGGGCTTTTTTAAGATTAGAACTCTTTTTTTTCCGCATGCACCCCCCCTGAACTGAAGCTAGCGGTGCTAGGTGTTGTCGTTGTATTGCTTCCAGCGGTTCTCCCTTCAAGAATAAATAGCTCTCGATTTCTCTTTTCTTTCTCTCATTCTTTCTCCTTCCAACAACAGCCCACTCAAGAAATCTTTCACTTTTTCTTTTTTTCTTCTTCCTTGCAGAAATAGCAGCAATTATCGCGAATAAGCAAATCTTATGGACATTCAACAGCTTCTCATTCAGCCGCTGCAGCAACAGCAACAACCATTGCCCTCCACAGCAGCACCAGCAGCAACTGATAATGCAGCACCAGTAAACAAGCGACCTATTCACGACGATGATTTGATGATCATCTGGGAACAGGCTCTCCAAGATAGTGGCTACAAGTTTAGGCAAAACAGTGAACGCAACAGCTTGACAGATGGCTTCATCTGGCCAACAACGACGCCAAAAGCAACATCAATATCTACAAATAATAACAGCAATAGCTATACGCCCATCCACATCAAAGTCATTGGACGACACATGAACGGCTCGTTCCGCTGTCACATCGGCACCGGCAAAGCATCCCGACCCATTCAGTCCAACGAGCTTTACCATCAAATGCGTCTGCTTGCCGTCTTCTTTAAAGCCGAGAACAGCAAAAGCCAGCTCGTCTCGCCCGAGTTTATTTTTTTCCCAACTTGGCTCCTTCACCTGTTCCGTTACACCGAGCACGGCTCCACGCCCGGCCGCACTGACGTCCGTTTTCTCGAGAATGCCATGCTAGCCAAAGAAGACCACATCTACCGTCTCAACAATGTGCTCAACACTTTGTTCCGCTTCAACCTGCACGACTTTGACCACACCAAGCTCCGCCATGCCGTTGATCTCGCCAACTTTCTGTTTGACCATGTTGGTTTTGGCCATCAACACTTGCCGCGTCCCGACAATGCCTTGCAGCCCATCTATTATGGCCAATTGGTCCTGCTGCTCCAAGCACCACGGCCGTCCAAACTCAAACCCATGTGCCACAACTGCAACACAAAGCCCGCCTCACGACGCAGGCTGTGCGTTGCATGCTATCGTTACCAACTCAAACACGGTGAGCCACGGCCACTCCGACTGATCGTTGCCAACAGACCCGGACCACGGGTTCAGCAACAGCAACAGCATCACCATCACCACCACCCCTACCACAATAACAACAACAACAACCATCACCATCAACAACAACAGCACCATCCTCACCATCACCAGCAGCACTTGTACCACCAGTTACAAAACAAAAAGAATTTGCCAATGGTCTTTTATTCGCCACCGCCTAAGCCCATGGCCGCCCAGAAATACTGCGCAAATTGCGGTGTCCAGGAAACACATCAATGGTACCGCAACCTGTGCGGGTCCGGTCACTGGTGTGAAACCTGCAAGAGCTATTATCTTCGTCACACCAAAGTCCGGCCAGCAGAATTGTTTGTCAAAGCTGCCAAACGTAAAGTCGACGTCAGAACACTAGTGAACTGGTGGTCCGATGAACCGATCAATGCCCCAACAGCACCAGCACCTACCATTAATACATCAAACACACCATGCATCAATAATAATGCAGCATCTGGCAGCCATGGTTTCAGCAGTAGTAGTAGCAGCGGTAGCAGTACTGGCAGTAGCAGCCCATCGTCGATCACTAGCAGTATTGTATCTTCCCCAACGACACCGCCGCCCACATCGCAAATATCGTCATTGCTTTATCGTCTACCACCTCCTTGTGCTAGCCAGCCATTGTACAACTAAACAAAAATCATTATCCATTCCAGCAATTTGTTCTGTGCTTCTTCCATTCTTAAAAAACATTTCATCATCTTTTCGTGTGTGACACTCGGTAAACTAGTAGTAGTTAAAATGCAAAAACAAACACATTCTATGATCTCATCATTCGCTTTCTCTCACACTCACTCTTTACTCTATGCCCCTCTCCTCACACTTTTTCCCCTTCTTATTACACTTTACTCATCTCTAAAATCCTCCTCGATTTCTTTTTTCTTCGTTATGTTCCGTGTTCTCCATCTCAACTTCTCTCTCTTTGTGTGTATGTCACCAGCCATCATAATCAGTCAATAGCAAACATTGTAATTTTTCACTTTTTTTCTTGTATATGCATATCGCTTACACATGCAATATATAAACATCAGCATCATAATAATATACATTACCTACTCTTTTTGGTACATAACAACAGCAATAATTGACCGTGATTTGGGAACAATGGTGCAGCATTGTCGTCAGTGATTAAGCTGCATAATAAAAGCCCAGCGCGTCGGTTACTGAATGTGATGAAAAGGGATGGGGGAGAAAAGGAGGGAAGGGGTGAGGTGCGGACCAGAGAGCACGTAAAACTCTTAACCGTTGCACGCACATACAACCAAGCCCATATTCCCAATCCCGGGGCAAACCTAAAACATTCTAAAAAAGGGACTGCATACCCAACAGCAACAACAACAACCATGCACACACAATAGTCTACACTACATTAGCTGCACTTCTGACGAGCAAGGGAAAAACACTTCTCCAGAATGTTTAGACTTTTCTACACACATACATTATCTCCATCTATATCCCTCCCACTACCCCTATTTTCTATATCTCTTGTTCTATACATATATCGCAAATCTTCTACACAGTTCTTTTAAACGACAACAGCAGCATAATCTTCACTGCTGCCGCAATTATTTGTGAAAAGTACTTTTGGTCCTACCAGCCTTTCTCATAACTTTTATTAATTATCTTCTTGCTATCGCTGCCAGCAACAGCAACCTTTAGATCAATTTCACGTTCCTCAACTATGATATAAGTCCACGGATTATTACTAGATTGAGACACACGATGAGAAGCACGCATTGAGGGGACGGAAGGAGCAAAGAAAAAACCTTAAAGCGATAGGCATATAATGCAACAACAATCGACGATTGTAAGCAATGATATTACAGTACACTATATGTATGTATAAGTAGTGGTATGAAATGTCAGTATCTGCAAATGTACGAGATTCTTCTTCTCCCTCTCTCTTTACACGCATCGATAGAAAGTTTATTTATCCAAATATCTGGTATTCTCTTTCTCACATGCATGCGTCCAGCTACGAAAAAGGAGGAGGGACGGCTGGGGGAAATAAGGGGGTGAAGATGCGAATTAAGATGTACACAGTTGTTAGAAGGGGTGACAGCATCCATTGAAATGTCTGAAACAAATCGAACGATCAACTCAACCTTAAGCAAATGGTTTTTTTTTTTCGATTCGATTGTTGTACTCGATTAATATATATACATAGCTTATTATAATAGCCCGTCATAGCACACGAACGATCTTTGGTGCCAGACAATAGCTGCTTTTCTCCTTTTCTCATTATAATACGCCAAGCTGCAAACAATTATGTTAATGTAAAATCTGTCATCATTATTAGCCACAAATACTAATGCAGATCATCAAACTACCAAATGGATGTTATCACCGGCTGACACAGGACATTTATTATAGATTTTAAATACTATTCCAGCATGTTGTTATATTGTCAGTGAAGTGGGAGTAGTAGAAAGTAGGTAGTAGTACGTATACAGTCGATAGTGAACATCTTACGGACCTTACTAGGGATTGGCTACTACTTTTTCTCAATTACATAACAATAGTGAGCAAAACATGGACACTGATCTTCCTCGTGGTACCAAAAATACTCAATTTGGCATCATGTCAACAAAGGTATAGTAGTAGCATGCCAACAAAATTAGAGCAGTAGAAGTTATGTGCCATCGACTATAGAATCAGAACATCAGAGTGTATAAGAAAGGGAGAGTGCTGATGAGAGACAGAGGGGTACAAGGGAAAAGCAGCAGTAAGTAGGAGGAAAATTGAAAGAGACCTTCTTCTTCTACCATTTAAGCCGTACAAAGAACAATGTTATAGTAGAGAAAGGACATTTACAAATTGAATCGGTAAAAAGGATCCATCGTATAAGTCCAGGTGCTGTTCGTTGCTGGTATTATTCGAGAAGAACAAGGTTAAAGGAGCAGTAGAGACGTCGTGCATGAGAGGAAAAGGGAAGTCTCTCCCAACAATAATACTCTAAATAAAGCAGTACAATCACTTTCTTCTATGTTTCCGTGCTGCCGTCAATACAACACATTCACATTGAGATTCATAAGCAAAAAAACCCGAAACAGGTTATCATCGCCGAAAAGGTAAAAAAATTGGTCACTGACATTACCCCCTTCACTACTACTACCCCTTCTCTCCCGATGACAGGAGTTTCTTTGTTTATGTTCCCTTTAACAGCGCACATTTCCCTGACAAAGCTCTCCAAGAGCGCTCTCTTTTACAATGTCATGCATTATTTATATGTGTTGATGATCCTACTTTATATTATACAATACAAAAACTATAGTACACTGCTGCTGTAGAAATGTGATACACTTGCGATAAAGAACGCACGGCATCAAGCATAGAAAGTCAAAGAAATGAAAAAGTTCAAGTGACAGTGTATGATAATGCTTCTTCCATGTTTACCATGCTGCACCATACATTCTGTCTACTAGTTAAAAAGAAATCACGATAGCGAAGATTAATGATAATATTACCTGCTTACTCCCATCAAAACTTCTTTGTCAGTAATGTTTTTAGGGTAACAATACAAACCAACTTTTCAAAGGATTGTATGACAATGTGGAAGTACCTAATGTCCCTGCACGAAAGCAATAACGCCCATAACAAAGAACGTGGGGTTGCTGTGTTGCTACCTTCCTGTGGCACAGAATTAGGAGGAATATCGAGACGGATCTTGAGTGTTTCTGGAGTATGTACAAGGATAAAGATGATGTCTGGGGTTCCACGTTCCCGTTTTGATGGATACACTATAAACATGGATAAACTTTATGTACCACCGCCATTTCTCTGAGGAGACCATGACGGGTAAAAGGGCTCAGGGGGGCGGGACACGAGTGTTGGCCTTTTTTTCTTTTTGCATCTTTCAAAGGAATAAAGTAAGTAAAGCTAGTATAGTAAGCGTACGAAATTGCACTGCAATTCTACTAGCTACTATGATTATTGCTGCTATTACAATTGAAAATACTACTGATTATGATAGGCTATAACGTACTTGTCGTCGAAGAGACGAAAAAAATGTATGGTATTCAATGATTTAATACTCTTTGATTTTACTCAGTTTAGTTGACGTATCCTACATAGCAATTCATCCTCACCATTTCAAATCTCGTGTCGATCATATACAGTAGCACGATAACAGTTTTTTACGTTGCTCATTAGCTCGCTGGTTTGTTTATTAGGACATTTATCACCAATCATATACTCTTCTTCTTCGCCCAAGTCTCTTAATTTCGTCTCGTTGCCAAGTATGCTTTGGTATGGTATTACTCTCATGAGGGAGATCGAAACAGGGAATGGGAAAATATATGCATGGCTTAAGAAAGCACCTTTTGTAATGCGTCTATCATAAATGGAAGATACGTTAAAAAGAGTCCAACTAGACCCTCAAATAAGGCTCTAATGAAGGCTCTAATGAAGGCTCGTAGTAGTTTCCCGAAAAATATAATTTCTCGGCCATCATGCGCAACTCCCATGTTCCTTGAGTCGCCTATCAAACTGTGACACTAGACAGAAGACGATCGATCAAGTCGGTTTTGCTGCTAAGCAATACATAACCTATTAGCGTTTATCAATCTTTACCTTTCATACTTAATGGGCGTATCATGCAACAACAGCAGTCTACACAGCTTAGGGACCTTTAGCTGCGTATTATCTTACTTCAGAGTCTCTTTTTCCACTTTTCAATTCTGATTACCCTAAATAAAGCTCTGCTTAACTGGAGGTCATACAGTACCTGCTGAAATCGATAGTCTATCGCACATGCTCAATTATGTCCAGTAATATCATGACAGCCGCTCTCTTAATGCACCGAATTTTTATGCAGCTACAGTATGATATTAGCTTTAATATATTTACAGTAGTTCGACATCGACCTATGCATATAAGAGTAGTATCATAACTCAAAGGATGGACATTTCGACCACTAGCTTCCCGCTTGCTTGTTCCTCGTAATCTCTTTCCGGAGCATTGAGGATTCTGCTTTCCGAAAATTTAGCCGTACGGATCTATTCTGTCGACGACGGCTTACCTTTTTGAGTTGCCGTCTATTTGCATAGCAAGTATAAATGCAAGATATCGGTAAGCGTGGGTGCATTAGACTTGTACTCACACCCTGTCCCGTGAACATGTTGCGCAGCGAGTTCTGCTGCAGTCCCCGGTGGTCTTTGGCTGTCTATAGCATCAGTCAAAAGCGGTACTGTAATGATACGTCGTGGTTTCTAGAAATATGCCAACTTTCCAGTGTAATAAACTCTGTGACGTGCTGCAGTGATGCCAACGGCTAGGTAGCACTGGGTGAGAAAGAAGAACATTTCCAAATCTTGATTAAGCAGCAAGGCAACATCGCAACAACAGAGTGCGAAAAAAAGTAAAAACAGGCACCCATAAACCTGGCCCGTGCTACGCGAAAAAACAAAAGAGCACCAGAGGGGCAAGGCCAGAAGAGAAAGAGCGGAAATAAACATGTTGAACAACATAGTCGTTGGCGCAAAGCTAATTGCTGGTATAGTACTGTAAAAAGACGAAGCTTTGCCGTGGCACCTAAATCTGAGCGTCGCTTAGTATACATAGTGTGCATGTCATACGAACGTGATCCTTGATATCATCACCACGGAAAAAAAAGGACTTCCAAGCCGATCATGATTATACCGATCATGTTGAAACAGCTGATTATGGTTGCAGCAGCAGTAGCAGCAGAAACCCCCCCAAAAAAAATTCAATAGCCATGTTGAGGTATGATTGTTTCACTTGTGAATCACTACAAGCAAGGTTTCCATCCATGTATATTGCCAAGAGTTTAAGAACCTTTTAGCATTATTCGACTCTCATTGCGCAGCGAATACGTTGATTTTTCAGGTTAGAGATTCGACCTATGATTTGAAGCGCCGTGTCACTTTTTTCTAGTTACCCAATACTGCATGGTACATGATACGACAGATCATGTAAAGAGACACGGATGCTCATGTCACTAGTAAAAAGCGGTGGGACGTACACTGATTTTGGAATCTTTTGGAAGTTAAAAGAGCTAGGTATGTCAACCTTTAAGTGTGAATGGTTCCCCAATCCCCGTTTGCCGAGCGGAGACACCTGCAGATTCGCTCGTGAGAAGGTACGGCTTCGATGTGTTTATTTACTACTTTTATTTACCCCACCTTTTGGACCCCAGCTAAATTTACCTTGCTAATGAGTTACATTTTCTATGCAAATTATTATATTACCTGAAGGTCTTGTTTTGTCAGGCCCTCCTTCATATCATTTTTATCGAAAAAAATGCCCAAAAAGATACCAGCTTTCATTTCATCATATAAAATCTGTGAAGGTTTGGATGATTTCATTTGAGATATGCTTGGTCTGTGCAACATGGAGATTCATTGACATGTGAAAAAATCAGAACGCTTGGATTGGATAGTCTGGTTGGTGGGGAAACCCCACATGTGTATAATGTAGTGGTGGATGAAGAGTACATGATAGAAATGAAGATCGTTTCGGCACTAGTGTAACAAGGCAAATATAGACACGTTTCTCTTTGTAACCTGCTTCACATGGGTTTGTTGTTTTGCCAGCTAAAATTTCTTGGACTTCCAGCGACCACTAAATAACGTATTTTCTGTGATCGGCCTTCAGCATTGTAGCTTTTTGAAGCACGTGAGACGGGACCTCGGTGGTATATATCCGGGAGGGCGCTCAAGTCAGCAGCAGTACACATACACACCTCTCTTCTCTTCTCTTGTTTTACTAGTTTTAATATTTCCCATCTTCTTATAGACCCTTTCACTTACTCATCACACATCCACATCCACAAACAAAATGTCATCCGTATCATCTGAAAATATATCCTTTGAGCACTTTGATCCAAAGTACGAACTTGGGAATCTTGATCAGAACGGACAACCCGTTCGTCCACGGAAAAAGCCAGGCCGCAAGCCTAATCCACCGTCACCGGCCCAACGCAAGGCACAAAACCGAGCTGCCCAACGCGCGTTTCGCGAGCGCAAACGACGCGAGATGCAGGAGGCCGAATTGAACGTCAAACGTAGCATGTACCAGCGCGACCAAGCCATCCAAGAAGCCAACCTGTTGCGTCAAAAGAACGAAGAGCTCCTTTACGAAAACAACTATTTGAAGGGATTCGTCCTGACGTTGAAACTGGCGTGCATGGCCAACCGCGTAGATGTGCCCAAATTCTGGGATGCAAACAAGACCGATGTCTATGGATCTGAGCGCTTGACATTCTCGCGAACCAAGGGTATTCCACAGTCGCTCGAATTTTTCTTGGATCGACACCAGCATATCATTAGTTTTCCCCCTTCATCCGATGGTAACCCCGACAAGCAGAATGACAAGAATCTCTTGGCAAAGGTTTCGTCGTCGCCTCCATCCACAATCCAGGATTTGTACTCTTCTTTACTCGATAGCACCAGTAGCACCCCAGCATCATCATCGATTTTCAATACTACATCGTCATCCACCTCGGCACCACCACCATCATCATCCCATGCCGCAAATGACCTGGATGTCGCTTCGATTGCTCCGCAGCTAGCCAGTCATCTCGAGTCGTCCTTTTTCCAACAATTATTAGGCACCGATTTAGTTGCACGCGGTGCAGCAAATGACCTTGCCAGCCTTTTGACAGAATCCACTTTTTCGACACATACTTCGCCGGACAGCAACAATAGCGATGACCATACCGATATGGATCTATCTGTATATTTGAACGATCCCATGGATACATTCTTCGATGCCGACAACCAAACCAAGAATATGGTGTCTACGACGGCAGAGGAAGAAGACAACGCAAGCGCATACAGCATTGGTACCAGTTGTAGCAGCAATGAAGAAGAGGAATTGACAGTGAAGGGAGAACCAGTTGCATCTACTGCAGCCAAGCTGCCATCGCTGGGACCCAGGGATGCTATCGCGCGCTTGCGAGCATTACAAAACGCGGGCAAGGATAGAACTCTGTTCACACCGAGTAAGTTTGTGGGGAGGGGTTTGGTGGACACGTAGTCATTTACGAAAAAGAGAAACTAAATACCTTTTTCCCTTGAATCTGAATCCTGAGTATAGCTGAATTACAACGAACGATTCCTCATGACACACGCATTGATCTCATTCCTGGAGCAGCCATGCGCGACCACATGATTTTATTCCAAGACTTTTACAACGTCGACGATATGTTAATTACATTGATCGAAAATGCCGTCTTCACGGGCGGAGAGATTGGTAACCCGGATTGTTGGCTAGTGCCGAAACGTTTTCTGGTCAAGTATTGGTTCTTGTTGCCAAACCACCGGCCTAAGAAACGTACAGATGATGCTGTGGAAACCGTTGTCAATTTTGGCCAGCAAATGATGCAAATGCTTGTGGAACGAAAACAAATGTATATCGACCGTGAACAGTATCCTGCCCATTTTCCACGACAGCAACAACAACAACAACAACAACAGCAGTGCGACAATCATCAACATTCCCAACAGCATGAACCATCATCATCGATACCCTCTTCCCGTAAGTGTTTTATTTTAAAGTCGGATATAGAAAGAAAAGTACTGTAGGATCAAAGGTCTAATTAGCGTTTTTGTGCTTCTTCTACATAGTTTTGGAGACCATGAATGTCTTTATGACAGCCAACAATGACATTTTCGCTGCAAGTTAGAAAGACACTGCAAACGCACATTTACACGCATTCTATTCATCTGCTGGCTGGCTAGCCCTGTTGTTCTTTCCTTCTTTATTTTTGACAATCGCATTATACAAATCGCATCACCATGATCTAGATGATAGCTTTTTTTTCTCTCTCGTCCACAAGGATATGCACACACACATATACTACCACCCTTCTCATCACTGCTCTTGTGTTTTCGCACAAATATGGTCTATGTGTATAGTAATTTTGTAGTATGTATCGATGTGTATCTCTGTTAATAAGCATTTATTCGTTGTTGTAAAAGTGTCACCATTTCTCTCTTATTGTATCTATATTGTATGTATGCGTGTGTTATAAATAATGTCATTATACAAAGGAACCAAAGAAAAAAAGTAACTTGCTTGTACTGTACGTAATCTTCTTTGATCCTAAACAATCCGCATAAATTAAAACTTTCTTTTTGACAACCAATTTGCGACACTTTGTTTTGAACCTCTCTAATTGAGCATGAGTATGGTGTGCTCAATGACCGTTTAAGGCAACTCGTCGTCATCAAGCTTGTTGTAAGCGACTAGATTTTTTTTGACACAATCCGGCATATGTCCTTTTCCTGCACATTTTGCCAGCACGTTTCTTTTATTGAAGCACGACTGACAACGTGTGCACTAATATAATTTTCTAGACACTGATGACATCTATATATTATGTTAGGATATGGTAGGAGAAAAAGCATCAGATATCTCATAGCAATTAGTCATCTGTAACTTTAAAAATTTAGCTGCGCTTCGTGCCAAAGAAGCTGTTACATATGTATTAGTCCGCGTATTGCTTCTTGGCTCAGGTTATATCATGTACAGTATACCAGTCACCATTCGACGAAATGAAGTTCACGAATATGGTCCACCGCATATTATGTTCGGAAAATTTAAAACTCAATAAATGACTGTACGTATCCAAGGTAGAACTCATATTGTTCTCTTTGTGCTTCAACGTGGTCCCCGAACTGGTTACCGTATCCTAGTCACGGACTGTAGAGTCATGGCACTATGTGAGTGTAGTCGATAACTATCCAACAAAGTATGCATTACTGTACACTCACCATTGCTACTATCATATATATAAGTAGGCAGTTGTTACAGATGGGTAACGGTTTTCCAATGCCATTTTTGTGTCTCATAACAGGCTGCTACATACAGTATAATGCAAATGTAATCCTCTCATTGAACACTGTGTCGTTAAGGATGGAGCAAAGAGGTACAGACGTCTGCTCCATGCCACACTTTACTAAGGACACACGAAAACGTACAAGAAAAAAAGGAATCACTATCATGATGCTGACATACAGAGATGAGGTGTCAGCCATACACAACCTGCTGTATGCTAGATTGTACGTACATGTTGTTATCGGGCTCGTCTCTTTTACTTATCGAACGCAACATTCATAAAAGGAGGTGGTTGTTTTGCTTGGTGGTCAACAAAGCGTACGAAAACAACTGTTTTTCTGAGTATACACGAGAAGCTTGTTACAATTGTAACAGTAAGATGTTGCTGTGTTGGTGGTGGTGAGGCTGTTACCGGCAGTGTATCACTGTCAGTAACAATAAGGTTTATATGATAGTTAATTGAGTCCAATTTGCTGCTGTCATCATTGTAGCGATCATTGTCAGATGGTGTGTTCGACTGGTAGTTGTCACACTATCGAGATCTGTTTAGGGTATGTCGAGGCTAGTATCTTTAGATTGATCAGGTGTTGCTGTATGTCATCTTCTGCTAATTGTCCGAGGGCTACTGTCACTTCTGTCGCTGGTGTCGTTGTTATGTGGATACCATTGTCGTCACGGGAGATATAAAAGTTATGATAGTAGTAGTAAAAGTAGCTGCACTAGTAGTATGAATACTAATTGTAGTCACTTAATTACTTTTTACATTGGTGAAACAGCCTGTGAAGCTACTACTACCGTTGTTCTTTTCTGAATGAGATGAAGACTCTATATATGTAAAGAGTGATCCATTGTTTGAGCCCAGCCAAGAATAGGTATGTGCAAAGAGTTGACCAGCGAATGCATCTTGTGGACCTTCACGGGTGCAACTCCTATGGTTGTTCACAACGTCTTTAAGATTTTGTAAATGATATTATTTGTCTTTCTGCTGCCTTTATACCTCCTAAATGCGAGTAACGCATCAAAAGGTGCCAAGACAAGACCTTTAAGATTTCTTTCAGTAGAGCACATCATTGCCGCTGATATAGTTTTCTTAATCATGCTCAGGATGAAAGTTGTACATATATGGTTCAGCAGCTGTATAACCCGATGCTCAGGTAGCTCGTGTTGAGGGAAATCGATTCTGCAGCATTAACTGGCAACAAAAATAAAAAGGATGCACTTTTCACGCATGATTTCAACTTAACACAAATACAATGAACTTGCGTACCTTATGGTCCTCATCCAAACCCTTGGCCAAAATTTAGTTTAGCTCAGATCAGATATGGATAGCTGCTGTGGCACCGTTGGTTTTACTCGCAGACGAATGTAGCGACGTAATACAGTAACTGAAGATCTTCCTTGCGACGATATTGAAAAAAGAACTTCTCCTTAGAGGGGCAATATCAATGCGGCTATTTCTGAATATAAATGTTTTCTTGACGAATGAAAAAAAGTCCCTTACAGCAAAAATCAGTAGTAATTGTTAGATTGCCCTTGTTGCTTTTGTTTCTTGCAGACTAGACACTAATACAATTTTCAAATGTATTGCAGCTAAGCACGTCTGATGGAATAAAGGAGAGTTTCAGCGGACGTCGTAACAGCACTGACGATTTTCTTCTTTGACTCTCTGTTCCAATCAAGATAAAATCAACGTTAACGTATATACATACGCAGCAGTGTTTGTTTTAAAGGAGTGATGGGAATTAATAATGCAGATGCACATAAGAAGAAGTAGTAATTTATTCGTACACCATACTTATTAGAGTAACTCAAGATATTGGCTGGAATATTACGTAAAACGTATTGCTTTTCTTGTAAATTTACGTAGTCATATGGCAGTGAGCTTCATTGGTACTAAATAGATATTTGAATTTATTTAAATGCGAGTGTATTACCGAGAACTATATGGTTATGGTAGCTTATGTTACAGCTACTATGTACTTCATTGATATTAAGCATTCCTTCTCCTCCTGCTTGACTATGGTAGCATATGATACAGTTAAGTAATGAAAGAAAATTAAGAATGCTGACAAGCAGATAAATGTACAGCAGTACAGCAAGATGCTCCTCCACACTAGTGGTGGTGTTGTTACCACCTTGTGTTCAGTGCAGGGAAAAAAAGCTGGTTATGACTTCTTTATAAACCACATATTAATTGTTCGCCGATAAGTTGAAGTTGGAAAATGCTCGTACTAAACAATATATCCTCACTCTTTGCAAATGTATATTTGGTTTTATCATCCATGCCTGCATCGTTTTTCACTGGTACTTTTGAAAACGTGCTCTGTGACGTTTATTCAACCAGAAAAGAATTAACAGTAAGCATAAGAAACGCTCTTTTTAAATAACTGTTGTCGCTTACATAAGGAAATTCGAGCAATCCAAGTCCGCCTACTTGGTGATGAGCTAGTTAGGTGTGCCAGTATATTCTGTATACTACTGGTTTTCTTCCCATTATAAATATGTAAAAAGTGTTAGTGATCCCAGACCCAAAACCCCAGGGTCTCCTCAGAAAGTAAAGCAGTAGTAGATCGACATGGATAGAAAGAACGTCTAAATACGATAATTGTGAAACGGGCTTCGGCGGGTTCGGCTTGGTGGTACGTGTCACCAAAGCCTGTGATGCTGCTGTCAGTTTCGGCCGGCCAATGCAGACAGAGACCTACATTCACAGTCAAATAATGTATAATGAGCCTGAGGGAAGTTAGAATATGCGCATGCCGTATCGAGTAAAATGACGAGTAAAATCATCTGCAAAGAAATGATCTCGTTTCTTTTTAAAAACAAGCACAAGGTACGCTTATCCCTGCAGCAATGAAACAGGTTACAGATTAAACGATGCTTCAATCTTCACGTGGCTCTATTTGCCCATTTGCTTGCTTTTTCCGTAACTCTCCAAGCCTGCTCAAATAGGGAATCCCGAGCCATCCCTATACGTTTTTTCCTTCTTTTCTTTTCCTTGGCTTAAGAGTGGCAGAACGACAGAAAAGAAAAAAGAGGTTGACGGAATGAATTCCTTCATTGAGGACTTACTAGCCCAATCGCCATCGCACGACTGGTCCGTGCACGCATCGCCAGCTGCTACCGCCGTCTCCGGACTGCAACAACCACACTCACTACCGCCACAATTGCGATGCATACCCAAACCCATGGAATCGCTGTCACCACCAACAACAGGCAATCAACCCGTCAAAGTGCGAAAAAAGCCTGGCCGAAAACCAAACCCAGCATCGCCTGCTTTACGTAAAGCGCAAAACCGTGCAGCACAAAGAGCATTCCGCGAACGTAAAGAGCGACACCTCCGCGATCTCGAAACGACCATACGTACACTCCGCGAACAAAGACAGCAAACGGCCAAGGAGCTCCATGCAACCAAAGCACAGCTGGATTCTTTTCGAGCCGAGAACTGGTATCTCAAGGGGCTTGTTCTGACGCTCCAGTTTATCTGTATGCACCACTCAATTCAGATTCCTACGCATTCGCCTTACTTGACCGAAGAAGCGCTCAGCGAAATTGCTCAATCGTCGCCTCACACTATCGAAGCCTATGTCAATGCTTACATGCGAAACAACATCAACTTAAAGCCAACGATGGCTGCTCATATTGCCAATTCGTATCAGGAGCAGCAAAAGGAGGAGGAGGAAATGATGACAACGGGAAATTATGATGATAATGATGACGACGACGATAACGACGATGGTTATCCAAAACAGGAGTACAGGGATGATGATGATGCTACTACTACTGCTGATGATCAATTTCTGTCTTCACCACCCTATGACTCATATGGCGAAGGTGCCGGGACAGAAAGGTTAGGCGATTCACCAGTAGGCACGGATGAAGATAGCGACATGTCATATGTCAAAGAAGAGCCAAAGGGCGACTATGAAAGATGGCTGCAGCCATCACTATCAACACAACCATCGTCATTGCCAAAAGAAACAACACAGCAGACGGATCACAGATTATCATCCTCATTAGCATCATTAACACCACCATCTGCAGCTGCAACAACAACAACAAATAAACTCTCACCATCACCAGCACCCGCCGACAATAGTAGCAGTCTAAGCGCTATCCAGAAAATTCGACTCCAACTACGTATTCAATCGACACTATCAAGCATCGGTTCATCAGCAGCCCGCCTACAGCCAACGCTCCTACAGCTGTCAATTTCACATGATCCGCGAATCGATTTGATACCAACGCCTCACATGCGAGATCGAATGATCATATTTCGTGACCAGATGGACTACGATCGGTGTTTCTCCATGCTACTCAACGGGGCCGTTTATCACGGAGGCGATCCGACCATGAGCGAGAGTTGGGAGCTCCCACCCGAGTTCTTTAGCGAGTTCTGGTTCCTTACCATCGATTATGATAGACGCAAGACAAACAACTGGCGGAGAGCAAAGGGATTGCCAGAAGTTGGTCCGGCTCCAGATGACCACCCGTCAACGACAACAGCCGCAGCTAGCTATTATCATCAGCAGCAACAATATTATCATGATGACACCAATAGCAGCAGTAGCAACAACAACAACAATGACGGTAGTGGTGGTGACATATGGTCGGACGAGACATTAGCTCAATTTGTCCAAGGCATGCCAACATTACAGCCTGTAAATCAACATGGTACCGAAAGCAACAACAATAACTATTTGATGTCACCTCCTGCTTCCAAGTTCGACAAACTAAACCATCCTCTATATCAAATTATGGGCTCAGACCCACAGACACGACAACCTGCACGAGCACCGAGCCTTGGTAAGATGTCACACTTTTACTTTGCCGTTAAATGACATGTGACACTGATTTCGACAAAATTTCACTAGGTGCAATTATGGAACTTGTGTCATCTATGACTACGACAGACCTCAACCAGCCATGACAACAACTACTTCAATGATAACGACAACCACATACTCATTTCTAGTACTATGCACTCTGAATCCCTCATTATTACGTATATAAATTGTCTATTTGTTTGCTTTCTTTTTTGTTATGTACTTTAATTATGCGTCACACTCCTTTCCGAGCTTTTTGCTTTCTTCTCCCCTCACCACTTGCTCAATCCACAACAAGATTGCCCATGCATGAACCAACAACAACATAAAAAAAATATATCCAATTTTTCCTTATTTTTAGCACGGATTACATTTTGTAATGCCGTATTCTATTATCTGGTCAGGTGAGAGTGGGCCAAGGAATGTGTGCACGCACATACGGTACAAAATCCAAGAATCATCCTATTCATACGTCAATTACAAGTTTTTCAAGTCAATCTTTCCAACAGGCTGAGTTCCAGACAGTCCTCCTCGACTGTATAGCTCGGACTGTTCCGCAATGTGGTCCTTGTTTCCGCCGGTGTTCTTACTAGGCACTTCTTCCTTCTTTGTTTGTTCTTCCTTGCTTTCTTTTGCAAAGCTGACGTTTCTCTGCTGATCTTGTGATGGAGTGCTGGATGCAGATCGTTGTGGTTGCTGCTGCTGCTGCTGAACTGGGGCAGAAGGTCCAGCCATTGAAGCACCAGCTCCGGCTGCTGCTGCTGCCATCTTGCCCGCTTTATGGCTATGATCACCGCTGATCTCTTTACGTGCCTCGTTTTCTGTCTCTAGATCAGCTGGTTCTCGACTTCCTCTTGGTTGACCCGATGCTCCACCGCCAACAGAGGAAGATGTAGTCTTGTCCCTGGCAGAAGACTGTGGTGGCTCACCCGCTTTTGCTGCAGCAGTGTCACCATCATTTGTTGCCGCCGCTGGCATCCTTGTAGTGGGATCGTTTTGTTGCTGCTGATTGATTTGATGCAATGGAGTATTGTAGTGCTTTATGTTCTCGTTTTCTGCTACTGGTCGATCCGATGCCACGGGAAGTTTTGCTTGACTACCGTCATTGTCAATTGGAGCAGTTGCGGGCACACTTCGATTTGCGGGCACGGTACTGCATGCTATAGCTGGTACCGCCCCAGCAGCTGCTCCTGCGCCGGCTCCTGTCGCTGCCGCTGTTGTTGGTTTCGTCGCTGATGAGCTGCTGTCATCTTTGTTGATCTGTGTGGTTTGAGAACCATCGTCTGTATCATAGAGGGACATGCTTCGATCGCCAGCTTTGTTAGACTGCATTTCTGAAGCGGTGGGCATGCTGCTGCCACGAGGCGTCGTACTCTCATTATCGTTGCCAGATTTCTGATCATGAAGGATTGCCGATGTTACAGCACCAGCGCCAGCGCCGCCTACGCCACCTGCTATTGCTGTCTTCACAACGCTATCAGAAGCACGACGAGGCTCTTGAGCGTGTTGTTCTGGCTCTGCCAGCTTCTGCTGCTGCTGTTTGACATGGTTCGCCGTCCACATGCTCCACAAGTTCTGCGCTTCTCGTCGGGTCTCGTCTTGGACGGTTTCTGGTTGCAGGGCTGCTGTGGCACCTCCAGGATGTTGGTGTGTCCAGTCAGTGGCCATTTGCTCGGCACGGTCAAGCAGCTCATTATTGTCAAAGAGTGGAGCACTCGTAGGTAGATCGTTTACGTCCAGTGGTATTTTACTGTCGTCGTGATACTTTTTCTTAAGGGAAATGAGTGCTTCGTATGCAGAGGCGCGGGGTAGCTCCTTTTGCATGGTCTTGGGCGATCCTGGTGCGAAACGATCTGAATCAAAGTACCGTTGATAGACTTCAGCGTAAGATTGCATTTTGGCTGTTGTTTCTGCAGTCAAGAAGAAAAGAAGTGTAAAGAAAAAGAACGCAAAGAACGATCTGGGGACATGTGTGTCGGGTATATCATCGAAAGAAAAATACAAAATAAATACCCTTGTCAGAACACAGTTGTTTGCACACAGAAAGTGCCGCAGTTGCCCTGTTTCACGGTTTCTAATGGTGCACATATTACACTGTTATTACGGGTTTCTAAAAAAAAAGTGGGAGTTGTAGCTCTTTTGTGTGGGATAGTGTGTCTGTCGCGACGATACAATCAAAAAAAAAAAAATTCCTCTGAGGTAATTTTTCTTGATGAATAACGAAACCGTATAGACTGCGCTCATGGCTCTTCCGCTTAATGATCAGAAACCGCACTATTTACGCATCCAAGCATGCTCCTGACCCTGACGACGTACAAATGCCATGGGCACAAATTTCTCAAAACAAACGTGTTTCTTATATGCACGGCCCAACCAGTACTCCTGCTCCCTCCAACGACATGAACGGCTGGACATTACGCCGCTCACAAGTCTGGCGAGTTGGTAATAGTCCCAGTAGTGTTTTTATAGACGTCAGCACTCTGCCGGAACCACTGCTCTCAGTACCGCAACTGGCCAAGGACCAATTCCCCGAAAATACAGGCGTCATTCCTCATCGCGAGGGTGGACGTCGAGTCATCATTGAAATCGGTTTCGACGAGAAAAATGATGCTTCAAACAGAGCACTTACCACGGGCCTCCAATTTGACAAGCCACGTGTCCGCATCCTCGGCACGCGTGCTATACCAAAAAATGGCCTCAATAAGAAACTCCGCCTTACTCATCTGCCACTGCTTAATCTGACCACCCTTCTGGAAGGACTCAAGACCAGTCTCCAAGAGTTTGGACATGTTCTTGATGTGGGTGCTTTCCACGAGCCGACGACCAATTTGTTCATGGGAAATGGATATGCAGTGCTGAATTGTCAACCAGACGAAGAAACGCTTGGTGAAACCTTCGCCTCGCTCCAACATATCATAGATTGGGCCGGCGACTTTGAACATGGCTTCTATGCTACTTGGGCTGACATGCCTCCGTATTGCACCTGGTGCCATGGCAGCGACCATGGCCGTCAAGATTGCACCAAATTTCTCGCCACTCAGAAGAAATGTTGGCCATTTTCGCGACTCGTGCCCTAAAACCAACACTAAGAAAAGGAAGGTGGTTGGCGGGCCAGCACAAACCACTCCACCTGCACCTAAGAATACCGTGTCCACCAAATCGGGCACGGATCCCAAACCACCACGACATAAACTCGTTTCTACGAAGAAACTTACCAGTGGGAGCCTCCAGCAGCAGGCACCGCCGATGAAGCTGGGCAATCGTCCGATGGGTCACCGGCGGATCACGATCAACCCAAGAACGATCAGGACAAGGCAGTCAAGGATCAGGACCAAGTGGGGAAGGATCAGAACCAGGTTTTGACGGATCAGCATAAGACGACGACGACAGCGGACGAGACGACGACAGATGTAGAAAAGACGACTACGGATGAAGATCAGACGACGACGAAAATGCATCAGACGACGACGGAACAGGACGGATGACGGAAAGTCCGTGACCGCGTCCAATGTCAGCGACGGGCTCAACGCCGCAGGCAATGGACCAGGAAAGGATGATGCGGGTGATACATTCATGCAGGATCTGCAAAGTCTAATCAGTGCTCACCTAACCGCCTCAGAGATCACCTCGAACGACGGAGACAGTGCTGATTCAGCGCTCGATGAAGACAAGGACATGGCCTATTATGAGCATCTACCAGTCGATCAGACGACCATGGAGTGTCTACGTAAAGCGTCCATTCAAAAACGCGTTCGAGTACGGATGCCATGTCAAGCCCAAACTCTCCTCTCTACGGATCTTGGACAACGCATGGCAGCATGTACCAAGAGCTACAAAACCAACAGATCCACCAAAGGACGCCCTCGGACTGTCACAGCTAAAGGAGCCGCTGCGTTGGCCAATGGTATATCTATTGGTTAGAACTCAACCTCGCAATAATCTGATTAATGAATAGAGTTTTTAATTTAGAAATCCTATCATTGAACTGCAATGGTTTGGTCAAAACCACCACCAAATCTACTGCAGAGTCTGACTTCATCATCCACCTCAAACAACCTTATTTGCATCCAAGAGAGCCATGCCGCCTCTGATACTGTTCGTAACTCACTCAACTTTCAATTTCACACACAATCATCCATTTGGACCCACCACTGTGGACTTGTTGCTATGTCCTCACAAAACGAGCTCACCACCATCGCCACCGTCCTCGACGGTCGCGCCATTCTTTCCAAAGTCCAACACACGTCCGAATTTTTCGACCCACTTTATATTCTTGTGCTTTATGCTCCTGCCTCCAGTGAAACAGCTCGTCACGCTTTCTTCACACAACTCATTCAAGAACCAGCACTGCGATTAGCTGACCCCACCATCACTGATCGACTTTTCATTGCGGGCGATTTTAATTACAACATGCGTCAACCGCATTATCTCTCAAATGCCCCCATCTCTTGGCATTCTTTCCTCAACGAACAATTCACTGACTGCAATGTCGATGTCAATCCTGATCTTGATATCCCCACCTTCCGACGGGGAGATACACTGTTTTCAACCGTGGATTACATCTTTGCATCAAACACGTTTCGCGGCACTATTCACCAATCGGAGATTCAGTATCTTAACAAAGCATGGACTGACCACGCACTGTTGGCCATCACTGTACGCCTCGCATCACAACGCTATGGCTCCGGTCTCTGGCGTGCGAATCCGACCATCACATACCATCAAGATTTCCGCCAGTCTCTTGCCAAGATGCTCACCGGCCTTCATCCTACGCTCCACCACTATCCCTCTCTACAAGAACAGTGAGAGCAGATCAAAAGCAAAATGACAGAGCACATCCGCGCCTACAGTTGCAAACGCGGCTCATGGCGCGAAAAACAACTACGTGCACTTCAGAGGAAACGAAACCGATTTCTGCGCAACCAGCCCTCACCAGCACTTCGCGACCAAGTTCTGCCATATATGGAGACGCAAAGATCAGCATTACAAAAGTAGATCACTGATATGGCGGCCATCCGAGCAGGGGCGCGCTGGCTTGAAAAAGGGGAAACGTCGGCAGGGTACCTTAAGCGTACCCTACAACAACGTCAACATTCACGATATATCCATCAGCTTGCACATCCCGACACTGGTATTATTCACACTGACACGTCTGGTATGCAAGACGCTGCATCATCCTTCTATCAAACGCTGTACTCCGCTGAAGAGGTCTCCGACGATGCAGCCACTACCCTATTGCAAAACATTCCATCGACTTGTCAACTATCCGAGGCAGCAGCGACATCCCTTTCGACTGATTTCAATATTAAAGATCTACAGCAGGCAGCTAAACGCGCACCCAAGCAGAGTAGTCCCGGTCCAGATGGCATCGCATACTCCTTTTGGTATTTGCTTTTCAAGCATCCTCTGTATATAGAACTGGTGTGCACCGTATACAACGAAGCATGCCAGGCTTCTCTGTACCCTCCTTAAGACTTGTGTCTGTCTCCTGCCCAAGAAAGCGGACTTGACATCGCTTCGTAACTGGCGTCCGATCAGCCTCATCAATTGCGACGCCAAGATATTTACCCGTTTACTAAACTCACGCATCATCGTGGCAGCTCAACCTCTCATAAATACGTACCAAACCGGCTTTCTTCCTGGCCGATTTATTGCCGACAACTGTCTCCTTGTTCGCTTAATGATGGAACAGGCTCGTCACAGCAACTCAGAAACAATTTCGCTCCAACTTGATTTCGAGGAAGCATATGATCGTGTGTTTCGTCGATATCTCACACACGTTCTTGATCATTTTGGCTTTTCATCCTGCATCGTCGAAAGTATTGCACATTGTTCTTCAACACCGCCATTCGCATTAACATTAACAGCCACATTAGCTCTCCTATCTATCAACACCGAGGCTTGCGACAAGGCGACCCCCTGTCGCCCATTCTTTTCAACTTAGCTTTGGAACCACTTCTCCGAGCAACTCTAACGGATGATAGCTTCACGGGCGTGACGCCTTTGACCGGCACCTCACTTGCACCACACTATGCGAGTCCTCCTCCACCTTATAAAGTGTTGGGATACGCTGACGATGTTTTTGTTTTCTTGAGCTCCCCTGCTGACCTCACTTGCCTTCAGTCGCATCTCAACACATATCAACAAGCATCGAACGCCAAATTGAACGCACACAAAACCACTGCCATGTCCTTGTCCGGGTCACCTCAGCCTGCTTGGACTCCCTGTTTGAGCATGTACGGCTATTCACCATGTCGTAGCTCCTCGGATCCGGTCATATACCTCGGTTTTCCGCTCTGCTCTTCGCCGATTCAATTACAACATTTCCTTGATCAACTGCTCATTGATACTTAAAGCGGCTGCAACATCCATCAACAACGCCAACTTTCAGTGCGGGGACGAGCTACTGTCTTGAATACGTTGATTCTGTCTCGCTTGTGGCATGTTTTGCGCCTCACTGGTGCTCCCAAGGCCACCTTTTTGGAACACACTCCGGTCTATCAGCATCAATTTCCTTCTGTATCGCATGTTCACCAAGATACTCTACGATCCATCTCTGTCTTCCGCGCTCTGAGGGTGGCCTGCAAGTACTGGATCCACGTCTGCAACAGCATGCACTCGTCCTACGATGGCTCGTACCAACGCTCGAATACCCAACTCCAGGGTCGGCTTCCGCTTCTGTGGTCGTGCCATACATTGCCCATCACCTTTTGGCCATACGCCCAGACATTGCCGATCACCGTCTTCAATTTGTTTTTCCCGACGCACGTGTCGTGGCAACAAACACCAACGACCATCACGCTGCCGACCAACTACCACTAGACCACTCAGTACAGCGTTGGAAGTTAAATTTGGCCATGATTTTAAAAGTGAGCCCGATTTTGAAATTGGGCCAAAATTGGAGCAACTGGTGAAAATGAGCAAAACAATTTTGATATTGAGCTGTGCCAGACGAAAATGAATATAATCCAAATGAAACGTGGTAATAATATGTACTGTAAAAAAATAACTATTTTATGACAAATATATTTTTTACAATCCTTTTTCACCTGCCAAACAACTGTCCCAAAACGTCCCCAATACATCGCATTACATAGACAACCAAAAGTAATAAAACCAATCCAAGTGAATACATAAAGAGCGCACAGCACACTTTTCCAAGCTACCGCTAATCAAAAATGTCTGTACTGCCCCAACATCACAAAGCACACCCCTCCGACTACCGTCAACAGTGATGTCTTTGCTAATGCTGTGCATTCGCTTGGTCATAGTTTACGTCGTGTACTATAAAAAGAGAGAGAGAAAGAGAGAAAATAAACTATGAGAATCAGTAACATTGCAACCCTTGTTCATAATAGTCCTTAATACATCGCGGTACCTTGACAATCAAAAGTAATAGAACCAATCCAAGTGAATACATAAAGAGCGCACAGCACACTTTTCCAAGCTACCGCTAATCAAAAATGTCTGTACTGCCCCAACATCACAAAGCACACCCCTCCGACTACCGTCAACAGTGATGTCTTTGCTAATGCTGTGCATTCGCTTGGTCATAGTTTACGTCGTGTACTATAAAAAGAGAGAGAGAAAGAGAGAAAATAAACTATGAGAATCAGTAACATTGCAACCCTTGTTCATAATAGTCCTTAATACATCGCGGTACCTTGACAATCAAAAGTAATAGAACCAATCCAAGTGAATACATAAAGAGCGCACAGCACACTTTTCCAAGCTACCGCTAATCAAAAATGTCTGTACTGCCCCAACATCACAAAGCACACCCCTCCGACTACCGTCAACAGTGATGTCTTTGCTAATGCTGTGCATTCGCTTGGTCATAGTTTACGTCGTGTACTATAAAAAGAGAGAGAGAGAGAGAGAGAAAATAAAATATGAGAATCAGTATCATTGCAACCCTTGTTCATAATAGTCCTTAATACATCGGTTTACCTTGACAATCAAACGTAATAAAACCAATCCAAGTGAATACATAAAGAGCGCACAGCACACTTTTCCAAGCTACCGCTAATCAAAAATGTCTGTACTGCCCCAACATCACAAAGCACACCCCTCCGACTACCGTCAACAGTGATGTCTTTGCTAATGCTGTGCATTCGCTTGGTCATAGTTTACGTCGTGTACTATAAAAAGAGAGAGAGAAAGAGAGAAAATAAACTATGAGAATCAGTAACATTGCAACCCTTGTTCATAATAGTCCTTAATACATCGCGGTACCTTGACAATCAAAAGTAATAGAACCAATCCAAGTGAATACATAAAGAGCGCACAGCACACTTTTCCAAGCTACCGCTAATCAAAAATGTCTGTACTGCCCCAACATCACAAAGCACACCCCTCCGACTACCGTCAACAGTGATGTCTTTGCTAATGCTGTGCATTCGCTTGGTCATAGTTTACGTCGTGTACTATAAAAAGAGAGAGAGAAAGAGAGAAAATAAACTATGAGAATCAGTAACATTGCAACCCTTGTTCATAATAGTCCTTAATACATCGCGGTACCTTGACAATCAAAAGTAATAGAACCAATCCAAGTGAATACATAAAGAGCGCACAGCACACTTTTCCAAGCTACCGCTAATCAAAAATGTCTGTACTGCCCCAACATCACAAAGCACACCCCTCCGACTACCGTCAACAGTGATGTCTTTGCTAATGCTGTGCATTCGCTTGGTCATAGTTTACGTCGTGTACTATAAAAAGAGAGAGAGAAAGAGAGAAAATAAACTATGAGAATCAGTAACATTGCAACCCTTGTTCATAATAGTCCTTAATACATCGCGGTACCTTGACAATCAAAAGTAATAGAACCAATCCAAGTGAATACATAAAGAGCGCACAGCACACTTTTCCAAGCTACCGCTAATCAAAAATGTCTGTACTGCCCCAACATCACAAAGCAC